CAGCCCAGCCCTGTAGGTCCTCTGTTGCAAGCCCCAGCTCTTTCGTCCTGGTCAAACAAATCTGGCAGGTTTTTGAACCACTCCTAAACCTCTGCAGGGAGAAGAGAGTGGGCTGCACTTACGCACTGCAGACGAGCAATGCATTTATCATATCACAGCCAACAAAAATATATATCCTTCTCAGGGCTTTTTCCCCCCAGTTGGAACTCATTGGAACTCAGTACTGGCACCTTTCAGGTGGACACCATTGCCAGGATAAGAGAACAAGGGAGGCGTTCATGGTGCGTTCCTGTATCTCTTCTTCTAGCACTTCTCATTCTTCCCCCAGAATTGAAACAGCATGTGGATGGGCTTCCTTCTGCTCTGGGTACCTCTGTTCTTCTCCTGCCCAGCTCTGCTGTTCTTCCCAGGGAACAGGCTGGCTCCCCATGTGTCCCCTCAGCCACACTTCCATCACTCCCTCCTTCTGGTGCTTTCTCCATGCCCATCCTCTTCTCTTTCAGTAAGAGCAGCCCTCCCACTGAGGCTCTTTCTAGTCAAGCACCGCAGAAACACAAACACACACCAGAGCTCTCGCCATCATCACCAGGGGACATTTTCACCCACAAGGCACCAAACTCCACTTCTGCTTAACATTCACTTGTCGTATGAATGGAGAACTTGAGCTGGGCCAGCAGAATTAGGCTGGGGCCGTGTCTAAACCCGGGATTGCAGGGAGAGAGAGGGCTGCCTCTCTCCTTATAACAATTAAGACCATTCATCCAGGTGTTATCGATTCATTGATTCACAGTGTTTATGCCACGTCCCTTAGCCACAAAGGCTCTCAAGAGCAGCTTACAAAAATCACTTCCAAGAGGGTTGCGGCCTGCAGGCTCACAATCGAAAAAGGCATGGCACATGAGGAGAAAGGAATGAGAGGGAGGAGGAAAAAGCAAGGCTCAAGCACAAGTTTTTGAAGCTACAGCCAATGTCAGTGTGGGTCAGTTTCAGTATCTGTCTATTGTTGGTGGCTCATATCAAGGCATGAATGCAAGATATAAATGCTTTAAATGTAACGATAATGTACATGTATTAAATCATCCCCACATGGAAACCAGTGGAAGATGTAGTTCACAACATCCAGAGGGCAGCAAAGCCATGAATTTCCTGGCCATCCCCTGGAGCTTCGGATACATTGGCCAAAACACTTATTCTTGTTATATACACCCTTTTGCTGCATTAACTACAGTCGCGTGTATACATAAATAGCATCAAAGAAGCCCAAAAGCAAATGTGAAGCTCAGGTATGTGAAAACACTACATGCATTTTCTCACACTCATCCTTTCTCTCCCTGCTTTCAAACTTTAAACCTTGAGGCAGATACCTAGCCCTGGAAAAAACTTAGGTTCCTTTTGCTGGTGCTGCAAATCTGTCAAGGACTCCTATCAGCCGTTGCCAACCTGGTGCCCTCCAGATGTTTTGGACGGGGGCTTGCAATCTGAAACATCTAGAGGGCACCAGATTGACAAAGACTGCCCTGTACAGTCCTGGCCAAATGATCCTCTCTGACACTTTCACAAAATGGGAATAACTGTGGCCTATTTGGAAGAGAGGAAACATGCCACATTTGGCACATTTCCTTTGCTGAAGAGCAAGCGACCTACTCATCCCTGAACCAGTTAGTAAAATTGGCAGCCTAGTTTTTCCTCTCTCTCCATCTTATTTCCCTCTCCTCCTACTTGTTCCCATACACTCTGATGCCTGGACTTTGTGGTTATGAAACAACCCTTGTTTTATATTTTCCTTAGGCATTAAATTAAGTGTTAAATCTAGAGGGGAAAAGTTTGGGAGGTCATTGACTCTCCCAGCTGCTTCTGCCAAGCCCAAAACTATCTTGTCTTGTGATTCCGACTTTTTCTGTGCTCAAAGTTCATGAACAGCAGCTGTAAAAAACGCAGCATTCAAAGGATACCAGAAAAGTAGTACACAGCACAATTGCCAATGTACTCAGAAAACAACCCTAAAGAAAAAACAGTTCTAAACAGCCACAATTATACAGCTTTTTTCCAGCAGGGGCAGGGGGCTTACGCACAACATTATGACAAACTCTACAACTGAATTGGGCAAATCTAGAGTATCTGTACTGACATAACTGGGAGCATAAGCAAAGGGGAGCCAAATTCACCATATTTTGGGGCCGTCTGCTTAGTAATAACAAAATTTCTGAACAGATGGGCAAATAGTGTGACGCTTCTGAGAAGTGGCATGCCCACAGTGGGAGCGTGGGTAGGGAGTTTACAGAGCCCAAGCAGAAGTAGGAGAAGGGGGAAATGAGGTTTCTAGATGAAGTCATGTCTGTATTCTACGCCAACCTAGAATAAATTTTACCCTATGGCTCTGTACTAACGGCTACCAAAATACTAGGGCCACATTCACATCATACATTTAAAGCACTTATATACGACTTTGAACAGTCAGGGTCTCCTCTCAAAGGATGATGGGAACTGTAGTTCATGAAGAGTGCTGAGAGTTGTTAGGAGACCTCTGTTCTCCTCACAGAGCTACATTTTCCCAGAGTGGTTTAGCAGTCAGTCCCCTTTCATAGGGAACTCTGGGGATTGTAGCTCAGGGAGAGGAATAGGGGACCTCCTGACAACTCTCCATACCCAGAATTCTTTTTTTGGGGGGGAGAAGCCATGACTGTTTAAAGCGGCATCATAGTACTTTAAATGTATGGTATGAACGTGGCCTAGACTCCCCACTGCACCCTTAACTTTATACAGAAAGGGAAAGAACCCATATAGATGGATTTTTCTTATTTTTCTCATTTATTAAATTTATACACTGCCCTTCATCCAAAGATCACAGGGCAGTTTACAGGATAAAAACACAAAATACATAAAATAATAACAGCCCACAGAAAGAAAAACAGTAACAGCCCCTTCAAAAACATTTAAAAGGCCACAGATGGTTTAATCAGCCATAGGTCTGGGTGAAGAGGGATGCTTTTGACAGGCACCGAAAGATATGTAGTGAAAGGGGCTCCCTCGAGAAGGCCGCATTGGCTGCGGCCCCCTCCCACAAATCCCACAGCTGGCTCATTACCATGAAGCCCAGTCTTCCTCCCATGCCAGACCAAAAGCCACCTAGAACTCAAACCCTGTGACTTGGCAACATGGACAGTGGTGCACCGGGGTCATTTCAGACTCTGGATTTAAAAGCATGCTCTTGTTTAGATGGCAGCGCACCTTGAAGTGTGGCAGTCCGGCCTTGCTGCATTTGGCGGGCCCTCTTGCTGAGTGGGGCCCTGGACCTCTGCCATAAGTCCTGCCCTGACAGCACCACCAAACACAAACGTCCAACTTGCACACCCAGCAAAGACTGAGGAAGAGGAGGGGGCATCTGTTACCTTTCCAGGAGGGCGTGGAGGCCAGGCTGCATTTGTGGGCATCCTTCTGTGGAATAGCAAATGAATCCACCCTTTGGCAATAGAGGCCTTGGCTGGCTGGCTGCAGCAATGATGGCTTCTGGGCCAAACCAGTTCTGCAGTAGCCTCTTGGACCGAGGCAGGCAAAGTTCCCCCTCAGCCACAATCTCCCCAGGCAGCTCTCCCAGCTGAAGACCTGGCTTCCTGGCTCAAGGAAACTCCAGTCTGTTTTCTTGCAAATAAATGGCTCTCTTCTTCTTCTTCCTCCTCCTCCTCCTCCAGAGCTGTGCCTTTGCTGGAACCCCGTTCTGACTGGAAAGTGCCCAGAATGCTCTCCCCAGAGAGAGCGGGCTGCTGCTGTCACTCGCTGTGAGTCAGGAAACCAGAAAGTCCACCCCATCCTCTCGTTCTCTCTCCTTGGTGGAGCAACACAGGCAGCAAGTCTCAGCACATCCAGGGGCCTTTCCTTTGGCAGCAAAGGCGGTGCCCGCCTCCCACAAGCTGCTTCACACACCACTCAAGGAGGGGGATATTGAGCTGCTTTTGGACTGAGAAAGTTCCCGTGAAGGCCTTCCTGAAGCACTTGGGTGGGTCAGTGCCAGGGAACAGGTTGCGGATCGAAGCTGTTTTCACATTCCTGTTTGCTGTGCATTCACTGTGCTCCCAGGGCTGGGTTTCTGTTCTCTGCTCGCAGAATACAATCCAAAATTCATATGTATCCTGTGCTTTGTTCTAAAATACCATAATACCGTTTGACGCATTGTTTATCAAACCAGCTTCAGAGCAGTTGGAGTCCTTAAGCCATTCCTATTTGGTCTCCAGCCAAAGTGGGAACACCTGGGGGGGGGGGCGCGAAGACCTCACCTGCTAAGGTGAGCACCAAAGGAATGATTCTGACATTAATGAAGCTGTGCCGATGTGAACAGGTTGGGGAAGGGAGAGCTGTGAAATGCACCAGGGGGATGGACAGCTTCAGTGTACTCAAAGGTGGTCACATGAACACACCCCACATCCACCAGATTCCCAGTTCTTGGAGGATTTCCAGCAGTTGTCCCATAAGCATGGAACTCCCTTTCCCTAGAGGGTCCTTCAGAAAGGAAAGCCATTCAGAACTGTTCTCACACCTTCCTGTTTGGCCTGGCATTCAGGTAGTCAACTTTTTTCGCACTGCTTTGTTCGTCCTGCTCCTCTGCCTGCTGCACGCACAAATTCAGCAGGCGAAAGTTTTCCCTGGCATGGAGAGAGGAAGCTATACGAGGAAAAGCTGCACCTGTTTAATTTCTGCGAGTGTGTCAAGCTGTTTCAAACAGCACAGGAGCAGAGGCAAGGACAAAAGTTGGCAAGCCAAGGTAACTAGAGCTGAACAAAAATGGTGTGTGTGTGTGTGTGTTTATTTTCTATAAAAAGAAACCGATCAGGTAAATAAACGAACCATGCATGATCCATCTTCACATGACAGCTTCACCAGGGAGGGGGAAAGTTTGGCTGTATTATTGTAACTATTCTTATTTCAAAATGGGAAGACAATAGCGTCACAACTAAGGATCTGTTTCTCTCCACCCCATCACCGTTAATTACCTCATAAACCCCTGTTCATTTGACAGCTGCGTCTCTAGGCACAGTAAGATCAAGGACACACAAGAAGAGCAACGACTCAGTTCCAGAATTCTCTCTGAAAAACAGAAGGACGGGTTTGTTTTCAAAGCTTTAGCTACGTGAGTCTCTCTCCCCGCCCCAATTCTCCCACATATTGTAGAACATGTTAATTCAAAATACAGCTTACAAAAGGATTCCAGTAAAAGGCTGTTATATCAATGAATGGAGGCCCAAAGACTCAGGGGTCTTCACCTCTTTTGTGGGGCTTGGGGGTACATTTGGAAATCTAAGAAACAGGCATGGGCAGCACAAAATACCCATTTCACAGACAAATAAGTGGTGGTGTTCAGACACATCCACACTGGGAGAGGCAAGACACACAACAAAACTAGGGGTTTTTCACACTTACCTTTTGCTCTGCTCTTTCCAGACTCAGTTCGAGTCTTAAAGTTCTGTGTCTGAGCTCCCTTTTTCTTTTTTGCTCCTGAGCTTTTCCTAAAAAACTTGCTCTTTAAAGCTGAATCAGAGCAAACAGCTACATGTGGAAAACCCGAATTGCTGTTTGGTCTGATTGAGCACCTAAGAACAGTTTATTGTTAGGAAAGCTCTAGAGCAAAACAAAGAGCAATTATATACGGAGCTTTAAAGTGTGGCTCTGTACACGAAAATAGAGGCAAAAGGTAAGTGTGGATCAGCCTAGGTTAAAAACAAAACAAAACCCTACACACCCTCCAAAGCAAGTAACACAGAGCCCAATAAAGCAGGCAACCCACCCCCAAAACAAACACTCCCCTCAACTGAACAATCATCCTAAAGGAACAATACCTACAAACCAAACAAAATAAAACCAAACCAAACAAAATACACACCATGCAACAAAACAAAGGAGACTCGCATGTGGGGCCCAGAGGCATTGTGGAGAAAGTAGGTAAGGAGGCCGGACAAGACTGTATATATGCACTTTCCAGCCAGCCCTGTGCCACCCACAAAAATAAAATAAATGAAACCCAATTTTTACAAATTGGGAGATGTAGTGTGCCTACTCATGTGCTGGGGGGGGGGGGTTCGAGGGTGCCATGATGCCCATGGGCACCACATTGGGAATCCAAGGAATGTCCTACGGAATCCTAAAGACAGCCAATTTACGGCAACAGAAATCATGGCTCTTGGGTAGTTAGATGCCTCCTTTACCAGAGGCCTCCCTTATGCTTCCAGCACTTCTCTATGGAAAGCTCAGGAACCCTAAACCACAAGCCTCTCAGATGCCACCCACAGGACTCTCTGGGTGGATTTAGCAGAGTGGAGATGCAGAGAAGATCCCTGGACAATGTTGCTTATATGTTTGGTGAATCCGCAACTGCCTTCGCAACCAAAACGAGCTCTCAGTGTGGAGGATTAGTAACACACATATCTCCAAAGCAAAAATAAATCAGCATAGTACAAAGAACATGAATTTATACGCAAATGGATGAAAAAAACTGTACTCCTGCAGGAGGAGAAATCCTCCTCACCTAAAACATGGTTTCTGAAGGGAGGGCAGCAGCATTTCCAGAATAGACCCAGAACCTGCTGGGTTTTTTTGCGGTGGGGGGGGGGGGGAGAAATCTACAGGGCAAATATTTCTGCCTTCTTTGCTCATCCTTTTAAATGCCTTTTCCCCAGGCCCCCACATCCTCTTTGCCTACCTCCCCAAGCTAAATTGCTCTTTCCCCTGTCCGGCCACAAGTTCTTCTCCTTCACCACTTACCCTTCCCTCAGGCTCATTTCTCTGTCTTCCGCCTGCTTTGCTCCCCTGCTTTGCAGCTATCCTTGCTCTGACCCCTGCCACTAAGACCCAACCCTTTGGTGCTCATCTTGTCTGTGACATCACCCAGTGGCAACCAATGGCAGCAGCACTGGGAAGCAACTTGAGCAACAATGGCATGTGTTTTTAAAAGTTGGAAGTCACCCACTCCAGATGGACTCCCCACCAACACAAGATTAGGTTTTGAATAGGCTATGGCTTCGAAAAAGAGGTCATGCATGCTCCTCAAAAGATAATGAAAAATCAAGTTGATCAACCTGATGCCATGAAGATTGGGGCATGTTAACCGAAACAAAACGCTTGTGAAACAGCTCATCAACTAAAAGGGTGAAAATAAAACCTCTCCAGCGTTGCAGAAAGGCGGCATTCCTAGACCTAGCTTGGAGACCCCAGGCAAAACATGAGCTCTACCGCTGAGCTTTGGCTCTTCCTACTATTCTCCAAATGTTTCATGCCATGAATGCCACCTGCCCCAGATTCTTAAGGGCATTCCCTGTCTTCTGGTACGTCCCCCTGGAAATAAATGATGCTGTCGCTGTTCAGCCTTTTGGGGAGAAGCAATTCTACAGACTTCAGTGGGGTTTACTCCAGTGTAAGGACAGAAAGGATCTGTCCATTTCAGTTCTCCTGGGTTCTCATTTTTCCAGTCTTAAACTCAGGCCTCCACATTTTGCAGCAACATGTCAGGAAAATTCATCAGCATTCTACTGCAAATTTCTCCCAATAAACACATTTTTATATGCTGTTTTAATTAATGTACACATTCTGCAAGCAAATTTCCTCTAACACAATGTATTCATTTTTACTCACAATTTCCCCTAATAGATGCATTTTTGTAAGCATTTCTCGGTTGGTGAACTGCATAATAATTTCAGATACAGTGGTACCTCAAGTTAAGAACTTAATTCGTTCTGGAGGTCCGTTCTTAACCTGAAACTGTTCTTAACCTGAGGTACCACTTTAGCTAATGGGGCCTCCCACTGCCGCCGCGCTGCCGCCACGCGATTTCTGTTCTCATCCTGAAGCAAAGTTCTTAACCCGAGGTACTGTTTCTGGGATAGCGGAGCCTGTAACCTGAAGCATCTGTAACCCGAGGTACCACTCTACACGAAAATTTCAAAGGACAACTGTGTTTTGTTTGTTGTTGTTGTTGTTGTGCTACCTATCTGGGCAGCCACTCTGGGCAGCTTCCAACAAATTTAAACACCTCCACCCCCCTTTCTTTTTTCCTTTTTTTTTTTCTTCTCCCCCCTAATGCCTCAACAAATGAAATGGATTTGTAAAAATGTTACATGAAAAAAATATATATACGAGGCAGTACACTTACTTCTGTAAAACAAGAAAATCCTTAATAAAATATTTAATAAATAAAAAATAAAAAAAACACCAAACACAGTAAAACATCATACATTAAAAGCTTCCCTATACAGGACTGCCGGTACTGTTTCAGATAGTGTGAGTTTGATTGATACAGCTTCAAATGAGATCTGAATCAAATTTCCCCCACATCCCTACTCCAGAGTAAGTCCACATAAGTTTACAGCCACAATCCCATGTCCAAGGATGAAAGACAGACAGGAAAGACAACTTTTCCTGTTTGACATCAATCTTGTATACACTTGCTCCTAAGAAAACATGCGCACAATCAGGACGCAAGTGTTCATCTGATTAAACACTCTTAAGTTCTAAATAGAATTGTGATGATGGACAGTTTCCAAACACCCTGCTGCTTCTGAAGACAGAGTGGGGAAGAGGGAGAGAGATTTGGGTTGGTTCCTATTTTAAGGGGGAACCCACCTAATCTGCACTTCCCGAAATGCAAGGTAAACCAAAACTCGGCTATCCTTTGAAATTCACACTTCCCCAAATCCTGGGATTCAGTTCTCCAAGCAAATAATGTGTGCAAGATGCCTATATTAGGGGAAGGCGTGCATAAAATGCATATGTTGGTAGAAAAGAAATAAACATGCATATATGAATGGAAAATCTGAATGAAATCAAACCTGAATTCGAAACAGCAAGACTGCCTGTCTTTGCTCCTGACTTTTGGTTTTGGGTGGACACAATTTTGCTCAAGTCACAGGGATTCTGTTCTCCAGGCCACAATTTCATTTTCAGGGAAGATTACCCCCCCAAAAAAAAACCAGCTTCAAAATAAACTAGGCAATCCCTTCTCCACTGTCTGAATCTAGAGAAAGATACAGACTTGCCAAGCAAGACCCAAAACAAACCATTAAGCCCTTTCTCCATCATCTGGACTTCCTGGTTCATTTTGAAGCTGCTTTGAGGTCTTCCTGGTGCGTGTGTAAGACTGATCTTTCTCGACAGAATCATAGAATTTTGGAATTGGAAGGGATCTGGGTCATCTAGTCCAATTCCCTGCATCAGTTTTATCTGTCAATTTACGCATTGTCTAAAAACACAGCAGCGGGCTCCTTCCTCACAAAGCAATCGCTTCAAGTGGCACCTGAAAATTTTGCTTCATAACTTTTGTTCTATGAGGACTAGAAACTTGCTTTTTAAAATAATTAAAAATAAAGTGCAGGTTTTGGGGCCTCTGCTGACTCTGGGCCCGAACACAAAAGAGTCCCCTGTCTCTCCGCCCACCTTCCGGTTGGCCCTGGAGCTTCCCAGAGGCATCCATGTTTAACAAACTGATCTGAATCAATCGTGGAGGATGAGTGGGGTGGGGGGCAATTCTAAAACCAAAAAAAGGCAAGGGAAGGTGAGGAATGCTGAAAGAGCTTTTGGTCAGGCAAGCCTACTCAGATACGTAGAATGTTGACAGGTGTTTTAACGAGGCTCATTGTGAATTTTAATTACTCTTTGAATGTTTCAAATAGCAGTTTTTATTGATAGTTTTACTGTTCATTCTTTTGGTAAACCTCTTCAAGGGTTTTTTCCCTTGCAATTAAGCGGCGTACAAATTTTACAAAATACAGTAAAATAAATAAGTGCCGTTATGTTGACTGGCTCATGCTCTCTTTTGGAACCTCGCCTGGAATGCCTCCACTCACTGCACCCCAAGGTGGGGCTTAGGTGGGCAGGCGTATCTCACCTAGCAGGTTATCAGAAGAAATATCTCAGCTAGGGGGAAATCTTTCGTTCAACCCAACCCTGGGAGTTTCAACAGTAGTGGATCCATCAGCACAACACAAGCAAACAAAAACATGGGTGTGCTTCAAATATGGGGAAGAAAGACAGGTGGGGAGGGAGGGCACCATGTGGGAGAATAGGTCGGCAGGCACCCAGATCCTCTGGCATTCCAGACGGTTCAGCACAAGAGCACTACTGACACCAATTCAGGGACCAGTCCTTAGGTATACTGCCAAGGGAACAGGCAATTCTCTGCTTGGTCAGAGAGCTTTCCCTCTTCACTTCATGTCCATCACCACCAAGCGCCTCCCTTGAGAGTGCAAGTGCTACTTGCTGCTACGCCCCATCAGGCTCGTCCCCCAAAACTGAGACCCCGCCCTTAGCTCCGTCTCAGGAATCTCAAAGATTGAGCCTCAAGAGACCTGGTGGTGATCTTGGGACCTGGCGAGAGGAATTCGGCAGGTAGGGGTGTCGCCCTCGGCCCAGTATACCTGAAGGAGCGTCTCCACCCCCATCGTTCAGCCTGGACACTGAGGTCCAGCTCCAAGGTCCTTCTGGCAGTTCCCTCACTGCGAGAAGGCAGAGGGCCTTCTCGGTAGTGGGGGTCCGCCCTGTGGAACGCCCTACCATCAGATGTCAAGGAGATAAACAACTATCTGACTTTTAGAAGACATCTGAAGGCTGCCCTGTTTAGGGAAGTTTTTAATGTTTGATGTTTTATTGTGTTTTTAATATTCTATTGGGAGCTGCCCAGAGTGGCTGGGAAAACCCAGCCAGATGGATGGGGTATAAATAAATCATCATCATCATCATCATTATTTAGTATATAAGGATCCTTTGCAGAGAGCCGTGGTGCAGCTGTAGATTGCTGGATTTGTATGCAGAAGGTCTCAGGATGGGCATCTGTGGGTGAAAGAATTTCACAGAACACATCTGGGGGAAAGGCTTTAAAAAAACAAAACAAAAAAAAGACCCTGTAGAGCTGCTCCCAGGTAGAGGAAACCGGATGGAGCAACGATCACCCTACGCACTTTATCAAGGCTAAAACTAATTGTGCCCATCACCACTCACGTGTGTCTCAGTTTTGGCTCCAATGCAGATCTCCTGGAATTGATCGAACACTGTAATTATTTTGTCATGAGACTCTATTATACCATACTTCCCCCCCTTTTTTTGCAGGGGTGGAGGAGCGTCCCTTCCTTGGAGAACATTCAAAAGGTTCTCAACACTTGTGAGGAAACTCGCTCTTGTGGCTTTTTGCACCTGGCTGGTTAGCGAAATCAAGGGAAAAGTGGAGAATAAGAACTTAAGGCCATTGGCCCATCTAGTCTGGCATCCTGTTCTCATGGTGACCAACCAAAGATGTGAGGGGAAACCAGTAAGCAGGACCTGAGCACGGGAGCCTTCTCCCCTCCTGCGGCTTCCAGTGACTGGTTTTCAGAAGCATTACTTCTTCCAACTGTGGCGGCAGAGCATAGACATCATGGCTAGGAGCCATCGTTAGCCGACTCTCCTCCATGAATCTGAACAATCCTCTTTTGAAGCCATCCAAGTCAGTGGCCACCACTGCCTCCTGTGAGAGGGAGTTCCATAGTCTAACTAAGTGCTTTGTGAAGAAGGACTTTCTTTTAACTCTTGAAGGTGAGTTCCACAGATGGTATTGACACTGCCCATTTCAACTCCATTGCTCTCGACTAGTACATTCTACGGAAGGTGTGGGGAATCTAAGGCTTCCCCAGATGTTGCTGGACCACAACTCCCATCATCCTTGGCCATTGCCCATGCTTCCTGAGACTGATGGGAGTTTTAGTTCAGCCTCATCTGGCAGGCTAAAGGTCCCTCACTCCTGCTCTACAGAGTCAGGCATTCACCATATCTCCTTCTCACTTGAGTCTCATTTTCATGGAGTTCTCAACCTGTGTCCAAGCTGTACCACTTCTGAATGAAGAGGGGGAAGATCTCATTTGATGGAACACTCTCTGCAAAGAATTCCTCCCCACACACAGAAAACAAGTGCTTCAGGGAAGAGGCAAAGCTGGAACATGGCAGGCTAGATTTCTGCATGCAGAGACTTTCTAAATGAGGGGCATTTAGTAATGAGGGCATTTAGTCCAGGGACCAAATGCAATCTTTCGGGGGAGGTGTTGCTTGCTGTTTTGTCTGTGCTTTATTTGGGGCAGGGGGTGGGGTATAGTGCTTTGCTTTGGGGGAAGGGTCCTGAGTATCACAAGATTTTTTTTTGTCCGTGAAATGGGCAGCAGCCCACACCAGCTCCTTAGATTTCAAAATATGCCTCCGGGTGCAATAAAGCTTGGGAACCCTTCCAGCACAAACCATGAACACAGAGTCATTCCTATTTCAAACTGCTTCCAATTGTCTGGGTAAAGAAAAAATGTTTCTGTCCGCTCCAGCCTTAGTCAAATGAGAATATATACATGCATATCGGCAAATTTGCAACCTATTCCTTTCTTGATCTGCCCAGCGTTCCATGCCTCTCAAATGCTGGTTGAACTAGAATGATTTCTCAAGTTCATTCCAGATTTGGACCCTGTGCCACAACTTTTCAGCTGCAGCTTTTTTTTTTTAAACTGCACCCAATGAATTTTGATGTGGTTGCAGTGTCCTCATACCAAGATGGTCTGGAAGCTGTTTACCAAGTCAGATCATTGGTCCCTCTAGCTCAGTAGTGCCTGCACTGGGTGGCAGTGACTTGTACAGAGACTTTTCCCAAGCCCTACTTGGAGATGCCATTGGGGATGGAACCGAGGCCCTCCTGCACAGAATCATAGAATTGTAGAGTTGGAAGGGACCACGAAAGTGCAACCCCCTGCAATGCAGTAACCTTTAGCCCAACGTGGGGCTTGAACCCACAAGCCTGAGATTAAAAGTCTCATGCTCTCCCAGATCATTGGGCTACGGCCCTTGTCCAGAGTCGGTGTTTTGTGTATTGCAACATGCACTTTCAGAGGACTGGGGGAGAAAGTCCCAGAGGAACTGAAAGGGATAGCAGACTGAGCATGGTTTGGACACTGTATATAAATAGGACAAAAGGAGTGTTTTTAATGCACCCAGAACTCTCCAATCCAATCCAAAAGTCAGATGAGGGGAATTTCAGAAGCATCCCTAACTCAGTGTCCACCTGGATGGGAACAGCGCGGACTCCAGACTTCGCCATCTCTCTGACACCGTAAGTGGGGTGAGGGGTTTGCATTGTGCTCCTTGTCAGATGAAGGCCAAACGCCCTGAGCTTTGGCGGCAACCCAGCCCCACACCAGCCACTGCTTTTCCTCTGAGAAGGCCTCATGGAGGATGTGAATTGCTGAGCACATTGTCTGGAAGGCAGGGGGGGGGAGCTCAGAGGTTGGCGGGGGGAAGGGAGCAGAGCCTGTCCCAGAAGCAAGACAGAAAGTTCCTTGTAGTAACGCAGGAAAACTAGGTTAGCCCCGGCCGGATTTCACAGTCTGCCGTGCACCATTGGCCGAGAAACAGGGCCGCACAGCATTTTGAACCACTTGCCATTGTTTTGGGCTGGGCCCCTGCCACAGGAAAGGACGTTAAAAGGCATTCCTCCTTCCCAGGGCAAACCATCAAGGCTCAGCTCAAAGTTTTCAGCTAGTGTATTTTTAGCCTTCGGGGGGTATTCCTGCAAGTTCAGATTCAAAAGGCTTGGTAGTGTGGCCACAAACTTCAGAGTCCCCTGGTGCAAATGCCAAGTCTTGCAAAAAGAAGAAATCTGGCTCCCCTTTTGCGCCCTTGGCAGCTGTCAGGATGCATCAATTTATCAGGTTTGAAGCCTTTCCCCATTGAAAACCTCCATGCCAGGAAGAGGTCCGCCTGCTAGATTTCAGCATGCCAGCAGCTATTTAATTTCTGCTGCTAAAGGGAGAGGAACAAGGGCCAATAAAAATGTTGGCAACCCTGCCTCTGCTACAAACAAGGTTCCCTTGCACTGGGAACTATGCCTCAGTCTTCCACCTGGAATATGGGGATAACAGGAAGACCAGAACTGGTGTAAGAGTGACAGGAGCCTGCTGCACTTCTAAAATACGATGCACAAATGCTGGTTGTTATACCCATAGAATAGATAGTAATGTATCCATAATGGAAGGAAGGATGGCCTTCTTGCAGAGGAAAAGCCCCTGTTATTCTCCATCCCCCTCCCATGAAGGGGGGAAAAGGCAGCTGATGGGCAGATCCTGCACAGAAGAGAGCGAGAACGCTCAGCTCTGTAATGAGAAGGGATGAGCGAAACAACCTCCTCACCATTTGCTCACTGCGTTACAAATCCAGCATAATAAACCATGAGGAAAACCCTCTCCTATTAGAGGGCTTCAAAGTATCTTCGGAGCTTCGTGCTTGCGTTACCCAAATGCATCTTGCAAAGGCTGCATCACATGCTGCTCTTTTCCTCCCCTCGTGTTGCAGCGTCACATCTCCTGATTCACCCTTCCCGGACTGCTTATTATTACATGTGCTTTCCAGCCTGAGGGCCACATTCCCTCCTCTGCAGCCGTCTGGGGGCTACTTGCCAGTTTGGGGCAAGGCAGACTTGATTATTGTAACTCACTCTACGTGGGGCTGCCCTTGAGACTGACCCAGAAACCCTAACGGGTCCTCGCCGTGGGATCACATTCACTCGGTGCTATAGCAGCTGCACTGGCTCCCGGTGGAGTACAGGATCAGGTTTAAGGTGCTGGTTTTAACCTTTAAAGCCCTATACAGCCTAGGACCCTCGTACCTACGGGACGATCTCTCCTGGTATGTCCCACGGAGGACCTTACGGTCTTCAAACAAAAACATCTTGGAGGTCCCGGGCCACAGGAAGGTTAGGCTGACCTCAACCAGAGCCAGGGCTTTTTCGGCTGTGGCCCCGACCTGGTGGAACGCTCTGTCAGAAGAGACTAGGGCCCTGCGGGACTTGACATCTTTCCGCAGGGCCTGCAAGACAGAGCTGTTCCACCAGGCCTTTGGCTAAGGCACAGTCTGACCCCCTCCTTTGGTAATCCTCACAGAACTCTAGCCCAATGGTTGCCATTAATTTGATTTTGAATGATTTTAGAATGAATTGATTTTAGAATGCTGTGTTACTTTTATTGTTAGCCGCTCTGAGCCCGGCTTCAGCTCGGGAGGGCGGGATATAAATAAAATTTTATTATTTTTATTTTTATTAAGGCAAGAGGCTAAAAGTGGGTGGAGCTACGGATGTGGCTCTTGCCCTACGCTCAGCTGAAGTCAGGTGTTTGTCCAGCCTTCGCCTTAGGGCAGTGAGACGCTCCCGCAACTCAAGGGCACATTCTGGCCAGGCAAAAGCACGTGAGGATGGGGTAGAACAGGGCTGGTAAGGGGTGTGGTCTGAGGAAAGGGCATGGCCTGGAAAAGGGCCGAATCAAGAGGCCTGGAGGCCTGCAGGTTTACAACGGTAGATTGGCAGGGAGCCACAGCTCAAATGGATTGGCTCCCTTTGGCAAATAGTTCAAGCGAAACCAACACCCCTCATGTGCAAATGGGACGTTTCATTTCCTTTAGAAATTAAAGGGTAGCAAACAACTGAGCATGTGCAATGGTAGTGGGGGCTGGCTGCTTAGGGCAGATCCATACTACACATCCAAAACACATTTAAAGCACATGGTTCCTCCCAAAGAATCTTAGGAGCTGCAGCTTGTTAAGAATGCTGGGAACTGTAGCTCTGCAAGCAGGGGGAACTACAGTTCCCAAGATTCTTTGGGGGAAGCCATGTGCTTTGAAGGTGCATTCGATGTGCTTTAAAAGTATGGTGTTGATCTGCTCTTCGTCCTGCAACCATGCAAGCACGGAAAATATTCAGTTCATAATCTATCTCTGTTTGAGTTATGAAAATAGACCCAAGTCAGGGCTCACGACACGTTTGAGACTTACAAAACTACCAGATTCGACTGACCAACCGACTAATTTCAAGTTTCAGTTCCACCACCAGCAAAGAGGGGAATGGAAATGAGTAACCTCCAGGCAAAGCCTGAGGAAGCTCCTTGTTAGCTTCACTTCAACTGCCAATGCACACAGCAGCTTGTGAGCCAGTCGGAAGTGCCTGTAGCAGCCGCCCTCCCCACCTGTGGGAAGCCCCACTTCCAACTCTATCATTCTTACCCCTTCCCTGATGTAGCAAGGCCTGGCTTCTCCTGCCAGGGCACTGAGAGCACTGGAAACACCTCTCTGCTGGTGCCTGCAATTACTGATCCTGATAGCCAACACTACAGTCTTTTAGAACCAAGAGGCTTTTAGAACCTGGTTCACAAACTGTTGCTTGAATCAGCCCAAAGCCCATAAAGGGCTCTGAGGAAGTATAGAGTTCAAGGGCAGGGGGCATTGTGCAAAGCAAGAGCACAGAGTATGTCCCAGAAGATTATTGGATAGGGCTGGCTCAGGTACCCCTTTCTCTCCTTCTTGGTCAACAGGACAGTCAGATTTTCCCTTGTTCCAAGAGCCCTTCCCTCCATAAAAGAATTTGGGGGGCAGATTGTGCTGGTTTCCCCCCACCACAGCATACATACACTTCATCTCAGGCGTCTCTGGTGTGAATTCTGCCCCATATAAAAGTCTGCATCGTCTGCCCCCACTGACTGCAGTGCTTGACAATTTTATATTTGGATCAGGCATCCTCAAACTCGGCCCTCCAGATGTTTTGGGACTACAATTCCCATCATCCCTGACCACTGGTCCTGTTAGCTAGAGGTGATGGGAGTTGTAGTCCCAAAACATCTGGAGGGCTGAGTTTGGGGATGCTTGATCTAGATAGATATAGATAGATGTACCCACTCTCTGACCCACATATCTGACACCCCACACAGCTTTACTTGACCATCTCAGACCATGTGGCTGAGAGAGCTGGATCCTTCCTGCAAGCACAGGGAAGAAAGATTCCAGACTCAGCTCTGTCTTCATTTTCCCACATCCGACCAGATGCAGGAGCCCCAGCCTTTATCAAATTAAACCTGCTCCTCTCCTCCGCATCCTTCATTCCCCTGCCTCACAATTCCAGCTCCGGCTACCCAAGCATGAAATGGAAAGCCAGCTTCCTTCGGAATCCACCCAGAATATCATGCAGAGAGACAGTGGAAGGGGAAAATCCACCGATGCTTAATTTCATGCAACAATCGCAACTGAACGTAACGTGTGGGGAAACTCCCCGACATGCGACGCACGTGCATTTAAATTCTTCCTCGTTAGATCTTTGCAAATGAACCGGTGTGGAATTGGTTCATTCGTTTACAGGGCTCCGGCAAAGTCGGAAAAAGCCGGGTATCCACGCCTGTCTCACTCCATTTACATCTCTAAAGGGTTTCCTGGCTGGGAAGCCCACTCAGAACAAGAAGGGGGAAAGAGAGCAAAGCTTCTACGCTCTGTGTCTGCTTCTGATGCTTTCAACAAGGAAGCTCCCGCCAAACCAAAGACACACATGTTCTCACTCACACGCCTCTCATTATTCCACGAGAAATTATGGCTTTCAGACGGGCAAATGTTACCTGGTGGCTCAGCGTAACCCAGATCTCCATTGTCTTGGCTCGGTTGTATCGGAAGCACAACGCCAGACTCTCCCCAGATCAGGTTCAGTTGCGGTTGCTACAAAACCGACCTGCTCTTCCCAGCCGTGCGGAGAGGAAAACCCCCTCCGTCAAAGCATATCCCTGTGTCATAACAGCCAGCCTAGCTCCGCGAACATCCCTGGCGTTGCCATAGCGACGGCTTACCTCCAGCAGCGGTCCAGGGGCTCCTGCTCTTGAGATCTCTCCAGCGTCAGCCGTGCAGAAAGGACCTGCGAGAGATTCCCGGTTCAAGTTCCAGATGTGGGGGTCGGACCGACGGACAGATGGGGGTGCTCATCCCCCACAGGGGGCTCATCGTGTGGCTGCTGAGAGAGAAAGAAGAACATGAATTCATCGCCCTCTCTTCGACGAAATCTGCCGCCCAGCCAGATGTTTCCCTGTAGCAGCCAACAAGGCATTAGAGCAGCTCATGAAGGCAGCCCTTGTCCCCGACACGCCCAGAACAAGGCGAATGATCTGATCCCGGCAGTTTCCTTTGATCAAGCTTCACACTGAGCGTGCGGAGTAAATCATGTTTTCCCCGAGTCACAATTCCATGCCCAGTTATGAACGGGCAACATAAGCATCCTGGATCCCCAAACCACCTGCAGATTCTTTGCAAAGGGATAGCAGGTGCTTGTTTTTATTGGGGGAGCGAGGAAGAAGAGCCCACTGTGCAGAAGATAATTACTTTAATTATATATATGCATTTTTCGACTCGGTATTTTTAGCCTTCCCCGCGTTTGTTGGCGGCTTACAAATAAACAAAATCAAGCACGTGCAATATTCAACTGAAACTGAAGTGCAATTCATCACACAAAGACCACTCGTGTATTGCACAGGCAGATGATGTTTCAATTTCCCCCTCTCCTAAAGACCTGAGCAGCTGCAAAGGCTTTATTGATACTAATGCTAGGGTCCCCAAAGTGGAGTCTGTGGGCACCTCTGTACCCTCTGACACCAACTTGGCACCAGAAAAGCCCCTTTTAAATTTTTTGCCCAAAAGACAAGATCATTACAAAAGAAGTACAATATTGTATCTATATGTGTACAAATAAAACATAATTTAATTTTTTTGGAGGGATTGTTTGTTTTTGGGAAAGATGTTGCCTGTTCTTTCGCCTGCGTTTTATTTGTTATGGGGTGCCTGAAATGGTTTGCCTACTTGGCAGAGTTTCTTGCGTTACAAGTATTTCTTGTGAAATATGGGTTGTTTTTTTAGGAATAATTAAATAATTCTCCAGGGTTTCAGGCAGGGGTGTCTCTCTCTCTCTCAGCCCTACCTGGAGATGCCAGGGATTGAACTAGCGACCTTCTGCATGAACATAGCGGACAACTGCATCTGGGGGAGGGCTAATCCAGAACTGCCCCCACCCTGCCATGCTGGGAGTTCTCTCTGTTGTGCCGGAGGGACCTTCCATTATTGCATTTTGTACCTGGGAATCCAACCAAAGAGCTTGACAGATCCGTGTATATTTGGAAGGGAAGGAAATGGGGGAACAGGACCCCCCCCTTGCCTTCCACAACAAGATGCCAAGATTAAAAGGCTTTCTTCAGTCCCCTTTCAAGATGTATCCAACTCACAAGGTTATCACCTGCCCGACTGATTAGTTCATCATACGACCGATGGCTGGGATTACAGAGGTAGTGGCCCTTCTTCGTCCACTGTGAGGACTTGCAGCTGGGACTTTTCAGGGGGAGATTTGAGTGCGCGGACCCCTCCACATTCACATCATGAAATGTAGGTCTCTGAAATGCAAAGCAATATATTCACATTATAGATTGCCAAGGATAACTAACTGTCCGATTCTATGACCACAAGCTTTACTTTCAGAGAGAATTAGTACAGTTTCTTACTGGTAAGATCCATGTTGTTGTTTTTTAATACCTGAATTTCTTTGCCCTTGGGGATCAGATTCCAGAAAGGGGGGGGGGGGTAAACAAACAAACAAAAAAATCAACCAGCTATCTTCCGGGCTCTTCACTGATCCAGCTGCACACCATGCATAATTGTATACTGCTTTCAAGGATAGGAAAGAGCCTCTTGCCTCTGACCCCAGGGAGGGGCTGCAGTTAATGCACAGCCCAGTGATGAGACAGAGGGACTAAGGATGCAAGTCAGTGGAAGGAAACCTTGGATATTCCTTGTAATATAAAGGGTATTAGGGGAGGGGTAGTACCTCTGGTGGGGGACATGTCGCGCTCCTTCTGGGCAGGGGTGCTAACTTGAATAAAATACTGTGGGGGCCCAGGTAAGCCCCACCCCACATAATTGATCACATGATGCAGAGCATACACACTATTTGAATGGGAATGCCCATCAACTTTGTGGGGGCCCAGCTCCCTCAAATTCTTTATTGTGGAGGCCGAAGCACTCACGGCCCCTAGGCATTGGCTCCTATGCTTCTAGGGTAGTTTGTCTACCTTTCTACAGCAGGCTAGTTTACACACACACATACACACACACACACACACACACACACACACCACTTTTCTATCCTCCATTGAGGCAAGCAAAAGGCAGGATCAGAGTTGTAGGACACATTCCAGCCAAGCAAAGACACTCCAGGAGGGTGTGAAGCAAAGTCAGTGAGGAAAGTAGCCTGGGCAGAGTTTGGAGGGCCTAGAAGGCCTTGACAGACACCTCGGGCCTAAGGTTCCTCACCCATCACTTTAAAAAAAAAGGAAGACATAATAAGTCTATTAACCCTTTTCAGCCACGATACTGAAACTGAACCTCCACGTTAAGAGGCACTCTACCTCTAACTACCCATTGCTGGGGGCAAATTGGGGGTGAGGGTTGCTGCCTTCATGCTCCAGTGGTGGGATTCTGCCTGGTCACTGCTGGACACAAAACTCTCTGTGGGGTCCCCTCCTCCTCGCCATGCCATCCGGCCCAATCGCCAGCCCTCGCCCCCAGTGCCAAATCAACAAAACTACCCAAAGGGAAGGGAAGGATACAGATGCATGTCCTCCCCCCCCCTTGTTTTTGTTCAGAAGGGTCAAGCAGAGGAAGAACAGGGCCAGGAGGCTCCAGAGGCCAGTGGGGTTGGGGGAACGACTGGGTGGGCCCTGGTAGGTCGCCTGACGAAGCCTGCTGCAAGCACCCAGCCCTGAATCTTAAAGGAGCCTCAGCAAAGGAGGGAAGTGGCTGGAGTGTGGTGCATATTTTTCCTTTAAAAAGAAACAGCAGCAACAGCAATCGAGACTTCTCTCTCTCGCTCTCTAGGCCGCAACCCAGCCTATGAAGATGCTTCTTGCCCAGGGCCGGAAATGAAAGGAGAGATAACGTCTTAGGAAAGATAAAAACCGTGGAACAAAACAAATCTTCGGGTCTGACAGGAATATGTACAGGACAAACTGGGTTGAAGTGGAAACGCAGCAGCCACTTTTGTTGCGCTGATAATCCACCCACCACGCAAACACATCCATCTGGAATCTCTTTCTCTCTTTCCACATGCACAGACACTCTCGTAGACTCATAGAATTGCAAAGTCGGAAGGGATCCCAAAGGTCCTCTAGTCCAACCCCCTGCAATGCAGGAATCCCAGCTAAAGGCCACCCAACCTCTGCTTTTCCAAGGAAGGAGAGGCCACCACCTCTCGTGGGAGCCTGCTCCTTTCACATAAGTTGAATCCATTGGTATGGGTCCTACCCTCCAGAGCAGGAGAAAACAAGCCTGTTCCATCTTCCATGTGACAGCCCTTTAGATATTTGAAGATGGCCGTTGTAGCTCCTCTCAGTCTCCTCTTTGTCAGGCTAAACATGCCGAACTCCCTCAACGGTTCCTCATAAGGCTTGGTTTCCAGACCCTTGATCATCTTGGTTGCCCTCCTTTGCCCACACTCCCAGCTTGTCAAGATCCTTCTGAAATTGTGGTGCCCAGAACTGGACACAGTACAGTGGTACCTCGGGTTACAGACGCTTCAGGTTACAGACACTTCAGGTTACAGACTCCACTAACCCAGAAATAGTACCTCGGGTTAAGAACTTTGCTTCAGGATGAGAACAGAAATCGTGCAGCGGTGGCATGCCAGCAGCAGGAGGCCCCATTAGCTAAAGTGGTGCTTCAGGTTAAGAACAGTTTCAGGTTAAGAACGGACCTGCAGAAGAAATTAAGTTCTTAACCTGAGGTACCACTGTATTCCAAGTGTGGCATAATAAAGCAGGACTATTGCTTCCCTTGATCAGGACACTATACTTCTGTTGATGTAGCCTAGAATAGCATTAGCTTTTTTTTGCTGCTGTATCACACTGTTGTCTCTCTCCCTCTCCCCTTCTGGTAGGGCTGGCAGTTCTCAACCCCCTACCTCCCCCCCCCCCCCAGTTTCCTAATGTCTTGCCCCATCATTCCATCTGCATGGTGGGATGTGGGGGAGAAGCTCTCCCTTCCGGTAAGGGTGGAACTGGAAAAGCTGCCTGCCTAAAACCCCGAAGAGCCATTGCCCGTAGACTGTCTTGCCAGACTGGTGCATGCTCTGGTTATCTCCCGCTTGGACTACTGCAATGCACTCTACATGGGGCTACCTTTGAAGGTGACCCGGAAACTACAACTAATCCAGAATGCGGCACCTAGACTGGTGAGTGGAAGTGGCTGCCAAGACCATATATAACAGCGGTCCTGAAAGACCTACATTAGCTCCCAGTACATTTCTGAGGACAATTCAAAGTGTTGGTGCTGACCTTTAAAGCCCTAAACGGCCTCAGCCCAGTATACCTGAAGGAGCGTCTCCACCCCCATCATTCAGCCTGGACAGTGAGGTCCAGCTCTAAGGGCCTTCTGGCAGTTCCCTCACTGAGAGAAGTGAGGTTACAGGGAACCAGATAGAGGGCCTTCTCGGTAGTGACACCTGCCCTGTGGAACGCCCTCCCATCAAATGTCAAGGAAATAAACAACTATCTGACTTTTAGAAAACATCTGAAGGAAGCTGCATCAGAAAATTTTTAATGTTTGATGTTTTATTATGTTTTAAATATTCTGTTGGGAGCCGCCCAGAGTGGCTGGGGAAACCCAGCCAGATGGATGGGGTATGAATAATAAATTATTATTATTGCGAATCTGCACAGACACCTCAACTAGGTGGACCAACAGTCTGTCACAGTCCTCTTTGCATGCATAAAGTCCCTGGTTCAACCCAGTTGATGCTGGAAAAGACTCCTGACCAAGGGTGAAGCAGAATATCTAAGTGCACACGATCACAGTGTGACCTTATGACCCTCGGCAGCTTCACCCTTGTCCTTTTAATTATCCCAGTGACTTGAAATGTTTTATACTGTGATGACAATAAAGGTATTTGATTTGATTTGACTCCAGACCAACATCCTGGAGATACCCCACTGCCAGTCAAAGTCAAGAAAACTAAGCTCGATGGGCGGACTCTGCAGAAGGCAACTTTCTATGTTCTCAGGTTTCTTGACTCTTCAGCAACTTGCCCCATCATTCCACCTGCATGGTGGTATGGGAACCATGGAACATGTGCCCATTACACAGCTGTTTTTTAAAGGGCTGGCTGGCAAATTTTACCAATGATTTATTAAGTAAAAGCAAAGGCACATCTAGGATCCCCTGCACCCCTGGCAAGGAGCTGTACTGGCAGACCCACCAGGGGGGGAAAATCACTTTACTGCAATAGCCACAGTAGGAATCACTTTATTTTACATGGCCCAAGTACAATACTCGAAGCATCTTGCGTGAGGGCAAGGCAAGAAAGAAAAGCCCCCCAAAACTGCACACTTTTGTGCCACAGTGTGAAAAGGATGGGAAGCTTCTGCTGCTTCTCGCCATGAGAGCAGCAGCACGTCGCCACACACCTATATGTCAATCAACTCCATAGGTGATTTTGGGGAGGGAGGCTGTTCCACCAAGCAGGGGCTGGTTTCGCCAACCCCTTGGTATGCCTTGGAGTGGAAGATGTGAAGACTTGCAGATGCTCACCTTAGCACAGGGTCTACCTCTGCAAAAAACCTGCATCAGAAAAATTCTACTTTTCTGTAAGGGTATATTCACATTCACCCCATGATCTATTTGTTGCCTGCTCTGCTCCCAGATATCTAGGCAGGTAACCATCAGTTCTGTAATGTTTAAGCAAACTGGTTAAAGAGTGTGTGTCCATTAGTGAGATCACACACCCACCTACCCCAGATGCATTTCAAGCTACATTTGCAAAGCGATGTTCACATCAAAGAGGGGGCAGATGTGTCTTCACACACACCCCACATGACCATTTTGGGGTTTCCCTGCCCCCCAATTTCCCCCACAAAACTCCTACTCATTGAAGCATCACCTGCACATATGCGAAGGAAATGTCTGCATTACCACTTGTTCCACATCCAGTTTTCTAGCTGGATTGAAACTGGCTTGAGAAAAACACACACACACATCAAACACAGCAGAATTTGTCAAGAATCGATAGGGAAGGCGGCTAACGGTGTATGAATGAGGCTTCAAAAACTAGCCATGGGAGCCCACAGCACGAGGTAAGTAGGCAGTAATGGAAGCAGCCCCTAAGTAGCAGTAAAGGAGCAAGCCCCCTTGCCCCACTTTGCCAGGATTCAGAGCTGGCCTCTTCCCACGGAGCTCTCTGTGGCTTAACATACTTTGAGCTCATGGGCTTAAGAAGCTTGGACTTCAAGCTGGGTCATGCTATGAAAGGGTTCATTTGCAGCAGCAAAATCCAAGCAGTCTTTCCCAAAACTCAACCCTCTCTCAAAGCTCGTAACAAAGACACACCTTCCTGAGAGAACCTAGCTGGCTTTCGTGCTGTGTTATATAATGTGCCTAAATGAAAGCCATGGTTTGGGCTAGGTGTTGCAACGGAGCTTATTTACAAGGAAATGAAGCAAGGCTTTACTAAACATGAGCTGCTAGATGGGCTCCGATCTTGCAAGGAAGGAGCAGGTCTGTGCATAAATCTCAGCCGGCCTTGCTCGTTCTACAGGAAGGAGGTCAAAACAGATGTGACCTCTAGCAACCACCACACCACAGTCCTGCTGCTACAGGAATTAAAGGAGGGCAGGGAAGAGGATATCCCCATTGTCTCTGCAAAGCAAGCTTCTGAATAGAATCACCAACACTTAAAATCCAGCTCAGTCCTCTCCTCCTGGCTTCTTGGATTTCACCAGGCAGACTTCCCCCCACACTTGCAGCATTGCGGAAGTGTCGTCGTCCCCCCCGCCGCCCGCAGATGAAACCCAAAGGTCTGACAGCCCACACCAAATTAGAATTTGATGGCAGCAGGCGCGTTATACTGTAGCTTACAGCGACCTTTCTCATGCGCTAAGTGCAAGCAGCCACACACATCAGGCTTCAAGCACACAGGAGTTTGAAACCTAGCATCCTTCCGCTCAGCCATGCCACTCCTTCAAACCCTTTTGTGCACCCTGATGCCACAGCCGTGCCAGTGAGTGCACTGTTTTGCACCACAGGTGATGTGCCACGTAAACTGTACCAAGTCAGATCGTCAGATCAAGTCAGACCATTCGCCAGTCAAGCTCAGAAATGGCTACACCGAACTGTAACAGCTCTCCGGGATGTTTTTCAGATGTCAGAGGCTGAACTTAAGGCTCTGCCGCTGAACTGCAGACCTTGCACAAAAGATTTTGCAACTGGTCCCCCCACACCCCGCTCCCGTGCAAGACTGGGTGATGAGGCTTGTTTGCGCATCACCGTGCACCCCATGGGTTTGCATGGAGAGCCACAACTGCCTCTTCCCCACCACATCCACACATTCGGGGCCCGTCTGTGGAAACTGCACAGACTGCATTCCATCTGTGCTCCATCTGTGCGGAGAACGGTACAAACACATTGGAACTTGCCCGAAAACAAAGCCAAGCCCTCCTGCAAAGGAAGAAAAGTTAGTGCTTTTTCGCAAAGGGCACAGATTTCATACGACAGGATTCCCAGAGGCATCCCCAACAAACTCACGTGGCTGGTCTGCGGGCTGGTCTTGGGTCCAGTTTTCGCTCCCTTGGAGGTGTTTGCTCTTTGCACAGCTGGGAAAATAAAAACAGAGGCTGCAAAGGGTGTGTGAGAGGCGAGCTTCCTCTTGGCTCCCCTTTTCCTTTGCGAAACCAATTGACCGCGGACTTTAAACAGTCCCTCCTTCTTAGCCACCCTGGGAGAATTAGCGCTGCTGTGAACTCGCTGCCAAGTTGCCTGCCAACCGGGCTCTGCCGCCTGGCACATCCATGCTCCCTTGGTGGCTGCTTGAAAGGCCTTGCACAACTTCGCCAGCGAGATAAACACTCCAGAACTCTGTAAGAGCCAACCTCCAACTCGCCGTTTATCACATAAGCAGGGGAGTCAGTCGCGCGCACACACACACACAGGAACACACACACATGCAATCCCGTCCCAAGGCTGCCAAATCCAGGCCAGGATTTATGAGGAAGGCTCGACCACAAAGGGTTTTATCTTTGGCTTTTAGATAAACGGTCCCAAAGTAGCTTGTGAGTTTCTTGGGGCAAAGGGGAGGGGAGGAGAGAGGAATCAAACAACAGGCCTTCTCAGCGATGTTTTCTGGACCATGAAAAGCAGGAGGTGCTGCATCATATGATCGCAGCCTATTAAGTGAGCAGCAGCAGATTCCAAGTCAGGACCGGCAAACAGACAACAGGGGGCCGTGCCCTCGAAAGCAAGGAGCAGAAGAGGCCACCCACCACCCGGGTCATCTAGTCCAACCCCCTAAAATGCAGGACCCCCAGGCTGGTGGCCTTCAGACGTTTTGTGGCTTCACTGTCCATCAGCCCCCAGGCGGCATGGCGAAAGTTCAGGGATGGTGGGTTCGCAGTCCAGCAAGATCTGAAGAACAGCAGCTTGGTAAGGCTGGTCAAGGCCATTCAAATGCTGCGGCAAGAAAAGCCTGATCTTGTAGGCTGCTATGAATTATGCACACACATATTGTTGCTCTTCTTTTGCATGACTGAGTCTGCACTTTTGCCTGTTTTGGATAATTTATTCCACCTTTGCAAGTCACAGGGCAGAAGAAAGAGCTGTGCAAGGCGACCCCACCCTCAGCTATTGCAAACTTTGTTCCCGTCATCCCCACTGGCTTCTGTGTCGGGCTTTGCTAAGTGGGTCTCCTCCTTTTGGACTGCAACTCCCATCAGCCCCAGTCACCATGGCTGTGCTGGAGGGCATGCAGTTGGCCAAAGCTTTCCTAATATTTGAACCGGCATTGCCTGTCTGCTTCTAGGGATGAAGGAGAGATTCAGTTGTGTTTGGGTTTTAGTGAGAAGCGACCTGATTTGCACTTCTCAAACACTTGTGCAAAGCAAAACATAATTACAGTATTCATCAAACTTTGCACTTCCCCAAATGTTGTGATGCAGTTCTCCAGTCAGTTTGTATAAAAATGCCTAATTATTGGAAAGTGTGCCTTAAAACACATACGTCCGTGAAAGTATTTCATTATATAAGAATACATTGTTTGACGGAGTGTATTAGCCAAAACTGCACCCCAAAACGTGTATATTTGGAGAAATGGGCACTGAAATGCTGACAACTTTTCATAAGGATTTTTAAAAAAAATCTCTGCAGAACTGTGGAGAACCGAACTTTCGCTTGGAAAAATGAGAAACTGAAGTGGATAAATTTGTCCGCCCTCATTTCCTGCTTCTGAGCATGGCTTTATTTCTCTGGAAACAGAAAGCTCAATCACAAATGTGTCCTGGGGTCTCTTCCCTACCTGATATATTTGAACATGCCAAGTGAGGCTCCAGTGAGGCTGGAGGGGCACTTATTTGCTGTAGGCTTATTAATAAAACTTCCAACTGGTAACCATGCCCTTTAACACCCATCCAATGAGATGTTCAGTGTTCTGAAAGAGCTACAGTGGTACCTCGGGTTACATATGCTTCAGGTTACATGCGCTTCAGGTTACAGACTCCGCTAACCCAGTAATAGTACCTCGGGTTAAGAACTTTGCTTCAGGATGAGAACAGAAATTGTGCTCCGGCGGCGCAGCAGCAGCAGGAGGCCCCATTAGCTAAAGTGGTGCTTCAGATTAAGAACAGTTTCATCTTAAGAACGGACCTCCGGAACGAATTAAGTTCTTAACCCGAGGTACCACAGTATGTCCCATTCTCTTGTGCACCATAACTTCCTGTTCATTTGTTGTTTATGCTGTTAAAAAACACTATATTTTCATGCTGCAAGTCGGAGCTCAGTGGCTCTGATTGTTCCCAGCCTGCATATCAGGCCAGGAAGTGACCAGCTCATGGGTCCAGTATGGCTCAGGAGGCCTCTTCATCTGTCCCTTTGGACTCTCGCCAGACCTCACCCCTCACCAGCCCACCTGAGTCACAAGTCGATCTGTTGCTCCACCCACTATTGCCTCTGGCCCCGCCCCCACCCAGGAAGGTTGCTCATAAAGGAACACAGCCTTGAGTCTGAAAATGGTTTCTGACTCTTGCTGTAGTTGCTATCAAGCAGAGACAGTGCAAGGTAAAAAACCTAGTAGTGTAGATTGCTGAACTACGAGACTTGGAATTGAATTTGCACTGGGAATACACATACCCTAACTTATATTATAGGGAAAACAGGGTTGGAAGCAGCAATGCTTCTGAATACCAGGTGCTGGAAACTGCAGGAGGGGAGAGAGCTTTCGTGCTTGAATCGTGCTTGCAGGTTTCCCACAGGCATCTGGTTGGCCACTGTGAGAATAGGGTGTTGGACTAGATGAGCCATTGGCCTGGTCCAAAGTTTCTTACATTCTTAAGGTTTACTGGAGAACAGCATAACAATCTGGACAGGCACCATCTGGAAGCAGTTCCAGATCCCTTTGTATCAGCCTTTGCCGCCTTAGAGCCTTCAAAATATTTTGGACTAGAGTCCAATGGCGTTGTACTCCAAAATATCTGGAGGGCACCAGGTTCCTGGTGGCAGCGTTACAGAATGAAGCCTTGGAGAAGGCAATCCTGACCTCTAGTGGCCACAACTTCTAAATGCACAAGAGACAGTCTATAACATGGGTAGGGAAAATTAAGGCCCGGGGCCCAGATCCGGCCCAATCGCCTTCTAAATCTGCCCCACGGACGGTCCAGGAATCAGCATGTTTTTACATGAGTAGAATGTGTGCTTTTATTTAAAATGCATCTCTGGGTTATTTGGCGGGCATAGGAATTTGTTCACCCCCGCAAAAAAAAAAAAAAGTCTTGCCCCCCCACAAGGTCTGAGGGACAGTGGACCGACCCCCTGCTGAAAAAGTTTGCTGACCCCTGGTCTATAATATATACTGTATGTTCAAAGCTCTAGGCTGGAACACCCTTAAGGCAACTGGGGATGATGGGAGAGGGGCCTTCTCGCTCATGGTGTACATACACCTTCCTGTCATTTTGCTGACGGTGCTTAATGGAGATTGCAGTGTAAGACATCCACGAGGCATGGAAGAGTTTGCCACAATTAGGGTTGCCGTATTTCAAAAAGTGAAAATCCAGACACAAAAGTTGTTGAGCTTTTGGGAGCAAAGCTGTTGATCAACTTTGGCAAAATTGCAAAAAATAAATAACGTTTTGGAGCTAATTTAAAGGAAAATCACCAAAAACGTCACTGCCGACGTAGGTAGTCATATATGCACCCGGATTTTCCCTGACATTTTTTGCGATTTCCACCTAGACACTACTTCCGACTGCAGTATTCCAGTTATGTCCAGGAAATTCCAGACGTGTGGCAACCCTACCCACGATACTGGGCCAATGAAACTGAAGGAAGAATTTATTGCAATTGTCAAATGATGTCTGCCATTGCAGTGCAGATATTGTTTTGGAAAGCTGGAATTGGGTAGGGTCACCGTTCAATGTGAACTGAATTGAATTTCTCTTCGATCCTTAGTTTGGGCTGATGGGATTTGAGTTCAACATCATGTAGGATCCGGAGGGCCCGAGTTTCTCCTCCTCCTGGTTAAAAGCTTCTCCAGGTTGGGGGTTTGGGCAGGGGCAGAACTGTAACTGGAGCAGGTTTCACCTTGTGCCGGCTCACTCACAGCCATTTCAGAAATGATTATAAATATAAAATTAAAAGCCGTCATAAAAATTTAATTTGGCTTGGTGGCTTTCTAGAACGTTAATTAACACTTATGGGCGTCCCAGAGCACAACTGTGTGAAATCCTTTTTAACCGTCAAGAATTGATTGAACCTGGTACCATCCATGGTCGTTAGGCCTGACCTGGGTGCGCTTCTAATCACAGTATGCCATATTTAACATTTTTATAAAAATACCCAGGTATAGAAGAACCATTTTATGGGCTCATTTCAGTGTCTTACCTTCAAATATTTTAAATGGCAGATTGGCTCGAGACCCAGACAGACGTGGTCCGTGTTAACTGTGCAGAGGCCAATCTCTTGTGTTCTTTTCTGGATGTTTCCATCAGGGGCTCAAAGAACACATAATATATCCTCTTCATGGCAAGTTTTCTGCTTAATCTTCAGAGAGCCTCCTGAGTTCCTTCTTCAAGGGGACTGATGAATTTATTGCCACACAAGTGGCCAAAATATCTGAAGTTGTACCGTATTGGCCTGAATATAAGCCACACCCGCAGATAAGTTGCACCTTTAAAATTCAAGGGGGGAGGAAGAAAAAAAGACAATACCCGAATATAAGCCGCTCCCTTAAAATTGTGTTTTATGCTGGTGCTGGTGGTCCTAGGAGCTATGCGCTGCCATGGCGCCCGCCATGTTGCCTCACCAGAAGTCCTGTAAAAGCCAATTTTTGCAAGGCCGTGAATTTAAGCAGCACTTTTATTTTTCACTGTCGGAATTTGGAGAGAAAAAAAGTGTGGCTTATACCATATTCAGGCCAATACGGTACTTGCTGTGATCATTAGCTTATTTTTAAAAATAACCAGCTTTTGTTTTGTTTGTTCTTGACCAAAAATCATTGCAATTTGTCTTCTTACAAGTCAGTGGATGATAATGAACATCTGACTGACCAACCATGGAAGTCCACAATATGCTCAAGTGCCTTTGTTACTTGGCATGGCTGGGATATGTAGCTGACATGCGCTGCGGCCTCCTCGTGTTCGGCTTTTGGGAGGTTGTCCTTGAGGTCGCCCTGACTGAAAATGATTTCCCCACCCTGCATTACATATTCATTTTGCGAGTCAGTCTAGGGAGGCTGCAAAGCTGCATTACGTTGTTGCTGGTTTTGGTAAATTGATGCCTAGGCCGAGTCTGACATCAGCGTAGCGATGTAATCTACTTCAGGAGCATTTCTCCTCTTGTGGATTTACTTTTGCCTCTCACCCCCCCCCTCACTGTTTGCCAGTTTCTAGTGTGCAGCCCCCCAGGAGGTCACCGGTGAGGAAATATGGAGCACCCTCTTCTCATGAACTGGCAAGGGCAAGGAGCCAAGGCCCCGCTCTCCCAGGATTAAAGGCCGTGAAGCCCCACTTCCCAGCTTCGTACCATAGATTAAGATACCACAGTGGTGTCCGACGCAAAAATGAAGGAAGACACAAAAGGCTGGCTTGGTAGACATTTTTTAAGTGTATTTGGTTTAAGAAAATACAGGAGCACTACTGCCACATGAACAGCAAACGCAGGCCACAGCAGAGGTCAACAGCACAAAAAACTCCCTAACAAAAGCACTGGCTTCCCCCTGGAGAATTGTTTTGGGTTGTTGAGTCTTGCTAGAGAGGGGGGCATCTGAGAGAAAGAGAGCAATGACATGGGTGGGTGTTGAATCGGGGTGAAACTCTTGCGAAGACAAAAATCGAACAAGAAGCAAGATTGCAGCTGGCAGCAGGCGGGCACATTTTCGGTTTAGTGTTTTAATTTTGCACCATGCCCTACCCCCACCCAAATTAAGGCAAGAGAACAGGCGCATTGCAACACACAGCACAGGTTTTGCTACGTTGCTGCCCCATCAAGGAGGGTGCATTGCAAGCTACTGGCAAGCTACTGGCAAACAAAGCTGCCCAGAGGTTCCTGAGGAAAGTTATTTGCCTGCAATCCAAAGCCGCATGCAAAGATATATGTGCACATGGAAAAGGTGCCCCCCGGTCCCATCACACACCTCACTCTAGTTCCACAGTGGAGAGCATTTTTAAAAAACTGTCTACAAAGGGGGAAAAGATTTGAACTGTGGGCCACAGGGAAAGTGGCTGCTGTTCAGGGGTGAAGGGGGGATCCCTGTCTGAGAGACACACATGTGAGAGGGGCAGAGGCTAGGGCAAAATCAGAGCCCCTTCAGAACTCCCTCAAAACTCTGAAGATTTCTCTAGGTCCTATTAAGAAGCTCAGAAAATTTGTGGATCCTTGAGAAGTGACCAGATGGCTCTGGCTAAAGGGATCAAGTGGGATCTTTCTCAGAGCACCCAATATTGCCAGTCTGTATGTACAGCTCACTCAAGAGCTCACAATTCAACAGGGCCCAATTTAGGGTAGATCAGGGGTTGCCAACATGATGCTCTCCAGGTGGTGTTGGGACTCCCATCAGCCGCAGACAGTACAGCCCATGGCTGTGGATTATGGGGGTTGCCATGCCCCTTTAGGTCCAGGCTAGAGAGGAACCATGCAGGATGTGCTTACAGACCCAGAGTCCTAGGCCTACTCACAAGTAGGGGGTCTGTGATACTCCTTCACTGCCTGTTAAGAATGTGTTTGGGAGGCCAGAGTATACAAGGCCCCCACTTGGGCCTTCCATTTGCTAGAAGCAACACAGGCCTCATTCCCCCACCTTGCTGAACTCTCTCTGCGCTATTGACCTTGTTTCTGGATCACGTTTTGGACCGAGATTCTCTGTGCCTGACCCTGCTTGTGTTGAGACTTCACTGCACCCTTAAGTGACTTAGTGTGTCTTCCAAACTTAACGTGAGACACACATCTGAAAACTGAGGAGACCTAACTGTCTGCTGCAAGAGAAGGTGGCCTTTTTGAATCCTCGGCTGGGCAGGGAAGAGAAACAATATCTGCAGACAGGACTCCACCAACAGAAGACCATGGTGGGAATCCAGCCTTAGTCGGAGACAAACAAGGGCCTCAAGGCTGACAGGGGCTGCCCCATGCGCATCAATGGGAGTAAAAGCTCCGTGGGGTGGCCCCACTTTGGAGAGAGGAGACTTTGTTGCTGGGCACTATGGCTTCCCTGACTGTGCATCGGCTGCTCTGATTTCACAAAGGGGTGGGGGCTAAAAAGACATACTAAACTCCCCAAACCTATTTGGTGCTTTAGCTAGGAAGCTTTGTAGCTCAACAGCCCATTTAGGGCATCGTAGTCAAACTCAGGCACAGAAAAAAAGCTGGTCCCGGAACTGAAATCAAAAGGCACTTTTCCCCGAACGTTCACTACACCTTCCCGTAGCCCTTAAAAAGGCAACCAAAACAAGAGCACTGGCTACGGCAGCCATCTTTCAGCAAGGAGCTGCCATCCTTTGCTTCTGGGCTGCCAGTCTGGCGAAGACCATCCTTGCCAAGGCACATCGCGGCTACCACCCGATACACACCCACCCCTTTCTCCCTCAAAGCGCCGCAAAAGAACAATACAGTACATAAATGTCAACCCAACAGCATTTATATTGGCTATTATAGCATAGCAGTTGGCTGTAAGGAGGAGGGGAGGAGGGATAACAGCAGCTGCAACTCGAGCAAAGCAAGGCAGAGAGGCAGAGAGAAAAAGCTTTGGAGAGAATTGTTTTTGGACCGGACAGCTGTCAAGCCCCAGCTGCCAACAGCCTTCTCTTACAATGCGGGAATCTTACATGCTTGTTTGCCAAAGGAAGGTGGTTTCAATTTTTGAGCCAAAACATTTCCTTGAAGCAAAAGTGGGTGTTAAGTTGTCATGTGCACCCCCAAAACTGTCAGGAGGGGCATCAAAAGTACACATTGGGACAAGTATAGTATATGAGCTGTTTTGCGTGGTGGGAAGAGCTAAATCTAGATTTCTTCATTTAAAGGCACAAATGTGGATGCAGTTCATCTGAATTTGGTTCACTCACACCGGCGATTATTTTGTATTTATTCTGAGTGGGTGAAAAGTAGGGGTGCAAACTAAATTTTAAGATGAAGCGGATTTATAATCCCGGTCAGTTTAAGGGCTGTTTTGCATTGTAACTGCCTTAGAGGGCCTCATCAGCATCGAGTAAAACAGCCTGACAACAGACATTGGATTAAAGTATGGTACATTTCCTGTCCAGGATCTCAGACCAGAATTTAGACTGAAATTAATGTGGGTTTTATTTGAAAGAAGAGTCTCACATTGACACTGTAAACAAGGCTCCACTCTGAACCAAGAGGGTGTCTCTATGAGAGTCAAACTGTTTTACCTCAGGTGTGGGGACTAACTGTGGGTTACAGCTGCTGTTAGCCAAGAGTGGCTTATGAGTATAATTCATCTTTAGTGTATTCCCACAGGGAAACAGCAAGTGCAAAAATCCCTCTCAGAGTTTTGTCCCTAGGGGAGAATATGAAACCAAGAGGGCCTCGTCTCTGTTGGCTGTTTTTCTTTTTTCCTTTTACATACAGAAACCTTTGGTATTCCAATGAAATATATATATATCTCTATACATATACACACCCCTATGTTAAGGAGATATTAAAGTAAAACATTTCCCCCCTCCTTTTTGGCACCAATAACTCAAATTTCTTTGGCTTGGTTGTGGTTTTTTTTAAAGCTTTTCTTTTTGTTATAGAAAAAAAAATTCTTAAAAAACCCCTGAAGCATCTTTAGCATTTATATATATTTTTATATATCTCGATATGTAATAATAAAGTATAAATTCCTGCAGTAGAAAATAACTCCTTTTATAAATGTTTCTTCTGTGCATGTAAGGAATAAGTTGCTTTTTGTCTAGCAGGCTGTGAGCGTTGTCGGGGAACAGCGGCAGGTTTACATGATGCTGCAGTTTTGAGGGCCCTGGAGGGAGACACACACAGAGAAAGATTTTTATTAATAAAATTTAAACTAATTAGAAGCTTTTTTAAACAAAGGGAACTCAAACCTCCGCCCACAAAAAAACCATACATTAAAATATACATATAGGCTCAGTCAAAATTCTGAGGAAAGAAATCGTGATGACTTAGCCAATGTTCTCCTGCAGGTTCAGCACCTTCCCCTCCAAGGAAAGGACAAAGAATTTGGGGGATTTTTATAGTTCAGAAGGTGACTGAGGAGAGACATGGAATTCCAACACCACAGGGAGAAAGTTGGACTCTCCCTCATTGCCCTGAAATAACCCAATGGTTATTACAAATCATGCCTGGTCCTTTATTCTTGCAAGAGGTCAAGAAGTTTCACTGTTTAGTCAATACAATATTTTTATTGCCTGCATCAAATCCCTTTTTCTTTAGCAAAAATTCATAGAAGTTGAGATAGATGCTGAAAGTGCTTGAAGCCTAAAGCTGATGGTGCCTGTACTTCGTGGTGTTGCAATAAGATTGAGAGTTTCTGGAAGACAGTGGGCAGCTCAGTTAAGTCCGACCCTGCATTATTCTTAGGGACGGACAAATCCGTCAGTTCCAGATTTTATTTTTCAAATATTAAATTTAGTTGTCCACATTTGGACATCAGTTTTCTTTCTTTATAGTAACCACAAAGAAACTGATAAGCGTTTCTCTTGATACATTCTTTTGTATGGAATTTCCCCTAAAATCCACACTTGGCAAGCAATTCTCCTTAATATAATTTTAATTTTATTTGCATTAACAGTGGCATTTTATGTATTATTTATTGCATTTATATCCCACCGTTCTCTCCAAGGAGCTAAAAGTGCTGTACATGGTTCTCTCCTTCCTCGTTTAATCCCCACAACAACCCTTTTGGACAGGTTTGGCTGAGAGGCAGTGACTGGCCCAAAGTCACACAGCCAGGGGAAGATTTTAACTCTGGTCTCCCAGGTCCTCGTTCAACACTAAGCACTGCACCACACTGCTCCCACCTTTCCCATATATACACAGCTTTGTAAACATTTTTTGGGTTGTCAATTGCAAGATTAAATCAAACACAAATTTCAAAGGGTAGTTGTGTATCAAATTTGCCCCCCCAAACTCTGAATTAGGTGGGTTTATATAAAAAGGTGAACCAACTTTCTCCCCAATCTAGTCATTTTCACTATCACTGAGTCCCCTGTGTACATCACTTGGGAATTTCTGTGCACCTCAAGCAACCTGATCTGGTTTGTTAAAACAGCTGCCACATTTCAGTCGCCTCCAACAGTCTTAATCCACCATCGTTTAACAAACAGGTGCAGAAACATGGTAGAAGCATTCATGGCAAAACTGACCGATTTCATTCATATAGAGAAATGCAAATGGACAGCATCTGTCGTTTGGGGAAAGCCTTGTGAGGCCTTTTTAAAGTTAGACGAATTCTCCGCAGTGATAATAGACATGTAGGGTTGTAGCGAACTAGGTTCTACTCAGAGAAATTGATGGGCCTAAGAGAGCCATGCCTGTTAACTTCCATGGGTCCACACCGAGTTGGGCTGTGCCCAATGCTTACTCTTTTTTTGCTGTTCTGCTAGGGCCTTGCTGGAAGCATTTGGGAAATGTTATTTCACACTTGGCCTTGTGTGTTTTCAAGGGTCTCCAGACATTAACAGTTGACAGTGCCACAACAGATGCTACAGTTAATGATGGGACTCCCTCCCTGCTGATTTCCCCTAAATTCTGGCCCCCAAAAGCTCAACCCACTGACCTGCTGGCGTGGGCTGGAATTGCCCAGGATGTAGGTCCGGGGGAGCAGGTTCTCCCCAAGGCTGCTGCCTCCGGTACGGTAGCTGCGTGTGATGGTGAGGCTGGAAGAGGAAGAGCCAGAGGACAGGGTGCTGGTCGCAGCGTTGGTGGTACTGGCCCCCTTGTCTGCCGGCTGCCCGCAGGTGCCGCAAAGCACAGTGCGGGAACGCAGGTTGTACTCGCCTGGGTCGCCAGAGCCGCTGCAGTGGCTCTAGAGGAGGAGGAAGATCAGAAGCTGAACCACACAGAGAACAGGGATGGGGAACCAATCGGCCTGCCTGGGGCTGCTGAGACGCTCGGCTCCAGGCAGGATGGTGGTTGCAGTCCACTGTCGGGAGTGCCACAGCTTCCCCATCTCCAACGCAGAGACAGAATCACCGAAACTTTCGATTAGAAGCCGGAAAAAAGTTTTGAAGGATAGCAACGGATGTTTTATTTATTCTTCTGAAGGGAAAAAGCAAAAGCCATGCACTAGGTTATGATTTGGGATCTGCGTATGTGCCTAACAGTGTGCAATTGAAAATTTTGCAGCAGATGTTTAGAAAGCTTTTCAGAGGAGGAATTAACCTTATGGATGGGGAGATTTGAAAGGGAATATTAAAAAAAGTATGCAAATTAATATCTTTTTAGCAATCCTTTAGAAGCAGGAAGGTGATATACGGGAGGAAATAAAAGGGTGGAGAACATCTGGTCCACCAGGGGGTCTAATTTGGCCAAAGAGGCCAATTCCCCTATACCTCAATTACCTGTCCATCAACTGAGAGCAATGTGATATCAGCTGATGGAGGGGAGGGGAGGGTTCAATTCTGCATTGGCTGTGGGTGGCTGCAGCGGCAGAGCATATGCCCGCACTGCCCAGGGCAGATGCGCTTCCGAGGGGGGTGGGGCGGAGCGGGTGCCCTCCTAGGCACGGAATAGCCGCTTGGGTGCCGGAGTGAGCCGCCCATGTCGGACATTCGGTGTGCTGCCCGCCCGCCACTCCCAAGCCTCCCCCACCTGTAAAAATGAAGGGGTGGGTGGGGGGAATGCCGCCGGCAAAGCGCCGCAGCTCCCCCCCTTCCCCCGGGGTAGGCTTGGGAGTTGCAGGCAGGCAGTATGCCAAATGTCACCCCCCCCCCCAGCAAAGACACTATAAGAGTTTCGCTTCTGTCCTTGACAGTTGCTTAAAATGAATTACAGGTGATTACATCCATGTGGACCAAACTGGCTTTATCCCAGTTTGGTCTCCTTTTGGAAATTAATAATATTAAGTATTAATAAGTATTATTGTTAGTAGTAGTAGTAAGCAGAAACATCCTTAGCATCTTTCAGATGCTTGACTGTGTGGAATGGGCATTTCAAATTGGTTTAGTTAAAATCATGAAATTTGGCCCTAAATTTATGTATAGTCTTGGGGGTGAAATTAAGAATAAGTTTAGACTTTAAACAAATTGATCTCTGGGGTGCAAGGCGAGGCCATCCCTGAGTTTGCTTGTGTTCCTTATGCACAGCAAAGAAGAGCTAACCAAGCTCATGGTTGCGATGCAAACATTTCTAAACTCTGGTGGGAGCAAACTTTGAACATGCAAACTCAGGGGCTGCCACAAAAAAGGCCCTCTCTGGGGACACCACCAAACTTCTGGGGGATGTGGAACTAGCAAGAGGGCCCAACTCATCTGATTTTAACACCAGAGAGGGTCTGTAAGGAAGGAGGTGGTCTTCCAGGTATCTGGGACCTAAGTTATTTAGGGCTTTCAGTGCTAACATGAGCACCTTGAATTGGGCCTAGCAACGAACTGGCAACCAATGCAGCTGTTTTAAAATGGGGCTCTAAAATTGTTGGTTGTAGAAGTTTAGCAACTTTTCCTATTACAGAAATTGTCTCATAAGTTAAAATTAATGAGAGGACAGTGTAAACAGGATTCATTTCTATTTTCTCAGTTTGATTTTACTTTATTGACTAATAGACAAGAGATTGGAAGGTCAGTCTCCACAGCATTGGGTGTAACTGACTGAAATACAGTCTTGGACCAGGGATCTTCAGTTTAAAATATGGGTTTCAAACCTGCAAGGAAAGCGGAGAATGTGGTTCAGCACCTGGTAATATCCCCCCACGATTTGTACCGAATTAATGTACATGTCATACTATGAAATATAGGAGAAATGCCTGTTTCAGCACTGTATTCATCTTGTTGGTGGGCTATTGTGCAAAAAACCATGTTTGCCTATGGTTTGCTGTTTTTCTTTTGTACTTTGGGGTAAGAGAGAAAGCTAACAAAAATTATAGACCAAATCAAAGGAGCACAGGAATCAGGACAGACCAAGCTAATACAGAGTACAGGGATGTGCTGAAATACAGGAAGAGACGGGGGGAGAGGCCCCAGGCAAGAGCAGCATCCTATCGTGCTTCCGTGGGCTTTTAATGCCCTCCTTTATTAGGAGCATTGCAGTAGCGCATGGAAGCCTTCAGTGAGAGGGTAAGTCATGCCTGCTCTGCAGCCGCTCCCCCTGCTAGCAGAGAACCCCAGAAAACTCACATGGTGGTGGTGGTGGTGGCGCCCATCTTCATCCTCATCATCTTCATCGTCGTCATTGACAATCACGGTGCGCACCAGCTTCCGCATGGCCACTTCCTGTGGAGGGGGAAGAAAGAAAGGATGTCAGGTGAGTTGCTGGCACTTTGATCTTTCAACTGGGCTTTATGTCAAAGAGGCCCTGTCAGGCGGACAGAGAGGACAATAACCTGGTCTTGGTACTGGGAAGAGGGGTTTGGGAGCAGTTAAATTGTCACCGTCTCTTAAACCTCTTTTTAAAAATGGGCATGTAACAGTCAACAGAGGAGTCACATCCACACTGGGAACTATAGCTAATAGACAGTTCCCAGCACCCTTCACAAATTACAGTTCCCATAATTCTTTGGGGGAAGCCACCTGCTCTAGATAGATGGTGTTGAAGTGACCAGAGCAGTATCCTATAATTTAAATTAAGAGGTGGGGCACTCCAGGCCATACTCACCACCCACACTCTGAGAAGAAGAAGAAGAAGAAGAAGAAGAAGAAGAAGAAGAAGAAGAAGAAGAAGAAGAATTTGGATTTGATATCCCACTTTCTCACTACCCTAAGGAGTCTCAAAGCAGCTAACATTCTCCTTTCCCTTCCTCCCCACAACAAACACTCTGTGAGGTGAGTGGGGCTGAGAGACTTCAGAGAGAAGTGTGACTAGCCCAAGGTCACCCAGCAGCTGTATGTGGAGGAGCGGAGACGCGAACCCGGTTCACCAGATTACGAGTCCACCGCTCTTAACCACTACACCACACTGGCTCTCTTTTGCCTGGCAGGAATGGATCCCTGATAAGGATATGAGGAGGATGGGGGGGAGATGTGCATGTGGTTGTTTAACCTAGCCAACTGTACAGAGGAATGTGTCACACCAGTGGCTCCACCCATTTTGTTTGCTCTGCTCACCCCATGAGGAAATGCGTCCTTTGGATGAAAAAGGTTGCCCCCCACCCCAATAAATTCACAGACGTAACAGGAGGAAGAGGGTAACGTGAGAGCTGTAAGCAAAGGACAATGTAATGGAGTCCTGGGCTTTGAACAGCAACAGCTCTGGCCTCACTGAGGAATAGCGGCCCCAACCATCCACCACAGGGTGCCTTACCTCTCCAGTAGAGGTGAGAAGAGCGGTGCGCAAGCTGTCTCCAGTTCCCCATGAGCTCTGGTTTTTCCACACCATATCACTAGGAGGGTTGTGGGTCACCCCGGCACCAGAGGCCCAGATCTTAAGTGGGGACAGAGAGGAAGAAGAGAAGTCAACAAGGGAGATGCCAACATACAACAGTGCATACTGGAGGAGGTTCAGGGGGCTGCGCCACATCCACCCATCCTCCTCCTCACGCAGTCGCTGGCCCCGTCCGGGGAATTATGCACTTCTGCTTTGCACGAGGCTCGCAGCTACTCACCGTAACCAGCTGGCCTGCCTTCAAGGTGAACTTGGGGGGGAACCTGTAGGAGATGGGGGCCTCATCTCCATTCTGGCGCTTGATCTGCCAGTTTCCCAGGGACTGGTCCTAAAAAAACACAGAAGAGAGATGGCCATGGTAAGTGTGCACAGAAGCGGCGCCTCTGGATGCGGACTTTTTGGGGTATGTACAGACCCCCGGAACGAATTAAGTTCATATCTGGAGGGTCCACTGTATAACTCAGAATAATGTGAACTTAAATAATATATACATCCTCAGATCAAACCTGAAGAGATATATACTGTCACCAGGTTCAAGAGTTCGAATGTAATGAAATTCGAATGAAGACTAGGGTACAGATTCTCTGTGTTAAATCTTGCAGTTGAGAAACTGTACGAGGAGGACTCCGACAACAAGACATTCAGATAAAATCTCTTTCGATACCCTTCTTCAGGTCGGTCCAAACTGAATAGTAATCTGTAAGATCGTATATATCTCTTCAAGATGGATCTGAGACTGTTGTTATATATATTCTTTAAACTCATGTTATTCTGAGTTACATTGAGATAATTCAGTGTGCAATATACTCCTATTTCTTATAGAGAGTGATGCTTGATGAGGTTCTATTCTCTGTATTCCTTCGTTGTTTGATGCTAGGAAATCTAAACAAAAGTGGCAGCTGATGCCCTTTGGGCTTGGTAGGACAGAAGGCAAGGAGCCCGACAGCAGGTGGCGCCAGAGGCAATGGCAAGCATTGACAAATAATTCCAGCCCTATCCGCACCCTTTCTGAGTTCTACAACAGCAGCACAGAGACTAAGCTGATGGGCATGCTGATGGCGCAAAATGCGCCTGGCACCTGGCGAATTTTGAATGCGGCCAAGGACTGAAAAGCTCATCAAGATCTGCCTTATGGGCAGCTGAACATGCCCCTCTTCCTCCTGACCACCCCAGCATTTCTGCCAAGCAGCAAGGCACTTCCCCTCTCCCGTCCCCACCAAAAGGTAACCCACCTCATTTGACTTGTTCCTCAGGCGGACAAACTTCCCTGCCAGGTCTATTTCCTCCACAGCCACGCGGCCGCTGGTCCGGGCATGGTGGGAATAGCTAGTGCGGCTCTCTCCATCCTCCAGCTTCCGCTTCTTGGAAGAGCTTTGCATAGAAGAGTGGGAGATGCGTGTCCTGGTGCTCCCCTTCTGGGAGGTGGGGCTGGGGGAGAGACGCAGCCTGGGGGTGGGGAGAGAAGAGAGAGGAGAGGGCGTCAAGGTGACTTGTCTTCAGATGCATGCAGGAGCTGAAACTAAGAACATAAGAGCCCTGCTGGATCAGCCCAATGGCCCATCTAATCCAGCATCCTGCCTCTTCGTTCTGTTCTTTTCCAAGAGAAGACCCATTTACCAAACTCTCCACTCAACCTACAGCCGGACCCTCCAACAGAGAAAGAACAGGAGGCCACCGTCCGAGGGAGACCACCGTGTTTTGACTCCAGCCCCCCCCCCCCCGGGTCAACTTTCCCAGCCCTGCACCTACCTCTCCTCCTCTCCCTCCAGGAGCTTGCGGTAGGCATTGATCTCCATATCCAGGGCTAACTTGATGTCCAGCAGCTCCTGGTACTCATCCAGCTGCTGCTGCATGCGGGCCCGCATGTCTGCCATCTCCCGTTCCTTTTCGGACAGGATACGGCGGCTGGTGTCGCGCTCCCGGGCAAGAGCGTCCTCCAGGTCACGCAGCTTCGCTTCCTTGGCAGAGAGCTGGGAAGGAGGAATAAGAGGAGCTGGTAGGTGGAGCAGGCCAACGGCACAAGGGGCATGGAGAAATTCACTAGATCCTCACAGGGTGGTGGTGCTCATTCTTACTCTACAGGGTTGGAAATCAGAAAGGGCTTCGCTCAAAACCCCTTAAGAGTTAAGTGGGGAGCGTTTCAGTGCAATGTAGCCGTTACTCAGCTGGAGGAATAAGCCTCAATTTAGAGCACCCTGGGCAAAGACATTCAGCAGTCCCAGTGTCATCCAGGGAGCCAACAGCACTCAAAACAGAGCACAGCACTGGCCGCCTGTCCCTGTGACCCTTCCCGATCCCTCACCTGCTTCTGCAGCTGGCTCAGCTGCGCCGACAGGCTGTCGATGCGGATGCGAGTCTGCTGCAACTCTTCATGGGCTGCCCCCGCCATGCTGCTGTTCCGCTCGGCTGACTGCTTGGCGTTATCCAGCTGAAAAGGAAGATCGGCTGCGATGAGGCACAGAAGAAACTGGGCGCTCCAGAAAGGAGGACAGAAAGGAACTTTCTGGGACATGGGCTGCCTTTGTCTAAAGCAGCCTTCACCAACCTTCTGGATGCTTTGAACCACAACTCCCAACATCCCCGAGCCAGCATGGCCATCTTGGACTACAGCTCCCATCAGCCCCCAGCCAGCACTGGACATTAGTTTGCAGTGGGTTGGGAACACAGTTTAATATCTTCAACCTGCACCACAAGTGGAGGTGGTTTCTGGGTTTTTTTACTTCTGGAAATCCAAACCAGCCACTGACGAAAAATGGCTATCTGGGAGCGGTGATGGTATTTCAATGCAGTGTTTCAAAACAATATTTAACAGCCCTGATTGTTGTACAAGAGAGAGAGGGAAATAGTGACTATGATAGTGTATTAGATATGGCCCAATGTGCATAGACCACAATGCAGGGTTGTTGCAAACCACTCTTCTCTCAAGTTCAGTGCCGCATCCAACACACGCGACTATCCGTAGACTACACTACAGGGCTGCTGCAATCCACTCCCTCACACCCAGCCTGCAAAATGGGGAGAACCACCCAGGACCATTGGAAGAGCAGTCCTTTGAATGCAGGCAGCGGCCGACTGACGTGTGACCATGCACGTGCGCACTGCTGCAACCAGGAAGGTGGCAGAAGCAGAGAAGGGCAGAGCAAGCAGACACACACAGTGTGTAATGTATCCCCTGCACAAAAGTGGTCATTGCCTGTACTTCAAAAACTTGAACTCCTCACATTTCCTACACCAAACAGGACATAAATGTGAAATACTGTTAACTCCTGGACTTTAATTCTAGCTTTTCAGTTGGGGCTGGTTGGGTGGAGAGATAATAGGTGCAAAAGGGAAAGCAGGGCTGGCCTAGGATGTTTTGCCACTTGAGGCAAGACAGACAATGCTGTCATGGTGCCTTCTTCTTCTCCTCCCCCTCTCCTGCAGCCTGCCCCCAGGAGGCTGGAGAGGAGCAGGCGGGTGGAGGTGGAGGCCCAATCTGCCACCTGAGGCGACTGCCTCACAGGTGTGCCAGCCCTGAATAGCTCCACAGTCTCTTAGGAGCAGGCTGCCACTGCAGCGCAAACCAGAGGAAATAAATAAATAGGTTGGCACCAAAAGTAGTGTAAAAAGACTCCATTTCTCTGGCCAAAGATAAGGAGTTTAAGGCCAGGGTGGTACCTTGGAGCCGTAAGTCTTCTCCAGCTCTTCCTTGTACAGCCTGACTTGCATTTCGTGCTGGGCCCTCAGATCATGCAGGGCATCAGCCAGCTTGCTTTCGAACTCCCGCTGGCGCCCGTTGTCGATCTCCACCAGGCGGGTCTCGTGGCGGCGTTTGCTCTCACGAAGCTCCTGCAGGAGAAGCCGGAAAGAAGAGTCATGGGGGGCAAAGGCTATTAATGGCTGGGAGCCAGGGGCAGGGGTGGAGTTCTTGTGCTCGGGTGCTGCTTCTGGGTTTCCCCAAACAACCTTCAGCCTTACACTGCAGGGACAGGAATTGTGGGCAAGCCCAGGGGGTTGGTGAGGGTATGTGCGGCTGTGCTGTTTTTTGCAGGCTGCCCCACTCACCTCGCTGTAGATGTTCTTCTGGAATTCGAGCTCCTCCCTCAGGGTCTGCAGTCTGTTCTCCGCATCCACCCGTCGCAGCATCTCATCCTGAAGTTGCTTCTTGGCCTCAGCCAAAGCAGCTTCCAGCTGTGGGTGGATTGGCAGGGAGACGGGGTGGTATAAAAAAAAGAGAGAATGGGAGAAGTATGTCAATGGGATGAAACGTGGCGGCCTTTATATATGTCCACCCGAGCACTTGAATCCATGGAACTGGCCCTGTTACAGATGCCACATAATACTCATTCCACATTTGTAAGAAATCAATCTTTTAGTGTAGGACGACTGTGGAACTCTCTGCCTGTTGGCATTGGCAGACGCCTTCACTGTACTCTTTTCAATGCCTGTCAAAATTGTTTTTGTTCCAGTAAGCCTGTCCAGATTTGCAGTACATTGACCTGTGTTTCAATCTGGTATTTAGTTCCTCTTTGACTTTATTCTAATGTTTCAAAAAGCTGTTTTTAATAGCAACTTTATTGTTTCATTCTTTCTGCAAACCGCTTCGAGGTTTTTCCTTACAATCAAGCGGTGTATGCATTTTGTGAAATGAATAAATTATACTGGGGGCAGATTGAAGCTGGGCCAGGGACTGCCATATTCCCCAAGCACTGTCTCTCAGATGGGCTGGGAAATCTCTGGGAGCGCCCAGGTGCATTTCCACTTTGCCGGGATTCCAAAAACCAGCCCAAGAATAGGGGCCAGCCCCGGCTTGGCACTCTCATGGGTCACAGGTGAAGCTTCCCTCTGCAAAGCCAGGCCGTCTATCTGAAGTAGCACCGACAGCCAGAAGGTCTACCCCACATGCTTTCACCTGGAAGCATGAATCTGCTTTAAAATCCAAGAGGTGTTGTTGGGTTTAAAGGACTGCCTTGCCCAGATGGCAGGTTGTGCTGTCATCTGCTGGCTGCTTTAAATCTTCATGGGATAGATTTCCTAACCTCCAGTGCTTCCCACTTCCCCCCCACCCACCCCAAAAAAGGTTCCGGTACAATTATGGACTAGGGTTGATGAAGGCAGGGGTTTATCAATTCACTATGGGGTGGGGAGAGGGAGGGGGTGCCAGCTTCCTCCTCGCTCTCCCATAACTGAAGAACTGAAAGTCACTCAATGGAATGGGCTGGCAGACCAAAGAAAGCACAACGCAATGGGCCAGGTGAGATTGCTTTCTTTTTATAAGGTGGTTAGGATGAACTCATGGAAGAGCAGGAGATCTATCTGCAGCGGTTAAGCATGAAAGCCAAGTGGAACCTCCAAGACCGAAGGCAGTCAACCCTGATTGTCAGACGCTGAAGTCAATTAACAGGCAACCAACAGTCACCCTCCGGGCCCTATGTGGGTGCGCTAAAAGGCAAACTGGCTGGCAGCTGCTGGAACAGAAAGCTGGCCCAGACAGCATTTTGGTCTGAGCCAGCAGAGGTCTTCCGCATTCTTAAAGATTACACCATCTAGGGCAGGCATGGCCAAATTTGGCCTTCCAGCTGTTTTGGGACTACAACTCCCATCATCCCTAGCTAACAGGACCAGCGGTCAGGGATGGTGGGAATTATAGTCCCAAAACAGATGGAGACCCAAGTCTGGCCATGCCTGATCTAGGGTCAGCTTCACAAGTCCACACACCACCAGTGGCGAAATTAAAGTCCGTTGCAGAAAAATGTAAGATAAGAGGGAAGGAGACTGCTAAGTTGGTGGTCCTCACCTTGGCCAGTTGCCCCCGCAGATCACGGAGCTCATTCTCCAAGTTGCGCTTCTCTCCCAAGGCAGTGGTGAGTGCTGCTTCCTTGGAGTTCAGCAAGGCCTCGACGTCCTTCAGGCGGGCTTGAGCGGTCAGCAGCTCCCCTTCCTTCTTGGTGTTCCTAAAACAAGGAAAAGAAGAAGGCACAGCTGTTAATCCAGACTGGAGAGAGGCTTGTCTTCTTCACGGACCAAGGTACAAAAAAACCCCCCCAAGCCCCGATGATTTGTTATTATAAAAATGGCAAATGACAAAATCATTATGGAAGTAATAAAATGGTTCGTCTGTTTTCTTTGTGTGTCAGTCTGCAATGAGTACGATTTCATAATATAATGCGTAAGAAAGCAGAAAATGCAATGCAAAGTTCTTAAGAGGCAAGATCGACAAGACACACTGAGCTTTGCTGGATCAGGACACAGAGCCATCTAGTCAAGCATCCCGTTTCAAACAGCAGCTTGTCAGATGCTCTTAAGCAGACATAGGCAAACTCAGCCCTCCAGATATTTTGAGACTACAATTCCCATCATCCCTGACCGCTGATCCTGTTAGCTAGGGATGGTGGGATTTGTAGTCCCAAAACATCTGGAGGGCCGAGTTTGCCTATGCCTGCTCTTAAGGAAGACCTCCAACAAAGGTATGGAGCCAGCAGCCTGTCCCTGCTGTTCACCCTTAGCAACTGGTATCCACATCTAGACTGCCTCTGGACTTGGAGGTTCTATAAGAAACAACAATCAATAACACTGTCTCCTGCCTCTGTGAAGTTGCCTAGTCCCTTTTTGAAGGCACTCTGAGCCAGCAGCCATCACATTTCCAGAAAATTCTGTTTTCTGCCCCTGAACCTCACATTTCACTAAAACAACCAATTATGAGAATTTCTTTCTATCCACTTTTGCCACAACAAGTGTAGTTTTATAAACTCTCCTCATGTCTCCACTTAGCCTTCCCCCGCCCCCAGGAAGGGAGGAAAAGGAGACATGCAATGCGGCACAGACAAGCGTTCTGCAACCAGGTGCCCTCCAGGTGTCCAGGTTACAACTTTTGCTGTCCAAAACATTGTGAAGGCTGTTGTAGGCTACTGTGACCCTATCCTCTTGCAAGTGTGTTTAGAAATATGTATAACACCGTTTTAGATTAATCCACTAAAGCTTTTGTTGCTTTATCTACCAAGGTCAATTTTAGAAGTTGAAGGCACAGGTTAGTTTTCCATGACTACTTTGGTTCTGGTGTGTTACTGTCACAGATAAAAGGGAGAAAAATATGAAAGACTAAAAGAGGACTTCCCTCCTAAGACAGAGGTGTAGCCCCTTACATATTAAATGTCACGTTTTCTTAACTGCCTTTAAAAAGAGAGATTAATGTGTGTATTTAGAAGTTTTGGCAATACAGTGGTACCTTGGTTCTCAGACACCTTGGTACTCAAAAAGCCTGGAACCCAAACACTGCAAACCCGGAAGTAAGTGTTCCAGTTTGAGAACTTTTTTCAGAAGCCAAACGTGCTCCGTTTTGAGTGTTACGCTTCTGATTTGAGTGTTACGCTGAGGTCTGTGTTTTTGCTATTTATTTTGCTTTTTTGTTTTTGTGGCTCTTATTGTTTTGTTTTTGTGACTGTGGAACCCAGTTCAGCTACTGATTGATTGATTGATTGTGTGACTGCAGTACATTGCTTACTGCTTTCATTTTATGGATCAACGGTCTTGTTAGATAGTAAAATTCATGTTAAATTGCTGTTTTAGGGGTTGTTGTTAAAAGTCTGGAACGGATTAAACCATTTTGCATTACTTTCTATGGGAAAGCACGCCCTGGTTTTGGAACGGACTAAGTTTGAGAACGAAGGTACCACTGTATGCAAATGTAATCAATCAAGGGGTGTATTAGCAGATAATCTGGTTGGCTGACAGCCCTTAAACACTTTGATGGAGCTTTTCATGTTCCTCAGTTCTAAACAGGGAGATTTTGGGTCTCTCTGACTGGCTGGGAGCTCACCACAACCTGAGCATCTTTGGGAAAGCGGTGCAGGAAAGTTCTTACACCAACCTGTTGCAGGTGGCCTAAGAGGGAGAGATGGGTGATGCTAAGCTGCAAAGCTCCCTAGTTGACCTTGTGGACTAATCAACATTGTCAGCCTGGCTTACCTCTCATGGTTGTTGTGAGGGTAACTGGGGGTGTTGAAACATTTAAGCTGGTTTTAGTTCCTTGAAGGAGGAGAAAATGTAATATGAGATGGTGTGAAGGGAGATTACAAATCTAATTAAAAAGGCCAGCAAATAATTTCACAGGAACCATAGCATACCAGATAAAGAAAACTCCTACTCCAAGAAGAGGGGAAACTGGGCCTCAAGATCTTTTTATTTGGGTTATAGATATATATATATTTTAAAAGGAGGGAGACGGAGAAAGCTATAAATAAGGCTGAGGCAAGAGAAAATCCAAACGTTGGTCGTCAGCTCAGATCCAAGTTTCCATTACTCGCTTACATTCCATTATATTTTGCTTTATTTTCTTTCTTTCCCCTCCCCTGCCAAGGAAGACAGAAGACCAAGAGACAGAAACACAGCTGCTTAAAAAAGCATCACCCACCAAACAGATGACGGCTGGGGGGAGGCGTACTAAAGAAAAGTCAGAGCTGCAGACAGAACCATCCTGCCTGGCTGGAATGTTATGAACAAGGGAGTCCCTCTTAGCTGATCAAATTCCACAACTGAGCTCATCTCCAACGTTTGGTTGACAGGGCAGCAGGCTATGGGGATTCACAAGTCACTCAGAGCATGTGCAGAGTGCTTATTATTACTAAACAAATTAGTTGCTTTTTTAAAAACCAAGATAGCCCAACCCTACTTGCAACAACAAATAAACACCATGCATTAAGACCAGCATGAAACAGAGCACAGAAAAATCTAACACACATTTCTGATTTTAAAAGGCAGGATTAAGATGGTTTGAGTATATAACACCTTTGATCATCCACCTCTGTGATCACCCTCCTACGCCCTTGTTTGTATGCCGCCTCCATGAGTGGTCTGGAGGGTGGCAGCACGAGAACAGGCCTTTTCTGTGGTGGCTCCCCATTTGTGGAATGCTCTCCCCCCAGGAAGATTCACCTTGAACCTTTGTTATATCCCATTAGGCTCCAGGCAAAAAGATTCCAGGCCTTTGGCTAATTAATCAATCAATCTATGACCTTTTACACTTGGGGTGTGTATGATATTGTTATTGTTTTGTTTGTTACTACGGTGTGGTTTTTTGTGTTTTTAATATTGTAAACAGCCCTGTGATCCTCGAATGAAGGGCGGCATACAAATCTTTTAAAAATACATAAATAAAATTGAAATGGGAAGATTTGCTCACCCCTCACCAGTGACTGGTTACCCTTACCATTTGGGAACAGGATACCTGAGGGATTTGAGGGTACACAGGATGGGCTCTCCAAGCTATGGAGCCTCTAGTCTAGCTAAAAGCAGAAATGCAGAGCTGGTGAAGTTTGTTCATGGGCAGGTGAGTCAGTTTCACCCAGCCCTGTTTACTGCAACAACAAAGAGCGGATTCCCCAGGGGCCTTTCCCAATCGTGAGGAAATGCTGAGCCAGAAACCCCACCTGTGTGCGCTCTTTCCACTGAGCCACAGTCAAAGATCTGTAAAATTTTCCTCCCTTCAAACTAGACTGCTTGTCTGATCTGGGGAGGGGAGACACCCAACCTGAAATCTTGCTTGTCAACAGAAAACAGGGTAACAGGAGCATGTATTTGTATCCGCACAAATAATAGCAAGAACACAATTCTATGCAGGACATAATGAAATACAAGCATAGTTCGGAGAAGCTATTTCTGGAAGTCCATATCCCTGTACACTTTTGTCTGGGCAGACCAACTTCTCTCATGGATTGCCTTCCAGGGAAACCAGCTTTCTGAATTTTCCAGCAGAAGCCAGCTCCGAACAGCACTGTTTAGCTGGAAACAGCACAAACCCACCTCTACTGACGAGTTTTTCAATGCCTAAAAAACTGACTCTCCTTTTTTTAAGAAGGGGAGAATGAGTGTACATTAAAATAATACAATGCAGCACCTTTTAAGAGTGTAAAACTGGGTATTTCTTTAAAGCATGGTGGCAGGAGACGAGAAGACAGAATACCCCAACAACATTTGTTTTTGCTGGGTGACGTATCCTGTCACATGTCAGAAAACGTAGAGGGAGGCCAGGCTGGATTTGTCGGGAGCCAAGGGAAATCCCAGAGACACGGTGGCTCCCGATTTGAATGCAAGTTCATACAGGTGCCAATTATTTTACAATTGCTTTTATAGACAGTCTGTGGTCTGTTGTATTATGTGATTTCTTAGTATGGCCTTGAAGCTCAACTTTATGAGCAAAAGTTCAAGACAACAGCATTACTAGCAAGAAAAGTGAAATTAAAGAAGTTAAATAAAATAACTTCGCTCTCAACGGTTCACTTTCCTCTGTTTATTTTCTTCCTCTTTGTCATAAGTAACATTCCAGGTCAGCATTTAGGACAAATATGGCATGAACAGCAGTTCTAGAGGAATGCTCCCCTCCAACATTCAAGCTTGGCTTAAAAAAAAAAAAAGACAAAGAAATGACAAACCAAGTTGCAAAAGGCCACCAGGCACTGCTTATCAGCAGAGGAAATCGAGACTTTTTGCACAGAGAAGATTCCACTGAGCATGGCAAACTCTGTTTTTGTAGCACATAGGTATTTTGCCTGGCCAGAGAACCTTAAGCTCCATTTTGCAAAAAGGCAAGAGGCATTCCTAATCCTCATGATTAGGATTATCTCCTAAATCGGCATCGAAACTACACTGCTTGCCTATCAAGAGGTGTGTTCTCTGAAATGGGGACCCCCCTGCAGTCATCCCGGTTCTATTTCTTCAAAGGCATTTCCAGCACAAGTCAAAAATCAGCCATTTTCCTTTTGTGTGGCTACACCAGAACAGGTGGATTCCCCTCCAGACCTGAAAAGGGAAACAGCATCTCCCCATCTTAGCCACAGAGATTGAAATCATTCGTTTCCTGATTATGAGGCAAATTGTAAAGGCGGGGAGGCGGGCGGAGAAACTACTAGTTTCTATTTTAGGTTCTTCTTGAGTTGGGGAGATTTCCCTCCTGGCTAAGTTTATAAAGCTGGCACCAAACTGACCATCCAAGCTTAATCTCAAACAATCAGTGAGTTTCCTTCCCGTCACTCAGTAGACCTGCTGCCAAAAACCAATTGACCGGTTAGCACAGAAATGTCTTTGAGGCTCAGCATCCTAGCAAAGCTCTTGGCAGAGAGCTCTCATCCACCTCGCCCTTTGCTTCATTCTAGCTGCACCTCCTTTACTGCCACACAGAGGAAGGATCAGCAACCGTACAGCCATTGGGCCAGATCAGGCCCACCAATGGTGCCATCAGGAGGTGGGGGGCAGAAGGAACAACAGGTGTGAAGATGGGGGACTCACTGGCAGGCAACTGGGGGCTAGAGAGGCACTCTGGCTAACTCCGCCATCTCTCTTCCCAAAGTAGCCCTCCAACTAGGCAATCATTTGGACTCATGCCCTTCAACATCTATCCTTGAGCCCCCCGACAACCCCCAGTAAAGCCCCTTCCAATAGAATCAGCTGAAATCAAGCTCCCTTTGATTTCTCCTCTCCTAAATATCCTCAGCAGCCGTTCCAATTGTTCAACTATGTAACCGTGTAATAACCATTAAAGTGGTACCTCGGTTTACATACGCTTCAGGTTACATATGCTTCAGGTTACAGACTCCACTAACCCAGAAATAGTGCTTCAGGTTAAGAACTTTGCTTCAGGGTGAGAACAGAAATCGTGCTCCAGCGGCGCGGCGGCAGCAGGAGGCCCCATTTAGCTAAAGTAGTGCTTCAGGTTAAGAAAAGTTTCAGGTTAAGTACGGACCTCCAGAACGAATTAAGTAGTTAACCTGAGGTACCACTGTACCTGAATTTGCTTTCCTCCCCTCCAAACTCTTTTTCCTTTTGTGTTGTTCAGATCTATTAGATTGTTCATGCGTGGCAGAAACTGTCTTGGTTTTTAACGTTTGTCCAGTGCTTAGAATTTTTTTGATGCTTTATGAATGATGGTTGTTGTTGTTGTTGTAGTTGTTTCTGTCCCAGAAAGTCAGATGTTACACAGGAGGGACAATCTGGCACCAGGTTCTGCTAACAGAATTTTTGCTGCAGGGGGACCACAGTGCCTTCTGGCGCAAGTTGCTCCATGAGCAAACACTTTTTTTGGCACGGCAGAGATATGACGGAGGGGGTGGGGGTGGGATGCGTGGATTGGAACAAAACACTTGCCAGGAACAAGCACATAAAATTGAATCAAAAGGGAAGGAGAGCTGGCAGAGTTTGGGCTTTTGACATCCCTGGTGGTGTCTCTGGAAAAGAATCCCATCAAAAGCAGGAAAGGGACAGGGCACGGGAGATCCTGTTGTTTCTGGAGAGAAGCGGCTGCGACCCAGGCCCATCCGAGTGGCTCTGACTCACCCATTCTTTTTCGGTACCAAGGGCAACACTGCCAAGCCACCAGGGATGTGCCACGTGGGACAGAAACGTGAGCAAGCGCCACCAGCTTTCTGTCGGAGCCAGCTGGACAGGATTCAGGATTGAGGGCGTGGCCCTACAGAAGGCGAGAAAAGATGTTTGCTGCCACTGGTACAGCAAGGGCCACACCCAAAAGGCCCCAGAAAAAAGTCAAGAGGGGATTTGCGGCTCTCACCTTCCAGATTTCCAATTGCATGTGGAGCCACTGAACCCTCAGAAAGGGAAGCAAAAATAAAATAAAAAATTCCTGCTGTTTTCTTTGAAGATTAAGGAATTGGGGGTGGAGAATTAGGCAAAAGTTTAAAGGGGGCGGGCTAAATTCAAAGATCTGATGTGCAACAAGCAAGCCCTCACAAATACAAGAAGCACGGATCTATTCATAGATAGAAGCTTCATCTTCAGCTGATCAAAAGCACAAAGAGGGGTCTTGCACCCAAAGGTCACAGCAGGAAAGAAACCCAAATTTAAATGGGTTTTTGAAGTGCCAAAACGAGAGCAACTTTTACAGTGGTACCTCTGGTTACGTACTTAATTCGTTCTGGAGGTCCGTTCTTAACCTGAAACTGTTCTTAACCTGAAGCACCACTTTAGCTAATGGGGCCTCCTGCTGCCGCCGCACCACCAGAGCACAATTTCTGTTCTCATCCTGAAGCAAAATTCTTAACCTGAAGCACTATTTCTGGGTTAGTGGAGTCTGTAACCTGAAGCGTATGTAACCCAAGGTACCACTGTAAAAGTTTCACAAGTCTCTTTAGGAAGAGTTTTAGCCTCCGATGCCTCCACCTGTGCTGAGACAGAACACTGCCTGTATTTTGACAACTTGCCACGGTTTGCTTTCAAGCCAGAAAAGGGAATAAGGGAGGTCTGCAGACTAGTGACGTGTTTTAGTCGCATGGCATTATCATGAACAGCAGACACAGAACTTGGTGGATACACTAAACTAGATTAAACTGTTGTCCTGCAACACAAGCCAATATACTCATGCAAGTAACTAAGCTCCTTTGTCTGTTCCTTTCTAATCTTTAAAGGGTGCCCCTCCTCACATTTGCAAAACAGTCTCAATTTTAATGAGGACTAGAAGCTTCCCCGCCCGCCAAAAATAAATAAAGAATACTAGATTCTTGTACGAATCCTGCGGATCACACTGAATTCATTTATAGGGCGAGAGGAGATGCCTGAAGCGCCAGGGTTAAAAAGAATAATTCCCTGCTCTTTTGCTGAAAACTAGGCGGCGTGTAAATATATATATATACAGTAAAACACCGTCTGCATATAATCTTTAGTGTTACTGTAACAAAATGCGCAAGCAATCCGTGCAGCTGCGGCCTGCTTCAATTTATCAAACGCAGGAAACGCGATATTAAATAGTACATTGAGGGAGGGAAAGGAACAATAAGCGAAGTCTTGGCTGGAATCGTCTCCCCGCCTCCCACTACCCGGCCAACGCCTCTGTTCCGGCCCCACCCGGCGGGGCTGAGTCATCCCCGCCGCTCCGTCCGCAAATGGAAGTCGGGCCGGCCTGGCCCTGGCAACGCCGCAGATGGCGGAGCGGGGACGGGAAGGGAAACGGGGCTCGAGGCGCTCTCCGGCCCCCGCGCAACGACGCCTCGGGAAGAAATGACTCAAAGGGACGGACGGCCTTTTGCGCGCGCCAACCATGGCCATTTAGCAGACATTGGGAGGCCGCGAGCCGTCTGAGCGAAATGCCAGTTTTGAGTTTTCCTTCCTTTCTTTTACGCGCACAAGAAAACGAGGCCGAGCGATCTCTCTCTGCTTTTTGTGTAAGAGAGAGAGAGAAAGTTGAGCAGCTTTGCGTCGCAGGAAACCTCGGGGCCAGCACGAAAAACGCAACTGCTGGGAGGCAGGCGAGGGACATTCCTTTCGGCTGAGTAAACCAGCCAGCCAGCCCAAACGCCAACGCCGAAGCAGGCCCGCAGGCCTCCCTGGCTCCACGGCGCAAAGAGGCACCGCGAAGCGGAGCTCGCCGCTGCGCACACTCCCTCGAGGCGCCGGGCGGTCGCGCCTTTTCCGGTTCGAAAGAAGCCCCAAACCCGCGCGGCCGCAGCGACAAGCCTCCGAAACCGCAGTTGGATGCGAGAGGCCCCGGCCGCCGCCGCCGCCCACAGCGCGCGCGCCTCTGTAAAGTCGTCTCCTGGGTGCAGGGATGGGGGGAACCTGTTGCATTGCAACTCCCGCCATCCCCGACCGTGGGTCATGCTGCTCCAGGGGCTGGTGGGAACTGGGAACCCCACAACGTCCGGAGGGCTGCCCCACACTTGCAGGAAGGCAGCCTCATCCAAGTCTGGTTCTACGCAAAAGTTGGGGACTTTCGGCGACTTTAATGTAGCGAACCATGTATGGCACAGCCTCTTTGACACTTGAGACCCAGAGCCAGGTGGCTTTTGATCCATGAAGCTCAAAAGGGGTAAGTAGAGAGGGCGAGCTCCCGTGTAACAAACAACCCACCAAATTGCTTGTTTTTTTTAGAAAATGATGACATGAAAAATCCCTCACAAGGTGGCCTTGGGGCAGGTACTCCTTTACAGCCAAACCTACCCCCCATAGGGTTGTTGTGGCAAAAGGATCTTGCGCCAGGGATCAAGTAAGTTTGGGAGCGGGTGCATATTGCCCATAGGAAGTGGGGAAAGCCCCCTACAGACATGCCCTAGGGAAAGCCAACTCAGATGCAACTCAGGATCCCCGCTCCCCATCTGTTGCAATGAGTGCAGGCTTCTTGAGGTTGAAGCCAGGGAGGGCCAGTTCTGCTACTGTGCAGAGCCCTTGCACAATTCCAGCTTCGTTTCTAGCCGATCTGGGTCAGATGCCATCTCGGGACATGCCACCCCCCTCAGTCTTCCAAGATGCCATGAGATCAATGGGGTTCTCTGTTCACCAGTGGGATGGATGGCTTCAAAGGAAGCAAATGAAAATCAGCAGACTGGAGTGTGTGTGTACCGCTTGGTGAGAGAGAAGGCCTTGGGCTCTGGCCCCGCCTTGCCTCCACACACTCAAACTCTTCCCTTGCTAGCAAAGGAGCCGGTAATTTCCCAACGCCCTTGCCAAAACAGGGAGGAAACAGCAGCTGCCCCTGCTTGCCAACCTGCCCACAATTCACATGGCTCACAGCCTGTGTACACATGCTCCGTCCCTCCCATTGCCAACCCTGCCACTTTCAGAACTTTCCCAGCGGAATCCAGGATACCCTGGATTTGCAAGAGAGCCTCCACACAACCTCGGGGTGCCAGCTCAGGTTTTGCAAAAGCCTTGCATCCAAAATGGCCCCTGCAAGCTGGAGAGGTTCAGCATATTCTTCAGAGCCAGTATCAAGTTGTAGGCCTGGAATACTTCCTGCCTAGAAGTCAACAAAAGGCTCTCTGGCTGAGGAGGGTGACGCAGGCTTTGCTCACCTGGTGCCCTCCAGGTGTTTTGGACAGTAATTTCCATGAGTCCCAGGCGAGCACAGTTGTCTTGAGCTGCAACTCCCATCATACATATGCACTCGCTGGGGCTGATGGGAGTCCTAGCCCTAAACAGCCAGAGGGGGTCTAGGTTGGCACAGTGCAAAGACCCGGGAGCAGGCACTCAGCGTCACTCACGTCCAAGCAACCCAACAAAGAGGCTTTTTAAAAGGTTGGCTCCAAGTCACTAACACGGGTATATGGGAGCAATCAAGGCAGTAGGTTGCTGTCAACTTACGCGTGCATGCTGCCAGCCTCACAAAATGTTCCTTAACTGAACCATTAAAGTACAATATCTGACACTCATTGCAGAAACCAACACCAAGCCACTTCCCTTGGCTACCAAACCCTGTCGCCTCAAGTCACATTTTTACACTCCACATCTCTTACCAGCGGTGCCACTGACACTCCTCATAATGTAAATGCCACTTTGCTAGAGCAATGCAAAGTCCCACCTCTCCCAGTATCCTGAAGCCAGATTCCTTCTGGGGCGCTCTCAAGCATGGCACGGCAGCAACAGCCACCCCACTTCTGCACCCTCGGCAACCAGGTAATCGAGAGGCAGACTGCCTTTCAACAAAGATTCAAGGCTCTTGCAGATAATAGCTATTGGTAATTTTTACTGCATTAGTAAATTGATAGACCTACACATGGATTTTCCCACTCCCTAGCCAAAATAAAATAAATCTCACTTTCTGCAAACACACACACTCACCTCAGCAACCTGAATATTCAAAACAAAGCCAAAACAAAGTAAAATAAATATTGAACTTTATGGGCAGAATATTTGATTACTAATATTTGCATGGGCACCATAGCTCACAAGCAGAGCCATACACTTTGCATGCAGCTGTGGCACCTGCAAAGTTTGCATATGGCAGAGATGGGGTGCCCCTTCTGTCTCAACAACAGAGTAGACCAGCCTCATTCAGCCTGGTGCCATCCAGATGTTCTCTAGACTACTAAGCCAGGCCAGCTGTCGGGGCCTGGAGTCCAATGCTGGCTAGGGCTGATGAGAGTTGCAGTCCAGAACAACAACAGGGCACCAGGTTGAGAGAGGCTGGAGGTGAGAATACTGTGTTAGATGAGCCAATGCTACAATTTAAGCCTAGTACAGGCTCATGTGCTATTGGAGAAGAGCCACAGAGGGCACGCTTTGCATGCAGAAAATTCCAGGTTACCAGTTCCTGCTGGCATCTCCAACTGCCTGACTCAGTACGGTGTAGTACACACCAGCCTGTAATATGAACCCTCCTTTCCACTCCTCCGCTCAATGGCACAGTTCAAAGGGTCCCGAAAGCTTCTCTGCCAGGCTGGGTAAGGCTTTTGAATCCACCCTCCCAGCAGCTGAAATCTATTCTGCTCCAAGATATAATAGGAGGTATTGTGAGGCCTCTGTTTGAACAGATCAGCCTCACCCAGCCCAGGCACAACAGAAGACAGCTTTTTATTATTTTGGCTTGCAGATAGAAACCCCGGATAATTATTTACAGTGCAGGCCAAAGAGAGCGCTGGTTCTGTTTTGCATGAGGCAGAGGGAGCTGGGCGAGCTTTGCAAGCAGAGAAAAAAGCCTGGCAGCTGCAACAGAAGGCAGCTTTTGGCTAGGTTTTGGGATGAATGAGTCACCACCTTTAAAAGGGAGAGATGTTGGCTGCAGTGGGATTGGTCGACGTGGCACTGAGGGCTGGAAAGACCACTGCTCCGCTGCCTGGGTCAGAAATAGGAACAGCCATGCGCCCAGAATTGCCATATGGGCAGCTGCCAGAAATGGTGGGCATAAATTTAGAACAGGATTAGGCAAATTCATGAAGGAGAGAAGGTTGACAGGCATCCATTAGCCATTAACTAAACCTCCATGTTCAAGAGCTGTTTACCTCTGAATAACAGATATAGATACTGAGGATATAAAATGTGGTCAAACTGTTGCCTTCATGCTCAGCTTGAAAGTATTAAAGAAGAATCTGCCTGACCACCATTGAAGGCAGAGGTGGATGGACCCAGGTTTCTTTTTTCTCATTTTCACGTAAAAATGTCATGGCCAGTGTTCTTGTTTATTGCCCTCCTATCTCTTTAGGAAGGCAGCAGGGAGACCTACCACCACAGCAGCATTTCTAAGAAAATACGGTGGCGTTCCAAGAACACTCTGCACATGCTTAAACACTGTGTTGTGAAAATGCCATGTGACTCAGGTGATTATCCTCTCGCAAGGGCACTGCATAAATAGCTCCTGCCCACATGACAACCAAACATCCAACTTCTCAGGAAAGTGAGAGATGCGGAAAATATTTTCAGGAGCACAATGCTGGTTCTTTGATCTTGCTGCAAAAAGAGCTGGCTCTCGCTCAAGTCAGAAAGGTCACCTTGCTGGCCCTTTCTTCCTCAGCCTTGTGGGCGATCCCTTTCCATGCCAAGGCATGCCACCATCAGCAGCTGGCATGGCACCCAGTGTGTGGGAGCCTCTTTCCTGGTGGGGGGTTGTCCCCAGGGTGTGGCGGGCACTTTGCCACGTTGCAAGAATTCGGGGCCGGCCTTCTGCTGGAGACTGTAAACAGAGCAGAGTTTTCTTGCCGGTTGGCACAAAGCTCTGGCACATGCTCAAGAGACAGGCGAGAACAGACCAACCTGGCTGCATTCCCCCACCTTGGTCCGTTGCCGGTTCTTCACAATGTTTTTATTGGTTCTGTTAATACTCACCATGCCAGAAAGGACACCTTCCTTCCTCTTGCCCACATCTGACAATCACGGGGCTTAACCCGACTCTTTCCCAATCAGATCGATTCCATTTCCATAAATGTGCTCGTTAGCAAAAACCCAAACACAGGTACTTTCTAGGTATTAAAGGAAGTGAGACAATTTCGTCCTTTTTAAGGCTACATTTGCACCATACATTTAAAGCTCTCTGTCACTTTAAACAGTCATTGCTTCTCCCCTCAAAATCCTGGGAAGTGTAATTTGTTAATGGTGTTCAGAGTTGTTATTCCTCTATTTAACAATCCATCCCTCTTCCCAGGGAACTCTGGGAATTGCAGCTCTGGGAGGGGGACAACTCCTCTCTGCACCCGTAACAAGTTATACTTCTCAGAATTATAATTTTTTATGGGGGGGGGGGGAGACCTAACTGTTTAAAATGGTAACATAGCACGTTAAATGTATGTTTTGAACGTGGTCTAAGTTACCTCTTTGTGCTAGAAGGATACAACATTTTTAATGTGCCCCTCAACCGATCGCTCAGTAGTGGGCTGCATACTTTGTCTGCAGAAGGTCCCCGGCTCAATCTCTGGCATTGCCAGGTGCTGCTGCGAGAGCCTTCCTGTCTGAGACCCTGGAGTGCAGCTGCCAGTCCGTATAGGCAATACTCAGCTAGATGGCCCAATGGTCTGAGTCAGTAAAAGGCAGTTTTTTTATATGAATAAAGTTTGCCCTCAGTATCTAAAAATGATATGGGTGTTATATTGGAGTGGATAAAGTGAATATTGTTTTTATATAGTGGACAGATGAAGAATGGGAAGTCCCCCTACCTTCTGAATTTTATTTTCTCTCTTTTAACCTCTTTTCTATTTCTTCTTCTTTATTACTCACTCTTTATGTTTTTATTGTATTTAGACCAAAGTCTTAGTTTGGACACAAAAAGGGACAAGAGATTTGATAGTAAGTTTTGTACTTTTTTCTCTATAAGTTCTAATACAATTTAAAACATACAAATGGGATCACGCTCACTTATAACTTTGGATTAATCAGCTATCAAAACATGCAGCCTTACTCATGTGTGCTGATTATTACATCAGGCTTGCAGGAGACAGAGGTGGGGGCAAGGCAGAAAGCACTTGTAAAAACTGTGCACACCTCTTAAGCATCCCCCAAGATAGCTAAGAATGGTCTGGGTAGACAAAGGAGCCGGCTCAGCCCACACAAGAGTCAAGGTCTAATCTGCAAGGAAGTCTAAACTTTCAGAAAGATCTTGGGAAGACTCCACACACTCAAGGCCAGGGGCCAGAGGGCAATTCCCTCCTGGCTCACATGGCTCAGCCACTGTGGCTTAAGAGGAACGGGCTGCTGGATCTGGCCAAAGGGGGGCCCATCTAGTCCTGCACCCAGTTCTCAGTGGCCAACCAGATGTCCCCAATGGGACATCCACAAGCAGAACCCAAGCACAACAACACTGCTTCCCAAAGTGGAGGGAGAACGTAGCCACTGATGGCAAGGAAAAGCTTCGGGACTCATGTAGCTCTTTCCCTCTTATCCACATGCCAGTGTAATTGATGTAGTTATCTATAAACAGCTGTATTGCATGTACCTAATGAAAGAGGTTAGCTCAGGGACCTGCAGCCGTCCAGGTATTGTTGGACTTGAAACTCTGAGAGAGAGAGAGAGAGAGAGAGAGAGAGAGAGAGAGAGAGAGAGAGAGGAAGAGAAGGGAACTCCGGTGGTGGTTGTTTTGCTTCCCCTGCACTGTCTCAAGCTTTGTGGCTATAAATGTGGATGCACAGAGCAACCGTTTCAGACACAACTGAGCCAGATTGGCAGCCGGCCCAACGTGGCAGTGCAGAGCTTTGCTGCTGGGTAGGCAGCCCGGTTCCCCAGCCTCACTGCCAAGAGAGCCACTCCCCAAAGTGGCATTCATGGGTGTCGGATCACATGTCCAGGCCGGCGGCCACTTTGGCTCCTGACCACGCTGGAGGAAGTAAGCAGCTGAGGCCAGAGAAAGCAATCCCTTCCTTTCCAGGGAGAAGTCGCTGCCTTTTAACATTGCATTTTTGAAAAGTATACCAGCTCAAGCTATCTGAAAAAGAGCACGGAATCAGACATGTTCTAAGGCCACGTTCCCTTAATTGCAACCTTCCAGAGGCCACATGTGAGTGGGTGGGGCCAGAGGCAAAAGTAGGCAGGGCAACCGATGTGAATTTGAACAGTAGGATAGGTTTTATTACACACTTTCAAAGACACTTCTGTTTCCTCCTCCGCCCAAACAAGCAAGATGCAGTGTCAGAGTTCAAGGACACATTGAAGTTGGGTGCAATCATACCGGTTGCAAAGTGGGGGCCGCGGTTCAGGAGGGTATGTGGCTAAGGAAGAGTCCTGAGGGCCAGATAGAAAGGCTGGAGGCCCCATTTGTCACCTGGGTCCAAGGTTCCCCATCCTTATAGTAGGGGCAGAACACAGGGTGATGGGGGGTTGCACAGCTGTGTGTCCATTAGGGGCAAAACTAGGCTTTATTTCACCAGCATCAAAGACCCAGTTTGGCATACACACCCCATGCACATTTGCGAGCGTGTGCATGTGCACACCCACCCACACCATACACCACACAGGCTGGGAGATTCAACAGCACCCCTCTGGAGGCTTCACCCAGGGCAAAAAGAACCCATGACTACCCCCTCCATAGCTACGGCACATGCCTCCCATGTGAAACTGGGCAACACTAGAAGCAGTCTCAGTTGAGTTTCAGTCAGGAAACCTCCACAGCCCCAAATAATGTGATCCAGCCAGGTGTCAAGATTTTGACCTGTGCTTTCAAGGGTCTTACTGCCTTCCTCGATGTCTCAGGAGGACTAAAATTGCAGGCAAAGTGAGAACCACGAGGGCACTCTGTTTTTCTGCCTGGCTTGAGAGCTTTGCTAGTCACTCTCTTTCCTCATGAACCATCTGGGCTGCACCCTGGGGTACCCACCTTGACCATGCTCTGCCCACCTGGTGTAGTATCTTCCACTCCCAACAACGTTCCACTCCCTATCTAGGAGATTCCACCCCTGGATTCCCAAGGGTGGAGCTACCACCAGAGACACAGAAACCCTCACTAGGACACAAGTTAGTGCATTCCAAAGTTGCCACAGCTGCGAAGGAGAAGAGAAAGAAGGAAAGCAGCCGGTTGTTCCAGCTGACACAATGGACCCATTGAAGGAGGAGAAAGAGAAGCAGCAATTGTGGGACAGGTGGACAGCTCAAGATCTACAAGTCATTTAAAAACCCTTCTGCTGCTAGGATTTGGGTAGACTGAATGCAAGAGGCATGAAGGCTATGGATGAAAGACAGACAGAAGCACAGACTGTGCAAAATGGAGAAGAATGCTTGGGGAAAGGCCTTTTTTATCTTAGCAGATCAAGACAAAGGTATTTGTCCACATAGTTCCATAATAGGCCACTTGCTCACACAGCTCAATCTTGACTGTCAAGAGCATGGTTCCACCAAGCTGAAGAAAGCACAACCAGAGAACAAGTCAGTCTGGGTGTTGAAACAACCCTAGTGCAGGAGGTCAGATCTCCCAACAGGGAGGGTGTGTGTGTGTGTGTGTGTGTGTGTGTGCTTTAAAACTTCAAAGCAGCTGGGCAAGGGGAGGAGGCTCCAGTTGCTATCAGAGAGTCTCTCTGCAGCTGCTTTGAAATAAACACAGTGGGGGTTGAGATCTGAGGACTGATAGCCCCTCCACCCATCATCAGGCAGGTGGGAGATGCACTGCCAGCTCCCTTGCAGATTAGAAGAACTTTCTGGCCTGGTGCATTAGCAAGAGCTGCTGCATTAGCAAGAGCTTTGAACCATCCAGACGCCCCATCAAGGAAAGCAGAATGCCGCAACCTACAAAAATTATGCAAATGACGGAATTCACCAGGGCCGGTCCTAGAATGAGGCAGAGAGTGGAGGAGAATGCTCTTTTGCTCAGGTCCTGCAGGTTGGCCGTTGTGGGAACAGAATGCTGGACTAGATGGGCCAGTGGCCTGATCCAGCAAGCTCCTATGTTCTTATGCTTCAGCTGCCAGTGCCAGTAGCAGGAATGAGGTAGGTATGGAAGGGGGGTGAACATGGATGTTCCATTTGAGTGTGTTGGTATAAGGGGTGTTGAGTAAGCACTTGGCAAAAGAAAGTGGGAGGAAGCAAAATTCTCTCTCCACCCACCTTCCCTTCCTCCATCCCTCCCTCCCTCCCTCCACCCGAGCCTCTATACCAGGCATAGGCAAACTCGGCCCTCCAGATATTTTGGGACTACAACTCCCATCATCCCTGGCTAACAGGACCAGTGGTCAGGGATGATGGGAGTTGTAGTCCCAAAACATCTGGAGGGCTGAGTTTGCCTATGCCTGCTCTATACTCTGTCCCTCTAATCACAGGCCTGCCATTGCCACCCCCCTCCCCGAAAAAATAAGCCAAGTCCTCATCCCCAACCAAATCTTTAGAGCTGTGCAGGATAATCTGTTGCTCTGACTCACATCCTGCCAATTGAAACATGCCCACTGTGGATATACAACACCCCCCTTACATAGCCAGAAGCCAACAATTTCTCTCTCTCTCTCTCTCTCTCTCTCTCTCTCTCTCTCTCTCTCACACACACACACACACACACACACACACACACACACCATTGCTTCCTTCTCCTCACTCACTCCCTTGTCTCCTGAAAGGACCTCAACTGCTGAGAAGTGCTTCTGCGTAGAGACAAAGGCCTGGATCTTGAAGCAAACAACCTGTGCCTGAGCTACCCTGCTCCTGCTATTAGGTCACATTCACACCATACATTTAAATCACTGTTTCCCCTTTTAAATGTATGGTGCAAAACCAGTGAAATTTATAGAACATTAGTAGAAATGGAGGATCAAGAAGATCAACTGAAAGAGGTGTGGGAAAAGGAGACAACAGGGCAGATAGATAGTCAAAGCTGGGGAGAAATATGGGAGAATCGTACGTTGAAAATGTTGTCTATAAGAAGAATATTATTATAAATTAGTTTGAAGGTGGTATTTAACACCAGTCAGATTAAATCAAATAAACAAGGAATAGTCAGTGTTATGTTGGAGGGGATACCAGGAAATCAGGAATTATACTCATGTGGTGAGGGTGCAAATATGTACAATTTTTCTGGCAAAGGGTGTTTAAGGAGATAACAGAAATCACTGGTTTAAAGCAGACTGAAAGTCCAGAAGAAGAAGACGAAGAAGAAGAAGAAGAAGAAAAAGAAGAAGTAGTAGTAGTAGTGGTGGTGGTGGTGGTGGTGGTGGTGGTGGTGGTGGAGGAGGAGTTTGGATTTGATATCCCGCTTTATCACTACCCTAAGGAGTCTCAAAGCGGCTAACAATCTCCTTTCCCTTCCTCCCCCACAACAAATACTGTGAGGTGAGTGAGGCTGAGAGATTTCAAAGAAGTGTGACTAGCTCAAGGTCACCCAGCAGCTGCATGTGGAGGAGCGGGGAAGCGAACCCGGTTCACCAGATTACGCTCCTAACCATTACACCACACTGGCTCGCAATTTACGATGGGGTAGAAGATTCACAGGCTATGAAGGACTTGTTCACAAATTTATTGACAGCTTGCACAAATTATTATAGCTAGGAAATGGAAGGGACAAGCAGAATATAAAATGGAAGAATGCTATAAAGAGGTGTGGGATATAGCTATTAATGATAAATTAACATGGGCCATTAAGGTAAGTAGGGGAATATGCAAGAGAAACAGTTGAGGAGATATGGAAGGTGTTTGTGGAATTTGTACTGTTAAAATGGATAAGGGTCAAACCATTGCAAGAGGTGTTGTCATTTTGGGAGGTTGGATAGTTACAATGGAATGGTCTCGGTGGTGGGGTGCACATTTTTATTCTTATTTATTTATGATTATTACTTTGTAAAATAAAAAAATAAATTAAAAAGCACTGTAATGCCACTTTAAACAGTTACAGTTTCCCCCAAAGAATTCTGGGAGCTGGAGTTTGCTAAGGGTGCTAGGAATTGTTTGGAAGCCCCTGTTCTGCCCCCTGCCATTCCCAGAGTAGTTTAACAGTCAATTCCTCTTCACAAGGAACTCTGGGAACTGTAACTCTGAGGGAAACAGGGGTCTTTAAACACCTCTTGGCAAACTACAGCTCCCATGATTCTGGGAAGGAAGCCATAGCTGTTTTAAAATCGCATCAAGGTGCTTCAAAATATATGGTGTGACAATGTCAAGGAGAGACTGAAAACACTCACCTATGGCGGCATTGCTGCTTCCTGCAGAATTTCTCTGCTCAGTTTACCATCACCACCTTCTCTCCCGTGTCACGGACTCTGGAGGCTCTGCCAAGATCGTTTAACCTCCCACTTCCTTTAAAACTGCTTAATGCAGGTTTTAATGCAGCAGACTTTCAACACCACCACCTTTGCATCTCAACACCAGACAAGTATTAGAAACTGAGATATGAAAGCTAGGAGATAAATGGCACCTTAAATCTAGGGTTATGGGCACCACAACAGAATGACTAGGTGTGCTTCCCCTCCACCCATAACCAAAATACAAAGCTGAAAATGAATGAACTGCAGCTAAAATATTATATTCATTTTTTTCACATGCTCTAGTCCTTCCCCTCCCACCCACCCCAAATATTCTTAAGAGGGTCTCTTCTCCGGTCTTCGAAGAGTACTGTAGCTGGAAGTGGCGAGGCAGAAAAAGGCCCTCCTTTCCTTCCACTCTGCAGTTTTAATCGGAAATCTTAGGCGCAGTACTGTGCCCAGAGCTCAGAAATGGCTCACGCTAATGAAATTCCCTGTTGCAAAACGCGCCTAGAACAATGGGAGTTTTGAACACTGCGCCAGACTACGTTTGGTTGTAGGAAGAGGTCTTAGGTGACATCCATAACACCATATATTTAAAGCACACAGCTGCCTCCAAAGAAACCCGGGAACTGTAGTTTCCACTTCACAGAGCTGCAGCTCCCAGCACCTTTAGCAAAGTACAATTGCCAAGATTATTTGGAGGAAGCCGGGTACTTTAAAGGTGCTTTTCAGGTATGGTGTGGACACAGGCTCTTTGGAGAAATGAGACAGTTCATCTGCACAACTCCGCAAGAGCCAGACCGCTCTTTAAGAGCTTTCCAATGTGGAAAAAGAAAAATCAACACGCTCCGAGAGCTCAAACTTCTGCAAGGGAGCCTCTTGCAGCCAATTGGCTCATTCAAACCCAGCAAGAGAGCAGAGTCTGTTTCTGCGGGAAGGAAGCATGCTTGTCCCATGCGTCACACAGGGGAAGAAATCACCCCAAAGGGAGGGAGAGCTCTGTAAAACCCTATAAAGCTTTTGGAATGCAAGAAGTCCCGGGTTCAAGCCCCAGGTAATGCTGGGGAGGTCCCCCTGGAGACTCAGTATGGCCCTTACTGAGCTAGTTGGACACTTGGTTTGACTCCATATAAGGCAACGTCTTGTGTTCGCCACGGACGGGGGAAAAAAGAATCACATCAGTTTGGGGCAGGAATGGCAAAAGCTCTGAAATAGGTAAAGACAACATTTTTGTTGCCTTTGAAAGGATGCAGATATTGGGTGGGGGTGAAAACTGGTCTTCCTGCATTTTCCCTTACATAGCCTACACTGTCTTAGGAATGGCTACCTTCTGCTCCAAGTAGGTAAGCCACCCTTCACCATGAGTAGAACCTCCTTGTCCAGAGGCAGTGCACCTCTTTAGTTCTAGGTGCCAAGAGACCAACCTATTGACCCCAGCATGTCCTGCTTGGCAGCACCCACAATGTGATATTATTATGAGTTGCATTTGTATCCCACCTTTTTCTCCAAGGAGCTCAAGGTGGCATTCATGGTTCTTCCCCTTCCTCAATTGATACCCAGAGCAAGCCTGCAAGGTAGGTTAGGCTGAGATGCAGCAATTTGACCCCTGGTCTCCCAGGTCCTAGTAGTATATGTCCCATTATAGAAGAGATTGGGGGACCTGTGTCCCCTGCCAGATGTTCTGGACTGCAACTCCCAGCAAACGCAACAAGGACAGCCAGGCTGGCTGAGGCTGATGGGAGTTGAGGTCCAAAACATTTAGAGGTGCATGTGAGGTTGGGGAAAGCTGTCATCCATTATAATGCTGGCTCCCCATCCTATTAAGCCTCCTGAGCAGAACAGACCCACAAGCCATTCAAACAAAGAAGCAGCTGGAGGCACGATTACCTGGAAGGGCTGGCCAACAGTGCGAGTCTCGGGCCCAGCTCCTTGCAGGCTGCAAAACATCCCAGAGGGATGAGCTGCTTCTCCCAGGCTTCCGCACGCAAATGCCAACCTCCAAATTCAGTGTCATGTTAATTATGGGGGAAATCTGTTGCAGGTAGCAGAAATGTGACACAAAAGCAGCTGCTGTCAGTTCACAACACTTTCAGGATTTTGCAAACTACTCATGGCGTGCTTCCAAGCATCTCCAAACAAAGAAGGGTGGAAGCTTTTTAAAAACAAACTTTTTTGAAACTCAGCAGAGGTCTCAGGAAGTTTCTCTGTGCAAGTGGGAGCAAAATCTCATGATATGCAGTGCATGGTATTCCACCAGCTCTCTGTTCTTCTCTCCAAATAAAGAGAGATAAAGATGAGGGTACCACGATGGGAGGAAACCTGCCCCGAGATAATGCTGGCGAGCCTGTCTCCTCCAACATTTATACTTCCAGGGAGAACGGTCTGAATGCATTCACACCTTTATAATGAGAACTGCAATCTTGGCTTTAATAAGGAGCTGGGACTCTCAGAAACCAAAACAACTGTTCTGTTCTCAGGGCCACACAGAAGATGGAGAATAATCAATGAACTTCTGGAATTACTGAGTCAAAATAAGGGACTCGTTGGCTATGATCTGAGCTCCCTTCCCATGCTGGGATTAATTTTTTTTTAGAGCGAGGATGACAAATTAAAGACCCACTTTCTGCAAAACTTAGTAAGTGTGGATGCAACCCAAAGGGGCAATGAAAAAGGATCTCAAGAATTGCACTCGGACATTTCTGTCTCTCTGAGAAGGTTAATAGGCACAGCTTTGAAGAATGGAGGAGTCAGGAAACACAAGAAAGCTCTCTCTACACCCCCACCCCGGGCCCCTCTCTCCTCTTCACCCGCTGAAACGTGAGGGCAGCAGATCCCTGGTAAAGAACTGGCTGTTCCAAAGTGTGGTTTTGGATGCAAGGGGAAGAAAGCAGAAGGAATCAATTAGGATCTGAACAAGAGCCCCACCCAAGAGCCATTGAGGAAGCTGCTCAGGCAAGGACTGGGAGAGCTACAAACTGCTTTTTATTTTGTATATTTTATTTATTACTACTACTATTACTACTACTCTATTATTGTTAGTAAAAGGTTGGTTTCCTTGTTTCCTGCTATTTGTCATGGACAAATAACTACCCTGATTTTGTCTATGTGTGGGAGAAGGGGGCATTCAGGAGGTTAACTTTTTAAAATAATGTAGCTCCTGTACCAGCTAATAAATTTTATTGACTGTGTTGGGAGGACGCAGACTACATATTACACTTGCTACAGAACCACTGTAACTCAGGGGCAAGCAGTGCCATGGCACCCAAATGCGTCACAATGAATTCTTAATGGCTTTGGTGAATTATTAAATGAAGAGCAGCATCAAACAGGAGGCAGAGCAGGGGAGGGGCTGCTTAACCCTCTCCTCACAGTTCCTTCATGCCCCAAGAACTAGCCCCCTACGCTGGCTGCTTGTGCCCCTGCAGGGCTCCAGCTGAATGCTTAGGGCTAAAATATGCATCTGAAACCCTGGCATGTGGAAGAAGGGCTGAAGGAATGAGCAGAACAGCAGCCAATCGGATAAAAATTAAGCATCGCCCTCACCCTACCGCTCCTCCAGTCAAAGTTACAGCCTCCCAAGGGTGCTTTTCTTTCTTTTCTTGTATAATTCAAAGGAACTTCCTAGACCTCCCTTGCTTCTTCCCATTCATTCCATGTGTCAAATATAACTCACATAGAGGTGTTATTTTAACAACTCCTGGGCAGATATTGATACCAATTGTAGGCATTAGGTACTATCATGTTCCTTGTCTCGGAGCAGCAGTTGTTCTCAGCAAAGCGCAAACTGGATCCATTGTTAAATTAAACAGACATTCACTTTCCAGGTTTTCTGACTGGGATCTCTCATAGACCTACCTGAAGATCTTGGGAATTAAACCAGGGGCCTTCTGCATGCGAAGCTGATGTTCTACCACAGAGCTATGGCCCTTTGCTGCCAGTGGTGTAACAGAACCTGGGGGGAGCAAGTTCTGAAACTGCGGCAGGTGAAGCTACCTGAGAAGGGCTCCTGTGAGTGATGCCTTGGCCCAATGGCACACATGCAGCCTCATTCTATTGTCTATATAAAGGAAGAGAACGGGGCCCTGGGCTCAGAGAAACCTCAGGGATGAAAAGGTGGCAAGTTAAGTGCTTCGAGGAATTTATTCTTGGCATGAAAATAAATAGGCAGCATCAAGGCTTTGCGAGGGAAGGTAAACAAGAGACACAAACAGGAGCTTCCGAACATTGTGGTATGGTGATGGCAGGATGATATTTTGTCAAGGTTCCTGGCATGTAAGAGGGAAGGAAATGCACAATCCAAACCAAAGTTTTGCATAGGGGAACCATTTCTTTCCACAGGATTTGGTTTTCAGCGGCTGAATTCCCCCACCCATGACCAGCCATGTTTCTGCCCCAGAATGCACTCAAGGCATTGGATTATGGATTCAAACTGCCAGCAAAGAGATTTCGCCAAGCCCATTGTTATGGCTGAATGTCACGTTTCGCCTCTCTGAGGAAGGAGGCGCCAGAAGGGGTACTGGAGGCAACAAACACACACACAACAACCAACCCACCTTGCTTAAAAACTGCACGTGAACAGGCAGGATCTTGGATTGCCAGCAACAAGCCACCAAGAATCCCAAATCCTTGGAATAAACGCTTCTTGCCGGAGCAGAAGGGCGTTGGCCACAGCCATGAGTCAGAAACGGTTCTGGCACAGAGTGCCAAGCATGTGCTCCGCCCTTTCAAATCCAAACCGCTGGCTGGTTTCTATGGAGTGGCCAATCCAGAGCTTCCACAACAGCATCCCTAGTTCCCATTGGCCCACTAGAAGATGCCGAGAGCAGGGGCTGATGGGAAGCCTCACCCGTTAGGCACACGTGAGGGGTGCAGGGCTGCCCTGGCTTTGTCTGTGCCATGTCAAAGATCTGTAGCCATTTCTGCCTGGGGACTGGCGTGAGCCTTGAAGTGCCATGCCTTTACCAGGCTCCCCTGCTGCCTAGCTTTCATACTTTTCCAGGCTCCCTTACTGCCTGGCTTTTAACATGCGTCCCGGTGAGGTTTTTAGGAAGGCAGAGTACGTAGCACATAAAACCCATTCACTCTTACTGCAGGGAGGAGATTAGAATCCAAGAGTTGCACATAGAGATGCAGGTTCCAATCCTGACAGCCTTGTCCAAATCATGCACTCCAGTCCTAAACTCTTTGCAGGGTACTTGCAAAGACAAATGCAACTTTGTACACGCAGGGTATGATTCAAATTTATTCAGTGTTGCTCTAACCTGCTACAGATACCCAAGAGGGGAAAGGATGCATCTTGCACTGATCAGCTTCCCTGTAGAATGGCGACACTCACCCATGCCCACAAACCACAAGCTATGGGGCCTTTCCTGCGCTTTTTACATCTGTTGCAGGTAATTGCATTTTAAAGAATGTCGCACGTTCCAGGTAGAATTTTGCAAAAAGGTGACACATGCAACCAAGACAAACAGAAGAAGGTGCCTCTTATCAGGTCTGGTCAGTGGCCCACCATGCCTGGAATTGTCTATTCTGGCTGACAGCAGCAATGATGGCTTTCCGGTGGTCTGCATGTCCCAGGTTTGATCCCTGGCATCTCCAGGTAGGGCTGTGAAAGAGCCCTGTTGGAAACCCTGGAGAGCCACTACCCAGTCAGTGTAGACAACAATGAGCTAGATCAGGACTCCAGCTGTTTTTGGACTACAGTTCCCATCATACCTGACCACTGGTCCTGCAAGCTGGGGATTATGGGAGTTGTAGTCCAAAAACAGCTGGCGACCCAAGTTTGGGAAACCCTGAGCTAGGTGGATCAATGGTCTGACTCTGCATGAGGAAGTTTCCTATGTTCCACTTCTGTTTTGAGACCCAGTTGAACCATGGAAAACTTGTATTCTACCACCAAGCTTCAGGCCATTCCATACATCATGCTGAGCAAACAAAGCCACATAGGGGAGGGTCTGATAAACAGCAATTGGTGGTAAAAGTCAAAGTCTGACTTACATACAAAGCCAATTTATTTCAGTATCACTGCCCACCCATACCAACATAAGGCATTTCTGGAAAATCGACAGCCTGAAAACAGGGGCAGGAGTTGAGGAGCAGCCAGCTTCATCAGGTTTAGTAAAACTTACTTGCCTGCTCACCTGGAAACAATCCTTACTCACCACAGGTGAGCAAGCAAGTGGTTATAATATGAGCACAATATACCTGGATATCAGATGCTGGGGATAGACAAGGGGAAGCCACACACCCTTTTATGCCCAACATAGAAGCTCCCTGGACGCTTCTGGCTAACCACTGCTGGAAACAGAAGGCTGGGCCTTTGGACCAAATAGAACAAGCCATTCAAAGTACAGTGCACATGGCCCTAAGATTTAAGGGGAGCCTGGAACCTGATTCAAGTGTTAGGGCTCAAGGCATAGAGCATGCCAACAAAGAAAAAGTGCCTCTGAGCATACATGAACAAATTTTTGCTCCCCACCAAGTTAACTACAAAGCTCCTTTAGAACCACAGGGGCTTTGTTGCTGCAGCAAACCTGCTCAGCAACTCTGGCCTCTCTCCAGGCTGTTTAATGACAACTCAGCCTATGGCTGTTTGGAGCTTCCTTGTGTTCCTTTCTTGTAGCTCATACCTGGACGTGCCGACAAAAGTCCTCCGAGAACACAGCCCTCCAGCACAGATCATAGATCACAGAATTGTAGAGTTGGAAAGGACCCTGAGAATCATCTAGTCCAACCCCCTGCAATGCAGGAATATGCAGCCTGTATGGGAATCGAACCTGCAACCTTGGCATTATCAGCACCACGCTCTAAGCAACTGAGCTGCTGGTCTGACTCTCTAGGCAACCAAGAACTCTGGCAGCGAGCGGTTCGCCAAGATATGACTTGTACTGGCCTGTTTGGGAGTCCTAGTTACCTCCCTCGCCAGCCACTGCTCAAGGGGGCTATTCTGCCTGAATGGCGATGTCGCCAAAGGGGAAGGGTCTGTCAAGAAATGTTGCAGGGGTGGGAATTACTTTAAAGAAGTGGAAGATCAGTGTGGCCACAGGGAAGATCTCAGGAATGGGTGGGGGGCTGTGTGTGGTGCATTGTGGTGTTAAGGTAAGCAAGAGAGTTGGGGAGACTATCTGCTGTTATAGGGAAGAGCTGCAAAGAAGCTTATTTTTTTTTACCGAGTCAAAAATTAAAGGTTAAAAACTAGCATGATCCGCTGTGTATCTGTCACTGCACTCTAATTGGGACGGATGTCTCCCATTTGCGCCCTGGCACAGGTGGATATTTCAACATGATCAAAGTTATGATGGGCTATTGATTATGGCAAGGGTGGCTAACCTCTCACCTAGGAGGGAGGCCTGATGCAGACCCCCAAGACCCAACTGATTTGGCAGTGGCAAAAAGGTAAGAAAAATTAAAGTGGGCTCCTCTCCACTCAGCTACTTGATGGAGAATGCCAGAATGTGTGCTTGTCGCCAAGTCCTGATGTATTCGCTTCTGGTTCTCATGGTCGCAATGATAAGCTGGAGAAAGCTAACAAAAGCATCAGAAACTAGGGGAACGCCAGCCTCGAAGAGACAGACCACATCCTACCCGGCTTCCTACCCGCGGGAACCATTTGTTTGCCTCTCTGCTTTCAAACAAGAGTCTTGGACAACGGTTAAGAGAAGAAATCCAGCTGCACAATCCTGATAGTTGCCTCGCCAGGGTGCAAGCCGAGTCTGGGTGGCAGAGATACCGAGTGGCTGTTTCCACCCAGCCTCCTGATTAATGTACTCCTGGATAGTAAAGAATGCCTACATGTATGCCCTGTTGCACTCGGTGGGGCCTAGCATGCAATGCAAGTAAGGCACCCTAACTACTAAAAAGTCACCCCGAGGGGGATCCACAGGCCAGTCAAAAAGAGAGAAAATCCATTCCTGAGACAGGGCAAGTGCAATGCAAAACTGTGATGATGATATTATTATTATTATTATTATTATTATTATTAACCACCAAACATCAAAGTGGAAAGTACAAACGGAAAGGAACTGAAAGCTGGTGAATCAAGAATTCTAAAGACTCCAATGCGAGCGATATGTTCAAAGGGGAAACAATTGTTACAGATGGGGAGACTTTGTCACGCAGCATGCTTTGATCTTTGTAAAGCTACCACTAAAAGGGGAACAGCTCGCAAGGTAGAGGACTTTGCTTCCGACCACAGGCGGGGCCCTCCAGCCGCCTCACCCCCACGCAATGTCTAGCTCTCCCCCCCCCCCCCGCTCCACCGGGGAATTTCTATTTGTCCTTCGAAATCAATGAATTACGATTGTAGTTTCCCTGATTGTAGTTTCCCTTCGGCTGACTCACACTGCCTCTTGTTTGCAGTCTCAAAACATTTGCTGCCTCCCCTGGCAACCGCTATTGCCGAGCTGTCGGACGAGGCAGGCAGGCAAACAGGTTAATTGCAAAGGAAAACCTTTTGCAACCAGCCTTGCAGAAACAGAAAGACAGGTAGCCGGCGCCCCACGGGAGGAGGTGCAAAAGGGCCCCATGTGCTGCTGTTTGTGGTACAAAGCACACAGTTGTCAAGACCCAACGCGTGGGCTGCAAAGCCTGCCTGCTTCTGGGGCACAGCACAATGGCTGACAAAACAGACACCTGGCAGCTAGACGGGACTTCCAAAATTATTTCCTGCTGCTCTGAGTTTGTCTGCTACAGAAGAGAGGCAAAGCGACAGAACATACAACTGCAGTTGACAACAACTGTTTCTTTTTGCATTATTTAAATTGTAGTTAAGCACAGGGGCATATTAAAGAAGTGGCAACTGTGGTTAGACGCCCCATGAAACACACCGAACTGTTATCAAGCCATAATTTGAGGCTTGCAGTATGAATCATATCAGCTACAGCATACCAATGCCGATGAATCTTCAACCAGGTTGGGGGCAGAGGAGAATAAAAGACACACCTGTAATGTCCCTACCTCCTATTTCTCAAGTGAACATGCAGCTCCCTGCGCTTCTCCCGGGGATGGAAAGGGGTTAGTTTAACCTCTGCTTTGCTAGTAAAACTGAATTACTGTGTGGCGAAATGATGCATGTCTAAAATGTGTGTCACCAACATGAAAAGTTTGGAAGCTCTGCAGTAAGGGATATTAAGTCCTACAGCTCACTTGGGGTGATCAGGAATCAACACCAGATGACCAGGCAGGTCTTTATAAAAGCTTGGCCAGAAAGAATGGGTTTATGCAGGCAAACAAGCCAGCAAAAACCCTTGCGCTGCGGCAACTTGGGTGGAATTAACTGCAAACCATTCCTTGCCCTGTCTCTGTCTCTGACTATTATTATTATTACAGTGGTACCTCAGGTTACATACGCTTCAGGTTACATACTCCGCTAACCCAGAAATAGTGCTTCAGGTTAAGAACTTTACTTCAGGTTGAGAACAGAAATTGTGCTCCGGCAGTGCGGCAACAGCAGGAGGCCCCATTAGCTAAAGTGGTGCTTTAGGTTAAGAACAGTTTCAGGTTAAATACGGACCTCCGGAATGAATTAAGTACTTAACCCGAGGTACCACTGTAGTATTATTATTATTATTATTATTATTATTATTATTATATTATTATTATTATTTCAGTTGTCATTCACACAGTGCATTTCAAATCTGTAAAATGCTTTGCAGACATTGTTTTATTAACCTGCAGCACAGCCTTATCAGATAGAAATATTGGCCTATCATCCCAATTTGGCAGATGAGGGACCAAGCTAAAGACCAACTAAGGCTGCAGCTCTGAGCACAGACAGCTGGGAGCAAACCCCTCTGAAATAAATGGGGCTTAGATGTGAAAATTAAACGCATGTGGGTCTGGGCTGCAAGGCCACCCAGGGAGCTTGAGTCACAACCTGGGAAGTTCATCTGAGTACTTCAGAGGTAATCTGAGGCAAGGCAGATTCACCCACCTTCCCCAGCTGGTGCCCTCCAGATGTCTGGAACTACAACTCCCATTGGTGCTGCAATGGCTGCACTGACTGGGGCTGATGGGAGTTGTAGTCCAAAACATCTGGAGGGTGAAACAGGCTGGGGAAGGTTATCTTGGGTAATCTGCAACTTTTTCCTGGTATGCTACATGCATGCAATTATGAAACTTATGTTCAGGCTTGGTTTTGAAGTGCTTTATGGAGCACTCGCAAGTGGTGGGGAATGCAGCCTCCCCCCCCCCCATGCCCACATAAAGAGCAGCCGCTCAGCACCTATTGCTGCAGCCTTTTCAAATGATTCTGCCACACATAGCACAACAGACCCAGGATCTAAATGGAGACAGGCTCGCATTGCCATTGAGATGAGCACAAAGTTATCTAAAGCGGGATCTGCAATGGGACACATGCAGGTTAAATATAAAACTGAGCTGCATGCAGGCGGCATCTGCAAAAGGCATTATTTCTGGGAAAGGGACTCTGCAATTTACTCAGAAAGGACCCAATGACTCGCCTCGCCCGCCCTCACTTCTAAGGCTTCTCAGCAGAGAAGGCTAGGAAGCCACAGCAAAGCCAAAAGCTGTAGTAAAATGAGACTGGCCTGCAGACTTTGGCATAAGGCTGCTGTAGCCTCCACACTCCCTGCTGCCTATCAGAGTTCAGTTACCTCCTGAAGCCGAATACTGGCAGGGAAGGCAGGAGGAAAGAGGGTACAGTTGTTCAGCATGCAAGCACAGCACTATCAAACCATGCAGGGCAGAACACAGTTACTACAGCTGCACCTTGGTTCTTTTAAAACAAAAAAACCCCATGTTGAGTTTTGAAGTTCCCAGTCCTTCTGGTTCAAGAGCAAAAAAACAAAAAACAAAACCATAACAAAACTCAGCACTGAGAGAACACAAAAAACTATTTAGAAATTAGAGGTTGTGAGGAAGTGGGGGGGGGGGGGAGGACTATAGGCTATAGTTCCTGCTCCTTTGCTATGACCACCAGGTCTTCCCCTCTGCACAGCCTGTTTCTCTGCAAGTCTGAACTCACATTCTCCAGCACATGCCTAAGAAATGTGGAGGAGATGCATTCCCCACCCCCGGGCCCACCACAAAAATGCAGCCAACGCACAGTAACTAAGCATGTGGCGCAATCTGCCCAATGTGCACAATTTATTCCAGTTGCAGAAATTTAGGATGAGCGGAGTGGAAAAAATATATAATCGCATAATTCCTCCACCACACCCGAATCGACTATTTGAGCCAACACAGAAAAGGCTGCGTAGGAAAAATGTAAAACGGAGACAATGAAGGTCAGAACGGGCGCAAATTCAGCAAGCAGTTTGTTAAATCAGATGCACCCCTGGATGGAAAAGGGTTCAGCTTGAGTAAAAGTGGTCATAGGTGGGCACTTCAGAACGGAATGTTCTCCTCTCCAACCAGCAGAGCAGCAAACATAGTTTGGTTCTACTGAAGATACAACTTGCTAAGCCAGGGAATCCTCCAAGAGAATGAAGGGTGTGCCTTGATAAGAGAAGCACCTATCCCACAGTCTGCCCCAAGAGCTTGCTGACATTTCCTGGGGCCCCCAAACCCAATGGTGATCTGCCACACAGAGGTTTTTGGCAAACCACTCAGACAATTCATTAGACAACCACATACACAAATAGTCCTTGCCCAATTTGGAGTGGAGACTAAGCTGTGTATACACACTCTCATTCAAGTCTGCACTCAATGCGCTCCTAGCTGCTAAGGGAAGCGGTGTGCACACAACACGAGCCACAATCCATATCTATCCTAACGTTTCTAGTGAAATATTGCATTTTAATGCGCTTTCCCCAAAACCAGCTTGGCTCCAAATTGAGAAAACAAATGACCCAGCTGTGTTTTAAGCCAGCTTGAGTTGCTTTCAACCAAGCCTTACTCAGAGTAAATGCACGGAAATGAATGGAGCCACCTTAGCCATGCCCATTCATTTCAATGGGATAGGCAACGCGGTGCCCTCCAGATGTTCTTGGACTAGAACACCCATTGTTCCTCTCCACTGGCCATGCGGACTAGGGCTGACAGGAGCTGGAGTCAAACATCTGGAGAGCACCACACTGAGGACCCCTTAATCTAGTCAACACAAGGAGGGGGCAATTTATGAAATCTTAAAGGAGACTATTGTGGGTGGCCTCGTTGCCGGCACCAAAGCCATCCACTGTGCTTGCTCCCCAATGCACCCAAAACCAGGACATGGATACAAAATATTAATTTTGATGGCCACTGGTGGAAATTTAAGACAGTTTTAAAAATAAATCTGATTACTCCAAGATATTCTGAACAGAACACAGCTACAGTGCCAAGGAGAATAAAGCTGGGGTCCTTGTCCCCAGCTCCCTTTCTAAGTTTGGGGAATCCATCCAACTATTGTTTAAGATATGCTGGCTACATACCACAGAGGTAAACTTTCCACTGCCAAACTGGGAATTCCAGGCAGCCGCGACAGATACCACAATGCCAACCGCACAACCAATTGCCCACAAAAGAGGAAAAGAAAGTGTTCATTGTCAAGCCTGAACGTGGGCTTGGGGAAGAATATGCCGCCTCCTCCTCTGCCCACAACAGAGTCGCAGTCTTCCCAGCTGGAGAATGACATTCTTTGCCCTCCCAGCTCATATGATGGCTGCCAGCTTCCATGCCCGCTTTGGTCCCTGCCCAAAATCCTTGTGGGCCACCATCCACTGGGCTTACGCTTTTGACGCAATCCTGACTAGGTACTCCAAAACGTGCAGAGGTGTGTATGGGATTTTCTCTTTTCTTTTTTGAGGGGGGGGGCTGAGAAAACGCTGTTTGGACCAAGGAGGCTTCCCTCCACCCCCACCCCGGGTCCCTGAGCGAGCGCCCCTAGCCAGCCCCTTCCCGGGCGCCCTACCTGGCCTTGAGCTCCTTGAACTCCTCGCGGACTTTGCTCAGCTCCAGCTGGAGGCGCGCCCGCTCCTTGGCCACCGAGTCGAGCGTCTTGCGGGCGTCGGCCAGCTCCGCCTCGTAGGCCGACTTGATGCCCGTGACCTCGCGGCTCACCTCCTCCTCGGACTCGGTGATGCGCAGCCGGAGCCCGGCGTTCTCGGACTCGAGGGAGCGCACCTTGTCGATGTAGATGGCCAGGCGGTCGTTCAGCTCCTGCAAATCCTCCTTCTCCTGCAGGCGGGTGATGCGGGCCGGCGAGAGCGGGTTCGAGGTGCCCCCGCTCCGGGTGCTCCTCTTCTGGCCGGGGGTCTCCATGGCGCAGGCGGGGTTTCGGGCCCTGGCGGACGAGGAGGACGAGGGAAGCGGCGGCGGCGGCGGCGGCGGAGGCACTGGAGGAAGCAGCAGAATTCCAACGCACCTCGGCTCTCCAAATGACAGGCGGTCTGAGTCACGGGCTTGGAGGGCAGCTCATATAGCTTTGGGAAAAGGCGGGGGAGGCCGGGAAAGAGGAGGGGAGGGGCTAGGAAAATAGAACCAGCCCCTCATTTGCATAGTTAAAGGAAAACTGCCCAGGGCTGGGTTTTTATCACATTCTCTGATGCTTCCCTTCTTCGTCCGCCTCCCTCCTCCTGATCTGCTTTGCCTTCCCCTCCGCTCAGGGTGTTTCGACGACCCAGAGAGCAAGGAGCCTGTGCGCCTACTGGTTAGAGCAGCCTTTTCTCAGACGGCGTTGGAATGCAGCGCCCACCATCCCAAGCTAGCAGAGAAGGTGGTCAGGGATGATGGGAGCTGTAGTCCAACAGCGTATGCGGACCCAAGGTTGAGAAAGGCTGGGTTCGTTGGAAGCACCATCTAGTCCGACCCCCTGCAGTGCAGGAAGATGCATGCAGCTGCCCCATACGGGGATCGAACCTGCAACCTTGACATTATCAGCACCACGCTCTGAGCTATCCAGGCCAGGGTTCGAATCCCCATTCATAGGGAAGTTCCGGCTCTCAGCCTAGCCTACCTCGCAAGGTTGTTGGGGATTAAATGAGGAGGTGGGAGGGGGAGAACATGTGCGCCCCCTCGAGCTCCTTGGAGAATAAAAAGGTGCGGTATGGTGAATGCAACAAATAAGGGCCAGTTGTTTCTGTGTGGGTATGGGAAGCAGGAATGCAAACAGTGCAGGTCTTACACTGAAAGGGGGTGGCGAACATATCTAGAGGACAGCACGGTTGGCGGGGAGTGCTATTCTGGATCTCCCCACTCCAAAATAAAAACAAAGAAAAAATACCTTATACTGCAGCCCCAAAAGCAGATCCACATTGCCAAAATAGATGCATCTCTGGAAACCCCCGGGAGAGCGGACCGATGTACTTACCCCTCTCGTAAAGGAGCTAAGCAGCTTTGTTTCTCAACTCTCCACATTAAAAGGGCCAGAACCCATTCTCCACCCCTGACCAGTAGCAAGAACTGAAAGAGAAGTCGACTCCACGCTACAGCCGCACACCATGCATTTAAAACACTCCCAAGAGTCCTGGAAACTGTAGTTTACCTGTCACAGGGATACAGTTCCCAGCAGCCTTCACTAATGCTCCAGGATTCAGAGGCTGGCAGGGCAGAGAGTGTGACTGAGTGAGAGATGTGCTTTAACTGTAGTTGGATCCCCCACAGCTGGAACAATTTGCTCCAAATTATCAGGACTCTCATTGCAGCTCCATTCTGCAGCCAATGACAGTCCACGCTGGGTCAACCCTGCAAAAAGATTCTGCCTTTCATTACTTGGCTTGTAGGTAGCCTTGAAAGGCTGCCATCTTCGGATGCTCTTTTTGGGACTGGAGCAGGGCGCTGGCTGGGGTGGGGGGGCAAGTGATGCTTTAAAACTGCTTTGTCCTCAGTGCCCAAAAGATGGGGCTGGTTTGTCTATGAGTCGTTTCCCTCTCCTCAGGGACCCCCTGGGAGTTGTAGTTTTCTGAAGGGGGCCAAATAAGTAATATAAAAGGCCAGCACACTCACTAAACTATAATTCCCAGGATTCCAGGGTGGGGTAGTGGTGGTAAATCGTTATAATTCATCTAGTATAATTTTGATACGCAAATATGCCTTCGCTTGGGTCTCTTCACTGAGCTACAATTCCCAGAATTTCCTGGGAAGAGTGACTGGTTATTAAACCACTCCAAAAATTATAGCAGCTCTGTGGGGGGAATAGGGACCTCCTAGCAACTCTCAGCACCCTTAACAAACTACATTTGTGGGGAGAACATGCAAGGAAAGCTCCAAGAAGAGGTGTGTCTATGTGCATCAGAAGCGCAGAAGACTCCTGTTGGGTTGGGTGAGATGAAGGTCACCAGTGATTTTGCCCCTTGGGTGCCCCAATATGGCCTGGTGGGATGGGGAAGCACTTCCAATGCTGGGGGCAACAGCCAGCGTCACCCAAAGTCTTGTGGGATTGGGGAGCAAGAATTACTGGGTTACGTGCCCTTGTTTAGCTCCATAAAGCTTTCCAGAGATGCTGGGAGTTAGCAAAGAGGGGGAATTCTGGCCCCCAATTTGGGTGGGGCGGGCCAGTGAATTCTGAATTGGGATACCACCAGATAAAACCTGGTGGCAAGATTCTGATTTGGAGTTTGGGGGCAGGAGATGAAGTGGACTGGACCAGAGGGCAGAGAAATGGAAGGGATCTCCAATGTACCAGAGAGGAAACAGATGTGATCTGGAGGATTCCTGAAGAACTAGAGATGGTTGGAAGCAATCAGCACTGTGCTGAGTTATGAGAAATGTGCTCCCATTAACTTTTTCTGTTATTTTTCTATAGGATATTGAAATATACTCAGAGTCGAGTGTGAATTTCACGCTCTTTATTCAGCTCGTAGTAGCAATGAATGAAACTTTCCCCAAAATGTCTAGCTATATATACATTATTTACACAATGTGCCCTGCATGATTGGCTAATTCTGGGCTGCTCCTGTAGGCCAATCAGGTTGCGGATTCACTTCCTCCAGAAGCCTGACTGGCTGCTCCTGCAGGCCAATCAGGTTGCTGATTCACTTCCACCTGGAGCTGGATTGGGTGGCTCCTACAGACCAATCAGACTGCTGCATTCTGGATCCTATTGTTCTAAGATTCAGCTCAGTACATAACAGATATTCTTATGGATTGTACGTGGTCAGATGCACGTTTTCTAAGAGGATGATGATGTTATGAGCTGGGGGGTGGTGGCAGATCCTCCTAAAATCTAAAATTAGCAAATGTTATAATTTAGCTAATGTTTTGAGTACAGTGGAACCTTGGTTCTCGAACTTAATTCGTTTCGGAAGTCTGTTCAACTCATGAAACGTTCGAAAACCAGGGAGCGGCTTCCGATTGTTGCAGGCACCCCGGAAACAATAGCCGACAGCCACATCTGATGCTCTGCTTCCGAAAAACATTTGAAAACAGGAACACCTACTTCCGGGTTTGGGAGCCAATTTGTTCATCAATAAGCTATTCAAGAACCAAGGTTCCACTCTATTAAGGGAAGATGCCAGTCACAGCATAAAAATAAAGGCTATGCTGTTTTTCCCTGTTCAGGAGATCAGATGATAGAGGAGCCCCTTAAGAGACAAGGAGAGCAGAGCATTGGGCAGTTAAGGGCAAATTGACAATGCAAATAATACTTAGTGGATAGATACAGAAGGAATGGGGGGAGGAGTTTGCCAGGGTTACCGTGAGCGTGATGTCACCACAGGAAAAAGTGCCTTTTGCTGGAGGCTTTTGAAATGAAGGTTTACCGGGGTGGGTGGATATGCTGAAAGCAGAAGGGGAAGAGTTGTTTTCTGAAAAGGCTTCCGAGGAGGAGGAGGAGGGAACAGGCAGCACTCCATGCAGGTTGGCTGGGAGAGGCTGCAACCAGAGACCGGGGAACATGGCTGACCTCTGCTCTGGATCCAAGCCAGCTGGAGCAATGGGAGATGTAAAAAGAGACACTTTTCAGGTGTAATGTTCTGCACTCCCTCCATTGAAGGCTTCAGGTTGTAAATAAACCATATTTTCATAAAGACACTTGGCAAACTACTTGGTTTGTCAAGAGTGTGGTGGCATTTCAAAGGTCAGAATCTGTTGCCGCACCCAGGGCTTTTTTTCTGGGGGTACACATACCCCTAAACATTTTGTGACTCTAAGTTTGGCCTCATTGAGGGGCAGTACAGTGGTACCTCAGGTTAAGTACTTAATTCGTTCCGGAGGTCCGTACTTAACCTGAAACTGTTCTTAACCTGAAGCACCATTTAGCTAAGGGGGCCTCCTGCTGCTGCTGCGCCACCGGACCATGATTTCTGTTCTCATCCTGAAGCAAAGTTCTTAACCTGAAGCACTATTTCTGGGTTACTGGAGTCTGTAACCTGAAGCGTATGTAACCTGAAGCGTATGTAAACCGAGGTACCACTGTATTTCAATATGAGTAGGAAAATGAGAGTACCCCTGTTATGTATTGGGTTTAACACTTTTTATGTTACAAGGCACGTTCTAACCAATCGTATAAGCGTTGGTAGACGAATGTTCTAAAGCGCATGCACTTTCAACTGCCAACTGTCAACAACGGCCAGTTCTCGTTGGGGCTTTTTTATTGTGTGGTCCAGTGAGTTCGGGTTTTGTTTTCCTATGAGTGAGCCATTGTTACTGACAATGTAGTTGAGAAACTTATACTGCTTCCTTGGGCTTCTGACTTTTCCGAACATTTAACGTTGGCAACGAGGATGGGATACATGAACTCCCACCGGCTACCAGAGGCCCAAAACTGCACCACAGCACCGCTGCCTGCCGCCTCGCAGTAAGCGTGACCTCACCACCATGCTGGACTCAGCAAATAGTCCCGGAAACGAGACCGCACCTGCCACGTCTTCGCAACCACCCACAATCGCACAAGTGACTGCTCCAGGTCCAAGGATGGCCACCAGTCATAGTTGGCCGCCACTGGACTTTGATATGAGCCATCCTGCAGAATGGCTGGTGGTGCAGGGGGCTCCAAGAGGGTTCCCCCCGGGGGACACTGTGTATGTCCGAAACTATGGGCCGGGACAGGGTTGGGTCCCAGTATCATTGCCCGTTGTACAGATCCGGTTTCCTACGAGGTAGGTTTGGAGGGGGGAATGGTTTGGAAGAGAGACCTTGACCAGTTCAGAGCCAGGGCACCTCCAAACACGGAACTTCAAGCAGAACCAGTGACAATGTTACTGACAATGTTGAATAAACGTAGATGAGGAACTTATACTGCCTTGGGCTTCTGACTTTTCCGAACATTTAACAACCCCTAAACATTTTTTTAAGGGGAAAAAAAGCACTGGCCGCACCCCGACATCAATTTGCTCCTTGCCTCAGCACAACCTAGCTATTTTGTATCCAAGAGCCCTCAATATCAAATGAACAAATGAAAGACAGCAATTTATGCCAACTGCTGCATGCTGAAAACTCACCCACATTGCAGTGAACCCCGTTTGGAAGAGCTGTTCTGTCAAGATCTCCACAGAATAAATGTCTGGGGCGGGGAGGAACTACCTCAACTACCGTAATCACAATACACCCTTTAGAAATTTTATTTAATAAGATGGTCCTGCACAAGACCTCTTTGTCCTTATTTCAACATTTGCTGCAGTGATTTTAATTTTATTTTTTGGTGAGGGTTTGTGTGTGTGTGGTTGCGCTGTTAATGATTACAGAGACCTATGGGAAACTCCTCATGTTCCTGGATGCTGGCACCCAGCCATGACCCCACCAAATCAAACAGCAGGTCATTATAGCTAGATATATATAAAGCTAGATATATAGCTTTTGTGCAAGACCTCAGTTTAAAAATGAAAATGAAAAAACCCCCACAGAAACAGAATTGGATTTTCCAGAGACACATACATTTTTTTAAAAAAAGCACAAGCCCCCATTTTGCCTATTGTGAAACACAATAAGGAATAGTAGTTTCCTCTTGCAAACTTGGGTTTTCATTATTTTTTAAGGTGTGCACATTCAGTCAGTGCTTTTTTGTGACCGCACTCAAACATGGTACAGAATACAGTGGTACCTCGGGTTAAGAACTTAATTCGTTCTGGAGGTCTGTTCTTAACCTGAAACTGTTCTTAACCTGAAGCACCACTTTAGCTAATGGGGCCTCCTGCTGCTGTTGCACCACCGGAGCACAATTTCTGTTCATCCTGAAGCAAAGTTCTTAACCCAAGGTACTATTTCTGCATTAGCGGAGTCTGTAAGCTGAAGTGTATGTAACCTGAGGTACCACTGTACCATCACTTCTCTCTCTTTTTGTGTGCTGGCACCTATGACAACCCCCCTCCCCAGCATATGAGAATTGGCACATCATTTTTTAACGCCCCCACTCCCCAAAAGCACCACATGCAGGTACAAAACTACCTGTGCACATCCCACCTGCCCAGAATGGGGAAAAAACAGCAGAGGGGAGGGGGAAGGAGTGACTGAGGGAAGGGAGAGAAAGAAGGGAGCGGAAACCTGCCTATATTCTATCAAACTCTACTCACTGGTGTGTATGGAATAACAACAAAAACGGGGCTGGCCCAATACATTGTGGCACCTGAGGCGAACCACAAAATGGCACCCCACTCCTCACCAGGGAAGAAGGGTATAGTGAAGATCCATATTAGGAACTGGGGAGGAAAAAATATCTACATCTGTATCTGCTGTCCCTGTGAAGACTGCCGCCTTAGGCAGCTGTCTCAACCTTGCCTCATGGGTGGGCCGGCCCTGGCAACAAATATCCATGACTGAAAAAACAGGAATGTGTGTAACCCCCATAGTTTGCTCCAGATGGTGTTGGATTCCCAACTCCCATCAGCCCCAGCAAGCATGGTCAAAGGTCAGAGATGGTGGAGGCTGCATTCCAGTGATATCTGGAGGGCACCATATTGGCCACCACTGGCGTAAGCTAACATGTCAGTCACGTCTACAGGACTCGCCTTTCTGAAAATGTGCTGGTTTCACCAACTCTTTGCTTTCGTTCTTTCTTTTTAGTTACTTTGCAAGGGCTATCTACTCAGCAATTTTAGACATTTTCGTTTAGTGAAAAAGGCAAGTAAGAGGTAACAATGATAGAATCTGATACAATTCTGCATGGTGTGGAGAAAGTGGATGGAGAAAGGTTTTTCTCCCTCTCTCATAAGACTATTCTTCTTCTTCTTCTTCTTAGTAAACATCCAGTGAAGCTGAATTATAGGAGGATTCATGACAGATAAAAGAAAGGACTTCCTGGCACAGCATATAACTAAGCTATGGCGCTTGTTCCCATAGGAGGCAGGGATGGCCACCAACATGGATGGCTTTAAAAGAAGACATGGGAAATTCATGGAGGATATGACTATTAATGGCTACCAACCACAATGGCTATGCTCTGCCTCTATGGTCAGAGGCAGCAATGCTTCTGAATACCTGTTGTTAGAAGCCACAGGAGAGGAGAGGGCTCTTGTGCTCGGATCCTGCTTGCAGGCTTCCCACAGGCATCTGGCTGGCCACTGTGAGAATAACCAGTGGCAGGTGCACGGTGGCAGGGTGAGGCTGGGCACCCATAGAAAATGTTTTGTGGGTGCCTGGGCCCACAGGGCTCCCTGGGGTTTGTGCCCCTGTGTGTGTGGTCAAACAGCCTTCCTTCATATAATAAGAGGGATGATGTAAACATATCCTTATTTCTATCTGTGAAAGCAATCTTTTACAGTGGCAGCACCTACACTTTGGAACTCCCTGCCTACTTACATCACTGTACTCTTTTTGGCACCTGCTAATACCCTTTTTTGTTCAGATAAGCCTGCTCAGATATGTAGAATGCTTGCATGTGTTTTAATCCGTTTTTACCTTACCACCGATTGTTTTAACTGTTTTCACTGATAATTTTATTCTTTTTCATAGACCACCTTGAGTGGTTTGTTTGTTTTTTAAGCAATTGAGCGGTGTATAAATGTCATGAATCAAATAAAAATAAAATAAATAAAACTGAGCCAGAGCAGTTCCAAGGTGTGGCTGAGTCTACACATTGCAGCTGAATTCAATGGCATGGCAGGGCTGTACCACTTCAGGCTGCCTGTGGCAGGGGGTCATTCTCTCTCTTTCTAACTCATTCACACTGTGCAGAATAAAAAATTTAAAAAACCCTGCAAGAAAAACAAAAAACTAGCAGAGCAGCCTGGCTTAACCTAAAAACCTTTACTTCCTGGTATGTTAATATTTTTTTACTTGCTGGAAATGGTAGCTGCTGGGTTGTGTTAAAAAAACAAAAAACAAACCAAGGGAGAGCATTAAAAAAATGATCCACCCCCCCTCAGCAGCCTGTAGTGGTACAGCCCACACTATCCTCTCCTTCTGCTGCTAAAGCAGACCTATCAACCAGGCTGCTAACAAGGAGACCAAACATCCCTTCCAAACCTTAATTAAAAATAAAGGGGAAACCCACATCTGGTTTCCCAGCAGCACGGGAGTGACTCATTCCGGCGCCATGGCAACATGCGCGCACACACACACATGCACACACACAGCCTTTTATGAACGAGTAATCTAATATATCTCACTCATGGCAGGAATGAGTCACCAGTTGTCAATGAGCAGAAACGTTTTCCTCCTCCCTACATAACCAGTCTCGGACTCCACTCTTTCAGCATCCTCTCTGCAACTTTCAGAAACCTTCCCGAATATGCCCGTCCCCCCAAGAAAGAATGAAACCACATCGCCGCAGAGCCTTGCCGTAAGCGGAAGGACAGCTCATGGGCAGAGCTCTGTGCCCATCCAGGTTGAGTCAATGTGGAGGATTGCAGAGGTGGACTGGCACCAGGTCTTGCGCATTCTGGGGTTTGTTCTGAATAACTGGAATCCCCTTGGTTAGAAGGGTGGGTGAATCTGCCAATTTCAGTTTCTCTCAGTTTCTTCTTTTTCTAGTCTTAAAAAAAGTTCTCCATATTTCCACATGCTTCCCCCACCCCCATCTAAAGTCAACATAAAAATTCATCAGCACTCAGGTGTGAATATATTCTGATATACATACAGTGGAACCTCGGTTGTCGAACGTAATCCGTTCCGGAAGACTGTTCAACTTTCAAAACGTTCGACAACTGAGGCACAATTGCCGGTTGGCAAAACCCATTGAAGAATGGAGAAATGAGCCTCAGAAGCCATTCAACTTCTGAGGCGCATTCGAAAACAGAAGCATTCATTTCCAAGTTGTCTGTGTTTAACAGTTGAAACGTTTGACTTCTGAAGCGTTCGATAACCGGGGTTCCACTGTGTTTCTGTATGCACATTCCCCTACTATATCACATTTCTGTAAGTTTATATTTTCACTAATATATGCCCAGCATATGCATCTGCAGCAAGGTTGTGGCTGAATGGTTGAGCCCATGTTTTGCATGCAGAAGGTCCTAGGTTCAATCCCTGGCATCTCCAGGAAGAGCTTAAGGAACCCTCTGGAGAGCTGCTGCCAATCAGTGTCAACACTGAGCTAGGCAGGTCAATAGCCTGCCTCTGCATAAGGCAGCTGCCTATTTAATTTGGTCCTTCATTTGGAAACATAAGGGCTAGAGTCTTACTTTAACTTTAGGGAGCACACCATAGCTCAATGCTAGAGCATCTACCATGTTCAAGCCACAGCCATCTTCAGGTAGGGCTAGGAGAGACCCTTGTCTGAAACACTGGAGAGTTGCTGATGGCCTATGTCAACAATATTGAGCTAGACGGACCAATGGTCTGACTCTATCTTCCTAATCAGAAGCTTCCTGGCTCACAGCTGATGCTTTCAACCACCACATGGCACCCATTCTCACAGCTCTCCCCTTGTTCAAGTCCCAGCACCCACAAACCACAGCACAGAAAACATGGATTATGCAACAGCGTTGTGGATCTTGCCAGCTCCTGCCAGGTGGAATACCTAACATGGGATGAAAAAGTTGGCTCAGGAAGCACCCGACTTCACCATTCAGGTATCAACAGGTTTTCACCTGGATTGGAAACCGCTTGGAATCAGGCCCATTTTGCTTTCCGGGCCAAATCAAAGAACATTCCAGGCAAGAGGGAATTGTGATCTTCCTGTTTGCACAGACAACAGCTTCTGTCTTGAGTCTGGAACAATGGAGCATCTTTGCAGACAGCAACTGTGGAACCAAAGCAGTTGGGATTGAAAAGCCCAGCCAGCGTGCTCTCATTTGCCCTTGACTTCCCAGGGGCGGGGGGGCGGGGGGCGGGGGTGGAACAAGCTGGAACTGCAGATTCAGGCAGGAACTGATCTGGAGCAATTAAAAGAAAATTAGAGGGCTTGAAAGAAACCAGGGCTTAGCTTTGTCAAAGTAAGAAGTCTGTTTGGAGTTTGCCTCCGGAGGATCTGCTTCTGAATTTCAGAGCAGGGGAAGTAGCCCTGCACCAGACAAGGCTGCTGGCCCACCTAGAACAATGTTAGAATCATGGCATTATAGAGTTGGAAGAGAGCTCAAGGGTCATCCAGTCCAATCCCTGCATTGCAGGAATCACAGGTAAAGAATCTCTGACAGATGGCCATCCAACTTCTGCCTAAAATCCCCCAAGAAAGGAGAGTAGTCCGAAGTAGTCTGTTCCACTGTTCAACCGCTCTTACTGTGTCAGAAAGTTCTTCCTAACGTGTTGTCTTCTCTGACTTGGCAGCTTCCCTCCAAAGTCTCAGACCAGGAAAAGGTCTCTTTCCCATCACCATCCACCTTGATCCGTTTAGATGGAGGCGCCCTTGGGGAACTGAAGCTGGGATTGGCTGCATGCAAAGAAGATGCTCTGCCACTGAGCTGGAGTTCACTGGAGTTCAGACAGTGCAGGCTGCCCATGAAGGCAAATGGGACACAGCCCTAGTATCACCCTGTCTGCCCTCAGCTGCCTCCACTTGCCTGCCTGCCTTTTACAACCGGCCCAGATATGGATAAATACAGTGGTACCTCTGGTTATGAACACTTCAGGTTACAAGCTCTGCAAACCCTGAAGTAGCTGCTCCTGGTTGCGAACTTTGCCCCAGGATGTGAACTGAAATCATGCGCCGGAGACATGTGCGCAGTGGGAGGCCCCATTAGCGAAAGCGTGCCTCAGGATAAGAACAGTTTCAGCTTAAGAACGGACCTCTGGAACGAATTAAGTTTGTAACCAGAGGTACCACTGTATCAGAGCCAGCTCTCTCAGGAGGCAAGGTGAGGCGACTGCCTTGAGCAGCCGAAGACCACAAGACGGCGCTCCCATGGGCTGATTGTATAGAAATATTACCAGTCCCTTTTGATATATGTGCAGATCATACTGATTAAAAATACAGCTGAAAATAAGCATGATGTTTACATGGAGAGATGGATGCATATGTTTACAACGTGCTGGAGGGTTGAGGATTTCTGCAAACTGCCCTTGGCAGACAAAGAGAACAGTTCTTTGGAACACAGCTGGAAGGGATACACACATAGATATATACATACACACTGTTTGCAGTAAAATGGGACACCAAAGTCATTAGGAATTAGATGGACTATGGGACATGCATGCTTGTAAAAAAAAAACAACAGGACAGAGAAGGAAAGAAGGAAAGAAGGAAAGAAAGAAAGAAAGAAAGAAAGAAAGAAAGAAAGAAAGGTCATGTGCCAAAGCCACAGGAATACAAACTGTTCCACTGTGCTTAACGGAAAACAGGTTTTTGCTCTGGCCTTCTCTCATTCAGTTTCCATCTAAGATGGATTCAACTTTCAATAAATAACCTTGATTTCAGCAAGGCTACCTTGATTTCAGCAAGGCATTTGACAAGGTGCCCCATGATATTCTTGTAAAGAAGCTGGTAAAATGCAGTCTTGACTATGCTACCACTCAGTGGATTTGTAACTGGCTGACTGACCGAACCCAAAGGGTGCTCATCAATGGTTCCTCTTCATCCTGGAGAAGAGTGACTAGTGGGGTGCCACAGGGTTCTGTCTTGGGCCCGGTCTTATTCAACATCTTTATCAACGACTTGGATGATGGACTCAAGGGCATCCTGATCAAATTTGCAGATGACACCAAACTGGGAGGGGTGGCTAACACCCCAGAGGACAGGATCACACTTCAAAACGACCTTGACAGATTAGAGAACTGGGCCAAAACAAACAAGATGAATTTTAACAGGGAGAAAGTATTGCACTTGGGCAAAAAAAATGAGAGGCACAAATACAAGATGGGTGACACCTGGCTTGAGAGCAGTACATGTGAAAAGGATCTAGGAGTCTTGGTTGACCACAAACTTGACATGAGCCAACAGTGTGACGCGGCAGCTAAAAAAGCCAATGCAATTCTGGGCTGCATCAATAGGAGTATAGCATCTAGATCAAGGGAAGTAATAGTGCCACTGTATTCTGCTCTGGTCAGACCTCACCTGGAGTACTGTGTCCAGTTCTGGGCACCACAGTTCAAGAAGGACACTGACAAACTGGAACGTGTCCAGAGAAGGGCGACCAAAATGGTCAAAGGCCTGGAAACGATGCCTTATGAGGAACGGCTAAGGGAGCTGGGCATGTTTAGCCTGGAGAAGAGGAGGTTAAGGGGTGATATGATAGCCATGTTCAAATATATAAAAGGATGTCACATAGAGGAGGGAGAAAGGTTATTTTCTGCTGCTCCAGAGAAGCGGACACGGAGCAATGGATCCAAACTACAAGAAAGAAGATTCCACCTAAACATTAGGAAGAACTTCCTGACAGTAAGAGCTGTTCGACAGTGGAATTTGCTGTCAAGGAGTGTGGTGGAGTCTCCTTCTTTGGAGGTCTTTAAGCAGAGGCTTGACAACCATATGTCAGGAGTGCTCTGATGGTGTTTCCTGCTTGGCAGGGGGTTGGACTCGATGGCCCTTGTGGTCTCTTCCAACTCTATGATTCTATGAAATAAGAGAGCAAACGTTCCTCTCTCTTCTTGCTCTCTGTCTGTCTGCCTGTCTGTCTTTCTCCTTATCTGGGTTTCAAGTCACCCCACCCAATGCCACACTTTCCTCCTAGCCAAGACCCTTCCCATCCATCTGCTTCCCAGATCTCCCCTGTGAATTCAGAGTGCAGAGGATCAGGACGGGGGCCAATTCACAAAGCCAGTGGATGTGACTCATTCTTACCAAAAAATGCCAAGCCAAGTGGGAGGCAAAAAATAAAATAAAACAAATCAAGCCAGAGCCTCTCCTACGTCTTGCTAGGCCAGAGCAGCTGTATCTTCCACCATCTTCTTCTATTGAAATCCAGCTTCCTTTTAGAAAACACTTCTAGCTTCCACAAAATACCTAGCAATCCTAAGCAAGCTTATGTAGCTAAAACAATGTGATCCATGTACAAGAACGTATTCCCAGGCATGGGAGAACTCTCCTCTCCTCTCCTCTTTTAAGGAATATGCTTTTTAAGTACCAGAAAAAACAAAGTATCACCAACTGCAAAACCATATCCACTTTTCTCTGTGGAAAGGATATAAATTCAAATACAAGTTGGGTTTTTTTTTTAATGGTTTGAAGTCAGGGCTAACATATATTAGCCCAGCATCTAATAAGAACACAAGATAATGGGCCATCTAGTACAGCATCCTCTTTTCACACTGGCCAGCCAGATGACCATTATGAAAAGCCTGCAAACAGGACTTGAACACAACAGCAACTCTGCCCTGCTGTGGTTTCCAGCATCTGGGTCTCCTTCATTTTGCCTCCAACATGTATGCCATGCCATGGGCTTAAACATTTGCTGTTAAAGTAAGAATATATCCATGGGATCTCCCAAATGCGGCATCTCTCTATGTCAGGGATGGGGAACGCAGACACACAGCTGGATTGGCTTCTTAGACAGCCAATGCATGAGGGAAGCAGGAGTGCACTTGTTCACCCGAAACCCTGCAGGAAGCAGAGTAGATCTCCCTGTTCAGTCAGCTGGTGCACAATGGGGCGAGGTTTCAGTCCTGCTTGGCTGCTATCTCCCTGCATTGGAAGCTGAACGCATCGGCTCGCAGTGGGGAAGGAGCAGTAAATGTTTTTTTATTTATCTAGTTAATTTATTTATATCCCACCTTTCCTGCAAGCTAGGATTCAAGGTGGCTTTCAACATTTATAAAATACAAAGAAAAAAAACTTGTTAAAAACAATAATTAAAATACATCAGAACATGTTAAGACTAGCCATTAAAATACCATTTTGCTCTGGCGGCAGCCCAGTGATCAGCAGTGTTGGCACCTTAGTTTCCAAAGGCCTGTCTGAATGGGAAGATCTTAGCCTCCCAGCCGAAAGATAACTAAGAGCAACTTACAACTCCCATGATCATTAGCTAGCAGGAGCAGTGGTCAGGGATGATGGGAATTGTAGTCTCAAAACATCTGGAGGGCCGAGGTTGAGGAAGCCTGACTAAGAGCATCCGGCCCATTGGGCCAGACGATTCCCTACCTGTACTCTATGTGGAATGGCCAGGCCATTGGCCCTCAATGGATGTCTTTCTCATGAGGGCCAGGAGTGGCGCGTCTGTTTAGTGAGTTGGGCACTGCCCCACTAATCTCCCCCTGCCTTTAGCCAGCCTCCCCCTGGCTGCCTACATTATCACAGGCAGTTCAGAGGGTGGTGCTGCTTCACCTCTGCTCAGAAACCAGCTGCCTTCTGCCCTCCTCAAATGCCATCTAGCTGCAGCCATTCCATCAGTCTCCCGCATCTGTTTCCATCCCAGCTTGCTGTTATAAATCTGTGAGTTTAAATAACTGGGGTCTGAGCATATTTTTTCCTCCTCCTTCCCTTTTCCTTCTGTGTTATGCCATTTAAAATTTGCACGCCTATGGGCAGGAACTGTCTTATTACTTCACTTTGTAAACTACTTTGAGGGTCTTTAGGACTAAAGAGCAGAGTAAAATGCTTTAAATAAACCGACTCTAGTCTGGAGTTTGTGACATTTTCAGAGGAGCTTCCTGATATATAACTGAATCTCTGCCTCTTCTGGGCTCCTCATGCATTCATATGACATTGTTAAATGCCAGTACATATCCACCCCCATTTAATCTGGATTTACCCTTTCCAGGGTGAAATCCGATCAGTTAAAAAAATGGTTGCCAATGACCCATTTGCAATATCCAAGTGACCCATTTGCAATATTAAGCTCCCATCTTGAAGCACCCCTGAGAGAGCTGTATCTGCTCAGATTTAGAAAAGATCAAGTTTGGAGAAACTCTTCCGTGTTTAAAGTTTAACGGAGGCTCTCCTTCCAATTGTATCCTGGAAACTTTTGTTCACTGCAGGGCACAACATAATCAACCTCTTCCACTATGGGAGTACGAAAGAAAGAAAAGTAGAATTCTAAAACCTGCACACACTATGCAAACGATGTAATTATGTGCATATATTTGCTTAAGTTTCTCAAAGTCAGCTTTTGCAAGCCACAGGAAAAACTGTGGAGGAGACTGAGGACACCATGACGTTGAACTACTGCTCAGCCCCTCCCTCTGGACTCCCTTGTTTTTCAAGCTTATATTTGTAGCCATAACAACCAGACACTTTGTGTGCGTTTTATGGTTTTGTTTTTAGTGGAAGCCGAAATTCTCAGTATGGTGATGACGGTGCACACTGTAAGATCCCGGGGGGAGGAGCTCCAGACACCCCTTTTAAATGTTTTCTTGATTTATTGTGTTTATTTACGACCAGGGAGGTTAGACGTGGTCCAGCCTTCAATACAGAAGTTTGGTGTCAGCCATGTGGCTTCATTTCCAGTCAGTGCATGTCCCATCCTGGAGCTTTGTATACCGCAAGCTACAACTAATCCAGAATGCAGCAGCTAGACTGGTGACTGGGAGTGGCCGCCAAGACCATATACAGTGGTACCTCGGCTTAAGAACTTAATTCGTTCTGGAGGTCCGTTCTTAACCTGAAACTGTTCTTAACCTGAGGTACCACTTTAGCTAATGGGGTCTCCTGCTGCCGCCGCACAATTTCTGTTCTCATCCTGAAGCAAAGTTCTTAACCCGAGGTACTATTTCTGGTTTAGCGGAGTCTGTAACCTGAAGCGTCTGTAGCCTGAGGTACCACTGTAATACCAGTCATAAAAGACCTAAATTGGCTCCCAGTACATTTCTGACCACAATTCAAAGTGTTTGTGCTGACTGTTAAAGCCCTAAACGGCCTTGGTCCTGTATATCTGAAGGAGCGTCTCCACCCCCATCGTTCAGCCTGGATACTGAGGTCCAGCGCAAAGGGCCTTCTGGTGGTTCCCACCCTGCTAGAAGTGTGGTTACAGGGAATCAGGCAGAGGGCCTTTTCGGTAGTGGCGCCCGCCCTGTGGAACACCCTCCCATCAGATGTCAAGGAAATAAATAACTATCTGACTTTTAGAAGACATCTGAAGGAGGCCTGTTTAGGGAAGTTTTTAATGTTTGATGTTTTATCATGTTTTTAATATTCTGTTGGGAGCCGCCCAGAGTGGTTAGGGAAATCCAGCCAGATGGGTAATAATAAAATGTTTGGTTGTGGGAGGGTGCGCAAGTCCTGCTTTTGTGGCCATAATGTAGTAATATCCAGGAAGCATCATAGAACAACAAATAAAGCAGAATGATGTGTGTGGATGGTCCACCATCCACAAATCCACCACCAACACAGTATTATTTTTGTTCTTTGTTTAGTTTATTATTTTATTACATTTATATCCCACTTTTTCTCCAAAGAGCTCAAGGTCGTGTACACCATTCTCCTTCTCTCTACAGTGGTACCTCGGGTTACATACGCTTCAGGTTACATACGCTTCAGGTTACAGACTTCGCTAACCCAGAAATAGTGCTTCAGGTTAAGAACTTTGCTTCAGGTTGAGAACAGAAATTGTGCTCCGGCGGCACAGTGGCAGTGGGAGGCCCCATTAGCTAAAGTGGTGCTTCAGGTTAAGAACAGTTTCAGGTTAAGTACAGACCTCTGGAACGAATTAAGTACTTAACCCGAGGTACCACTGTATTTGGGTTAGGCTGAGAGGCAGTGACTGACCCCCAAGGTCACCCAGTGAGCTTCATGGTGAGCAGGAATGTGAACTTTGGTCTCCAAGTTCCTAGTCTGGCGCTCTAACCACTACACCACACGGCTCTTATTATTGCATCCATGACATGTTGCAGAATGCTCCTTCTACCCACCATCAGCCTCAGTATTATCTGGCCATGCCAGCTGGGCCTGAAAGGAGTTGTAGTTCAAAACTTTTGGAGGGCACCAGGCGGGCGAAGTGCTGCTATGAAGGGTTGGCTATCTTGCATTTGCTTCCTCCAACCTGCCCCACAACGTTCCAGAGTGTTTGGATCAAGGATATTCATTCATCACACCCTCCAGCAAAAAGATTCCCTTCTCTCTTTTTCATCCCACTCTCCTCCCAGCCACAGGCTTCTCTAATCGCTGCACAAGGCAGAGAAATGTGGAGATGTGAGCTGGCAAGCAGCAAAACGGCTTGTGTTGGCACCATTTCCTGCCCGATGGCTGCGAAAACTAAGTATACCCCTCTTAGCTGCCAAGGAAAGGGCGGGGAGGCCCGATGCAAGCTGGAACACAGGCTGGATCCATCACAGAAGAAGCCCCAATCTTTTGGGGCTCCTTGCTTGCTTTGTTGCTGCTGAAATGGCATGATCCTGTAAAAAACCAAAACTTTACAGGGATCCTAGAAATGAGAAGGGATGGCAAATGAATGTAAGAACATAAGCAGAGCCTGCTGGGTATCAGGCCAATGGCCCAACTAGTCCAGCATCCTTTTCTCACAGTGGCCAACCAGATGCCCGCAGGAAACCAGCTAGCAGGATCCGTGCACAGGAACAATTCCCCCTCCTGTGGTTTCCAACTGCTGCCTCCGACTGTGAAGGCAGAGCATGGCTATTACACCTAGTAGCCATGGACAGCTTTATCCTGCATGAATCTGCATCTGCACTGCTGGGGGTCAGACCAGAGAAGGGATCTTGGGTTCATTGTCGTGGACAACTCAGTGGAATCCTCAACCCAGTACGTGGCAGCTATGAAAAGAGCAAATTGCATGCTAGGGATCAAGGAATAACTATCTTAGGATCCTTACCAGTGTGAGAGGAAATGCCCTCTCCCCCTATTTCCCATCACTAGACTTCCCCAATTGTTTTATTTGTTTTAATTATTTTTCATCATAAAAGTGAGGCAACATGACTGTAGTTTATGCCTGGCATGAAGAAAGTGAAGAGAGAAAAGCTTTTCTCCCTCTCTCACAATGCTGGAACTGGTGGACATCCCAGAAAGCTAAATGCTGGAAGTAGACGGATAAAAGAAAGTTCTTTTTTTTATGCAGCATGTAGTTAAACTATGGAACTCTTTCCTGCAGGAGACAGTGATGGCTGCCCATTTTGGTGGCTTTAAAAGAGGACAATCAAGCAGTTTATAAGTTTTATTAAACAAACAAGATAGTGTTGCGCTGTGTGGTCCAAGAGGTGTACCCCAGAAATATTAGAAGGGGGTTTGGCTTTGTCCAGGGGTCCTAGTAATTTTGAGCACTCCGTAAGCAGTGAGCAGCCTTTGTTCATGGCTGCTTCCTCTGCAAAAAACCCCCCTCAGTTTCTCTTTTTTTGGGGAAATCAGCCGTGAGTTTAAAAATAAAGCAGTCCCAGTCCCTGCCCTCAAGAGCTGATCCCCGGCTCCTTCCTCTGGGTGGCTGAGTGACTCAGAGGCTTCTCTTTTTGGTCTGCTGGCTCTTTGAGGTGGTTTCCTTAGTGACAAGAGGGAAACCCCAAAGCATCTGGTTTTCGATATACCACATCACATGTCTCCTGAGCACAGTGTCATGTGCTTGGGGAAGACGGGGAGGGGGGGCCACACAAGCACATTCAGCGAAACTCCATTCAAGACTTTTTCACCAATAAGGATGGAAGGACTCATCAGTTTGGGGTTCTCTCAGTTCCCCATCTTTCCAATCTTAAATTCACTTCTCCACACCACCGCATCAGTTTCCAATTAAAGAAATGAAGTTCCTGTGAAAATTCTTCAGAGTTGGAGAGCAGTTTTCTCCATAATGTACATATCTTCGAATGTGTGCCCCCCCAATGTACACATTTGTGCAAATCCGTTCTAACAGAATTCATTTTGAAATGTGATTTTTCACTATTTATTTCTATGCACACTTTACCCTGGTAAGTGTATGACTTGTCTAGAAAGCTGCAAAATTCAGAGATGCTATCAGAGATGCTGAGGGAAGTCCAAACAAGGACATATGTATAATAATTTGTGTGGTATGTCTTAAAAAAATTTGTATGCTAAAAATTAATAAAAAATATTATATAAAAAAGAAAGCTGCAAAATTCAGAGTGTGAATTTCAGAGGATGGCTGTGCTTTGGTCTGCATATTGTTTTGGAAAGTGTGCATTTATGTAGCATCCTGAGATCTTTGGATGAAAGGTGGTGTATTATTATTAATAAAATAATAATAATAATAATAATTCCATCTTTAAATATGAACTGAATCATTTTTCTTCTCCATCCCTAGTTAAATGTAACCATCAGGGCTGGTGCAGGAGATATGGTGAATGGAGGAGGGATACCACCCCCAGCACCCCCCAAGTCACAGCGCACAATGCCCAAGACTAGTAAAAATGCAATCGTAGCACAGTACCAGTGGCTATTAGCCATGATGGCCATGTTCTGCCTCCACTGATGGAGGCAGTATGCCTCTGAATACCAGTTGCAGTGGGATCATAGGTGGAGAGAAGACTGTTGCACTCAGGTCCTGCTTGCAGACTCCCCAGAAATGGCACCTAGTACACACACCACTGTGAGAACAGAGAGCTGGACAGGATGGGCCTTTGGCCGGATCCAGCAACCAGGCTCTTCATATGTTCTTATTACTAACAACTGGCTGCCTTTTCACGACACTCCAAAAACAGCTGCCGGAGACAGCAGCCTCAGTCTGCAGGGAGCTTCCCTGGAGCAGCGCAAGAGCGCTACTATGTGCAAACAGTTCAGTGAGTGGTTTGCACATGCTAGTTTACAGGGCAGTGCCCTGACTGCCCCAAATTGTTCATTTGCTACAGAGGAGCAAATCAATGTCGTGATCATGTGCTCCGCAAAGGCAAGGAAGCCAGAACTTATTTGCTCAGGGTGATGTCACTATCCGTACCGGATTTGAGATGATAGATATAGATATAGAGATATAGAGATAGAGATTCAGCAGTTTGATGCAGCAGCACAAAAAGTCATGCAATTCTAAGCTGCCCCAACAGAAATATAGTGTCCCAATCAAGGGATGTAATAGTCCCACTCTATTCTGCCTTGGTCAGAACACACCTGGAATACCGTGTATTGAAGAAGGATGTTGACAAGCTGGAAGGTGTGCAGAGGAGGGTGACTAAGATGATCAAGGGTCTGGGAAACAAGTCTTATAAGGAAGGGTTGAGGGAGCTGGGTATGTTTAGCCTGGGGAAGAGGAAACTAAGGGGAGATGTGATAGTCACCTTCAAATATCTCAAGGGCTGTCACATGGAAGATGGAGCAGGCTTGTCTTCTGCTGCTTCAGAAGGGAGAACCTGAACCAACAGACTCAAATTACAAGAAAGGAGATTCCGACTCGACATTAGGAAGAACTTTCTGATGGCAAGAGCTGTTTGACAGTGAAACAGGCTCCCTTGGAAGGTGGTAGACTCTCCTTCCTTGGAGGTTTTTAAACCAAGGTTGGGTGGCTACCTGCAGGGATTCTTTAGTTTTGATTTCTGCACTGCAGGGGGTTCAACTGGATGGTCCTTGGGGTGTCTTCCAAATCTACGGTTCTGTGATTTTACTGTTTTCATATCTGTTGTGGTTTTTAATTGTTTTTATATATGTAGTGTAGAGTTTGCCTCAAGGGCCAAAAGGTCTTGGGCTGGCCCTCTCATCAGCCACCTGCACACCCAACCCCTTCAATCCATATCAGGCGATTCCATCACCAAACTACACCAAAAGGCAAGTTTTGTACTGCAAGCCCAGGCTTGTGTGCGAAATCAGTACATGTGCTTCATTCGTCCCCCTTCCCTGCTTTTGCTGCCAATTGCCCATACTATTTTCTCAAGGAAAAAAAGGCAAAATATCAGATCTTCTGCCATGTGTCTGGCTGACTTGAAAGGCAGCTTCCTCCCCACTGCCATCCACTTTGTAGGGTTGACATGTTTCAACTGGTGAAAATCCAAACAAAAAAGCTGTTGAGCTTTTTTTTGGCAAAACTGTTTCTGAGAGTATCAAGGTGGCGGTCATACACAGCTTTAACCTCTAACGCTTCTCTATTTGGGAAGGTTAAGAAACTCAGGGAGGAAAAGGCTCCCAATGGCCACATTTACACCAAAGATTAAAAGCGCTATGATACCACTTTTAAACAGTACAGTGGTACCTCGGGTTAAGTACTTAATTCGTTCCGGAGGTCTGTTCTTAACCTGAAACTGTTCTTAACCTGAAGCACCACTTTAGCTAATGGGGCCTCCTGCTGCTGCCGCACCGCTGGAGCACGATTTCTGTTCTCATCCTGAAGCAAAGTTCTTAACCTGAAGCACTATTTCTGGGTTAGCGGAGTCTGTAACCTGAAGCGTATGTAACCTGAAGTGTATGTAACCTGAGGTACCACTGTAATGGCTTCCTGAAAAGGATTCTGGGAGCTGCAGTTTGTAAAAGGATGTAGAGAGTTGGTATGAGGCCCCTGTTCCCTTCCCAGCACTATGATTCCCAGAGTTCTTTGTGAAGAGGGATTGATCGCTAATCCACTCTGGGAATTGTAGCTCCATGAGGGCAAACTGCAGCACCTAGGATTCTTTGAGGGAGCCATGATTGCATACCCTCCAGCATTTCTCCAATGAAAACAGAAACATCCTATTCCCTAATAATAATTTCATTATTTATACCTTTCCATCTGACTGAGTTGCCTGAGCCACTCTGGGCAGATTTCAGCGCGCGCGCGCGCACACACACACACACACACACACACACAAGCAACCTTCCCTATACAGTGTTGCCTTCAGATGTCTTCTAAAAGTTGTACAGTTACTTATCTTCTGGGCTCAGGGGTCACATAACTCCATACCCTTCAACAGTTCTTTGATTAAAATAGGGACTCCCCCCCCCTTCTCACACACACAATCACAGACACTGCAGTGGTAGTCAAAATCTTTCAATGTCTGGTTGCAAAAGAGAGGAATACTACCATCTAGTGGTGAGTAATTGTTTTAAAAGGAAGCAAAATGCTACTGGCACAGGTTAACTCAATGCCTTTTCTTTGGACCAATAGTCAGTTTCCAACATAGTATGGGAGCATTCAGGTTACACAGAGCTCGTTGTTGTGCTGCATGTTGTAAAATACAAACTCTCAAAAATCAAGGGTAAGGAAATTCTTCAGGACAAGGTACGCTGTCCTTGTCAAATATAGTCTGGATTGGCCTATGCCAATGTCTCGGTATAGTCCTACCAGGTCTTGAGAGTCTGAATGGGCTTCCTGTGAGGACATCATAGACTGGAGATGTTCTCACTCTGCCACTCTGGGTTCCTCATAGCATTCACTGCTGCAGGGAACAACTCTGTCCCTGACCGGTCCAAATGAATGAGAGCAAGAGGAGAAAAAGGGAGAGGAGGAGGAGAGGAATTGGGCAGAGAGAAGAGACGGCTGTGGTCAGGAGGCTACACTCAAAGGAGGCTGATGGGACTTTAGTGCAAAACATCTGGCTGTGGAAGGCTGAAGCGGCTTATTCCTCCACACAGTTGCCTGATGTTTCTCACAAGGCCAGAGGTCCCCAGGAGCGTGCTCACAGACAGCGTTTACCCTCCTGGGAGTCTGGATAGGAGACAGCTTAATAAGAGGGCAACACCAGAGGAGCCCCAGAGGGTTGTATGGTGCCAGGGGTGGAAGAGGAGCTGAAGATACACATTTGCTGTTGTTGTTTAGTTGTGTCCGACTCTTCGTGACCCCATGGACCAGAGAACGCCAGGCACTCCTGTCTTCCACTGCCTCCCGCAGTTTGGTCAAACCCATGTTTGTAACTTCGAGAACACTATCCAGCCATCTTGTCCTCTGTCGTCCCCTTCTCCTTGTGCCCTCCATCTTTCCCAACATCAAGGTATTTTCCAGGCAGTCTTCTCTTCTCATGAGGTGGCCAAAGTATTGGAGCCTCAGCTTCACGATCTGTCCTTCCAGTGAGCACTCAGGGCTGATTTCCTTAAGAATAGATCGGTTTGATCTTCTTGCAGTCCATGGGACTCTCAAGAGCCTCCTCCAGCACCATAATTCAAAAGCATCAATTCTTCGGCGATCAGCCTTCTTTATGGTCCAGCTCTCACTTCCATATATCACTACTGGGAAAACCATAGCTTTTACTATACGGACCTTTGTTGGCAAGGTGATGTCTCTACTTTTTAAGATGCTTGAAGGTGCCAAAAAGAAGAAGATGCCTTTGTTTACAGTGCCACCTGCAAGCTGGTTAGGACCCAAACCAATGGATTCAAACGGTAAGAAAAAAGATTCTGACTAAAAATTAGGAAGAACTTCATGAGTATAGGAGCCATTTGACAGTGGAAAGGACTCCCTCGGCAAGTGGTGGACTCTCCTCCATTGGAGGTTTATAAAAAGGGGTTAGATGGCCTCTGTCTGTTAGGTATGCTTAATCCACAATTCCTGCATAGGAGGAGTTGGACCAGATGACTCTTGGGGTTTCTACAACTCTAATTCTACGTAATTCTACGACTGTTGCTTTCTTATTCCACATTTGCCAGTTGCTGACTCTCCATTTTGAGAGGCAGCCCGTCCTGTGCTCCCATACTGCAGCTCCATTGTGGGAGCGCTCACATCAGCCATCCCTAGAGGAAACTGGGAACGCTCACAGGCCTCTCCGGTTGCAACCTGGTGAATGAAACGAGATCGCAAGGGAGGCCCCGTCAGCCAGGCCACCAACTGGCAGGTGGCGTCAAGCCCCACAACCAGCCCAGGCCTCAGCCAAAGAGGCTCCAGTAACTCCAGCCAAGTGAGAGGGAAAGCAGCCGCTAGGGTCTGGTTTTGAATATCATTAATGCGACTCTCTCCCTCTCCTCCCCACCGCCGCCCCCACGCAGCTCATAAGCTGAGTCACCCTCAAGCTGGTGGGGAAAGAATAGTTCAATTTACGCCTTCCCCTGGGCCAGCTGAGCTCACCCAAAGCTGCCAGATGGTTTCTTATTTTGCAAGGGGGAAACATACCCTCCTGAAATGTAAAGCGCTCGACAACGACAACACCAGGACCGTGCGGGTTCTGTGTGTGTGTTGGGCAAGTGTGCCAGATGGAGCCGTGAAATATAATGAAGGCTTTGGCATTGGCGTGATCTCTGCTTTCTTTCTTTCTTTAAAGCAAGTTTCAAGTCCACATGGTTGGCGGGAAAATGGTTGCTTAATTTATGACCAAATTGGCTGAAGGGAATAATAATAATAATAATGATGATGATGATGATGATGATGTTATGATTTATACCCTGCCCATCTGGCTGGGTTGCCACAGGGCTCAACTAGTAAAATTATATGTGTTGGGGTGGGTGGGTGTTAATTCTTTTTTTGCTATGTGGGGGCACATCTATATAAGTACATGTTTTCAGATTTTGTGATTAGAAATCTCTAGGCAGAAAGGAAAGAAACATACCGGTCTGAACTCGTCCTTATGAGTTGCAGATGTTCATTTTTCATGCTTCTTTGTATCCCTTGATTCGCTATGTCTTTTTAACTTTAAGAAGCAGCGTTTCTATGAGCCTGGAGGTGGAGCCAAAGAACGCCCCACCCTCATCAACCCACAGGTATGCCTCTAGCAATGAACTGGAAACACCCTTCCTTACCCTCAAGCTCCTAAAATGCTAAAATGGACAATTTCCACTAATTACCAGCAACCTGCAATAAAGCTCTTTCCACTATAACTTTCCACTATAAATCACCCTGTGCTGGTCCAGGGGGGAGGTTACCGTGAGGCGAGGTCCAGAACCTGAGTTGAGGGTCGGCAGACAGTCCTCCTCGGGCGAAGCGGGGTCCACAGCGAGAAGCCGGGCAAGGACAGGAACTCTGGGGGAACAGGACTGGATGCTGGCCGAAACAGCTCTTCAACGACGTTGCTCCCGCAACCTGGGACCGGGCTGACTGGCCTTTATCTTCTCTGAGGCCAGGGGCGGTCCCGGCCCCCAGGAGATCCGCCTCTCCTGGCCTTAAGGCGAGCACTCCTCCTGGGAGAAATCAGTTCCCTTCGACTCTCTGCCCTGAGCCTCTGCAGTTCCGGAGAGGCTGAAGGGTTACTGGACCCAGGGGGAGACTCACCTGTAGGCACTGAGTCCTCAACCACCTCCGGAGCCAGAGTGGCTCACCTGGTGCCTGCTCCTGAGGATCCGGCAGAGGTGCAGGCGCTTCAGAATCAAGGCCCTGCCCCAGTTCAGCCGGCCCTGGAGGCGGGGACTCCTGTGCAGGCTGGGATTCCTCCGGTTCAGCCTCTGAATCGGATTCCCAGGCCATCACACACCCTGGAGAATGCTGCATGTTGCTGAACAGAGGTAAGCCACCCCAGTGAAGGAATTCCCTTATAGCAAAAATTGTTTGGGGCATGGAAATCTCACAATTAGTGAAAACAATATCTTCCTATATACATAAAAATGTAGACTGTCATCACGCTCTGCAGTTCACATGGCTGTCAACAGGTGGCAACACCAGCACAACAGCTCAGGACTGTCTATATTTAGTGCAGTTTAGAGTTATTTTTTCACCTTCTTCTCCGAAATAAAAATGGTAATTGTTTTTATTTCGGCCACAGGATCCTTTTGTAATTACAAAGTACACATCTTTTCCCTCTTGGTCTGTTTTGTTACTCAGTATATCGCAGAGCTGTATCCTATATTTCTTTATTGTCAATTGCAAAAACTTATCCTTCTTCCTCGCTCTTTCTCTTTTTTTCCTGTAACCTGTTTGTAGCTATTAAAATTTAATCTAAAAAAATCCTGATTTGTTCCAAACAGCAGGCTGGTACAGGCAGGAATCTAACAGGCAAACTCTTCTCCTGTGTGCAAGTCAGGGTAGCAAGGTATTGCATTTCTGCCTGCTGATCAGCTAGTTAAGGCCCTGGAACATCCCTAATCAAAGTCTGCAGTCCTTTAATCAAAATGGGTTGCATAAAAGCTGCTGAGAGCCACAGTGACCTGCATCTCCCAGCGAATGACACACCAGGAAGGGGGAGGAAGTGTGAGATGACAGAACCATTTTCACCCACCATTTATAAATCAATAAGGCCAAGTGGGTGTGATTTATAACAAGCAGAGCCTGTAGGAGAGCTCTCTGTGTCCCCCTCCCTCACAAGAGATGGGGCTGGCATTTACTGGGCACACTTCTTCAGGAATCTGGCCCCCACTTCCATTCCCCTATCATGTTATCACACAGGTCACCTCCAGACTCAGGATTTTGTGGAAGAGATTCAAGGACGTACTGGAAACTTAAGTCCACGCAATCAAAGTGGATTAGAGGGCTCTGCCTTCCTGGCACAGCAAATCCACTGTTGTTTTTCAAACACCCTTTTTGCAGTTAGGGAAAATGTGAGTTGAACGAAAGGCGGACGGGAGGACCCAGAACCATCGCACCAGCAAATCTGGATGAATGCTCAATAAAGACCAGACATAGTCTAACCTTTGTGTGAGCAAATCAGGATTAATGCTCAATCAACAGGCTGTCTGGGGAAGCCCACAAGCTTCCTTTACTTCTGCCTGAGAAGACTGAGATCCTTTTAAAAAATGCACATGGCATCACTTTTAAACATATAATTCATACTTTGGTTACATCCCGGTTGGACTACTGTAAAGCACTTTACACGGGGCTGCGTTTGAAGTTCTTGGAAGCTTCAGCTGGTCCATAATGCTGCAGCCGGAATGCTGGCTGTGGCTGATTACAGAGTGCACATGCATTTCCAAGGACAATTCAAAGTGCTATTTATGATCTCTAAAGCTTGGGCCCAGGCTACCTGAAATATGTCTCCCTTTACAATCCTGCCCAGCTGTTAAGCTCCTTCTCTCCTTCCCATCAACATTGGCACAAATGGTAATGAGCTGAGACAGAGCCTTTTCAGTGGCCACTCCCAGATTGTGAAATTCTCTCCCAAGAGTGATTGGACAGGCCCCCTCTTTGCTATCCTTCCGCTGGCAGGCCAATATCTTCCTGTTCAGGCAGGCATGTATTTGGAAACGAAGGGGGAGATGATGATGACCACCACTGGGACGCTGTCAGGGCAAACCAGATGTTCATTGCTGGTACTAAATGTGTTTTGATGTAACTATTGTTTGTTTTTTTAAATGCTGTAAGTTGTCTGGAAGCCCCACTTGGGAGACAGACAGGATATAAACACATTAAATAGTAAAATGATCGTAATAATTTGGGGGGTAGGCAGCTTAATGCCTTCCAGCTACTTCTAAAACCAACCATTTGTTTCAAACTAAGGTTGCCTAGTGACCAGAGCAACTCAAAATTGAACTGTTCCTTAGCCTCTAGGAGTTGTTTCATCTGTAGAGAGTGAAGATTGTCATGGAAGCCAAACTCAACTGCAGATCAAACTGCTTCTAAAAGGGTAAGTTCAAAAGTTGGCCACTACACAGAGCAGTTCAGAAGTTGGCAATTCTTTCTAAAAGCACAAAAAGAGTGTCCTGCTGCCCACACTCTCTACCCTGGAATGCTCCCCCTCTATTCCCAGATGCATGTGGGGACTGGCCGTTGTTATGGGAATAGGACTCTGCCTATGCTCAGATGCTCTCTAGAGTTGCTTCACAAGTTCTAGAGTCCAACCCCAGCATTGGAAATGGAACCTGTAAGTGGTACATAGGTTGAGGTAGTACTTTAGAAATCATAGAACTGCAGAACTGGAAGGTACCCAAAGGGTCATCTGGTCCAACTCCCTGCAACACTGGGATCACAATTCGGGAGAGACTGTTCCGGAAATGAAATCTCTACACGCCAAATGGATGAATTTTGCCTCCAGCACATATACCCATCAATGCACACACATGAACACTAAGGCACCCACCATGCAGCATATAACCTGCCACTGAGGCTGTCGAGGCATGGTTTGAACTGTTGATGGCACATTTTAGAGTGTCTTTCCCCCAAAGAACAAACACATTCCTGGTGCTTGAATCCATGGCGCACAGGCTATCTGCAGAATAAATGTGTATTTATTCATATAAATGTTCTTGTTCTTGTTGTTAAAATTTGTATACAGTGGTACCTCAGGTTACATACACTTCAGGTTACATACGCTTCGGGTTACAGACTCCACTAACCCAGAAATATTACCTCAGATTAAGAACTTTGCTTCAGGATGAGAACAGAAATCATGCAGCAGCGGCGCAATGGCAGCAGGAGGCCCCATTTGCTAAAGTGGTGTTTCAGGTTAAGAACAGTTTCAGGTTAAGAACAGACCTCCAGAATGAATTAAGTTCTTAACCTGAGGTACCACTGTACTGCCCTTCATCCGAAGATAACAGGGTGGTGGTGGTTCACAACATAAAAAGACTATATGGGAACAGAAAATAATAAAACGAAAACAAGCTAGCGTAACAACCCCCTTCCCACAAACAGATTTAAAAGGCCACAGAATGCTAATCAGCCAAAGGCCTCAGACAGCAAAGAAGCCCCAACAATGCACAACAGGGGAGGAAGTGACCCTAGTGACAGTGATATTTGATGAGAGGAGTAGGATGATGCTACTACAACCAGGCTCCACCCTATTCCAGCTACGAAATGGCAGGGGAATGTTGCCACCTCAGCATCCCAGCTAGGGAGCATGCCAAAACCTGAGACTGAGGGACAGTCTCCAGCGATGGCAGGTATTGATGATGTCATGGAGTGATGTCAATAAGCAAGACACGTTACACATTAACCAGTCTCTGAGAGCATGTCCTTCCAAAGCAAAAACAAAACCCCACACATACCCCGCCACCTCCTGAGAGTCTATACAATAATTTACAGCCAGCCCTTGCCAGGCTGAATCTCGCAAGCAGCACACGTAGTCTTCTTAATTTAAATACTGTTACAAATAATAAGTCACCCTTGCTCACCTGGAGAGTCAAGCCCTCCATCTTTTACCGGGGAGCAGGCAGACCTGGAGACTTCAGGTCAGCACTAATTGTCTGGCAACCCTGGTTCTGGCTGACAAAATGTACCCTTTTTTCATCAGGAGGCTCAGAACGGCTCAGTGGCGCTCAAGCAGACGCTGTGGTTATTTAGCAAAATCAACCTCACCTAGGCCTGCGTTTGTGACTCTCAAGCTCTCTCCGACACACATAAACACACACTTCAAACGGAGCCAAGATTAGTTGGTGAACAAGCCCAGGATGGAAAAGGGGAGTTTCTCTCTCTCTGTCTCTCTCTCTCCTCCACTCTGAGCCCCCACCCCCCTCTGACATCTCTTTCCTTTGTGCTTCTTGGGCCTTGGCATGCCAGAGACTCCTGGGCTCCCTTTGGGGGTGTTGCAGAGAGGCAATTGCATGTCCCTTGTGGGAACATTACACCACCAAGCCTCCCCTATGGGCCCCATCTAGACAATAATAATTGCATATACCTTTCTGTTTGTGCAATGGGAGGGAGGGGCACATAAGCACGGGGGGAGAGAAACAAATCTTCTCCTTGTCTCCCCCCCTCCAGTGTGTGTGTGTGTGTGTGTGTGTGTGTGTGTTTGCACACGCGTATTTTTGTTCAACACCTGTCTTTAGCACACCCACCCTCCTAAGCAGCTGGACCTGAAATGTCAGGGGGATCAGATTAATCCTACGGGGAGAGATGGGGGCAGGAAGGTTTAATCACTCCCTCTGCCATCACCACTAGCTTGGCCGATTTGGAACAATGGGCCCTGCCTTCTCTACCTCTTCTCCAGCCATGGCTATGAAGCACCTCCCCCCCCCCCCCCAGCTTCCCAGCCCCACCAGACCGAACCCCTGCCCCATTATGCACCATATCCAAACAGCACAAATGGATAAAATAAAGCTACAGTGGTACCTCAGGTTAAGTACTTAATTCGTTCCGGAGGTCTGTACTTAACCTGAAACTGTTCATAACCTGAAGCACCACTTCAGCTAATGGGGCCTCCCGCTGCTGCTGCGCTGCCGAAGCACAATTTCTGTTCTCATCCTGAAGCAAAGTTCTTAACCCGAGGTACTATTTCTGGGTTAGTGGAGTCTGTAACCTGAAGCGTCTGTAACCCGAGATACCACTGTATTAAAAATCCCTCCAAAATGACCAAACTTGTATCAGGGTAAATTAAGGCACAGTCCAACCCTTCCCATCCAGATGGCAGATATTTATCCTAGGTGTTTTCTTGTGTCTTCCCACCCCCAGAAGAATTCGCATTGTGGTGTGCATTTCTTTCCCCTTGTGAGCGAAAATAAGCACCTCGCTGCTAAAGACAAACAGGTGCACGGAGAGCGGAAAACAAGTGTAGAGAGAGTGGGTGGCCCCAATTCAGGTGAAGTTTGCCGTGATGGTCCCACTGAAATCAAACAAGCCTAGTTATTTGTGATTGATTCAATGGGATGGATTGTGATATCGTAAACGGAATTTGTCATAATGCTTGAAGCGATGCCACCTAACAAGCTGGGGTTTGTGAATGGCCAAACCAGGATCTGAAACTGTAGTGTGAAGCTGTTGCAAACCATGGTTGGGGGATACAGTGGCTTGGCTTTATAACCACTGCAACTAACCATGGTTTGGCACATTGCTTCACCCTCAGATGCTGCTCTTTGGGACATTACCTTCGGTTTTTCAGGGAAGTGCAGAAAGAAGGAAACCACAGTTTGCCTGAACATCTAAAACACAAACCATGGTTTGGAGTCTATAGTTAGTGCAAATCATGGCTTGGTAGGAACCAATCTTGCTCATAGCTAATTCTAACAAGGGTTGCAGGACAAGCATTTAGTCCGTTTTGAGCAGAGAAATGATATAGCTATCCTAGCAATCCTGTGAAGAAGAAAAAGAAGAAGAAGAAGAAGAAGAAGAAGAAGAAGAAGAAGAAGAAGAAGAAGAAGTAGTTGTTTATACCCTGCCTTTTTCTCTGACAGGACTCAAGACAACTTACAGGTAAAAACAAGAACGACCAAAAACATAGTGGAGAAGAAGAAGGAGAAGAAGAAGAAGAAGTGTGTGTGGGCTGCCCCTCCTCAGGGCTGGCCCCAAACATGCTGGTGCTTGGGGCAAAGAACAAGATGGTGCCATGTCAACGGCTGACTGGCCTGGCCATGGAATCTTCTTTCAGCACTGGGGACAGGATCAGGTCCACTACTGTACCTGAGGGCCGCAGGCTAGCTTGAGGATGGAGGAAGCCTGAGGCAGCTGCTTCAAGATGCCTATTGGAAGAGCCAGTCCTATCCCTACCTCCCCCTTTTTCCATTTGCGGAATGCAGAGGTTAGCACAGGGTCTGCCACCTCCAGTATTAAAGGCTCTCTGGTTTCTGCCCCTTTTACAACAGTAGTGAGACATAAACAGGTGAGACCATGAACAAGAACGAAAGCCCCTTCTTTTTTGCACAAAGCTGGCACCTGCCACGTGTTTCCTCAGCTCCTCTCTCATCCTGGCACCACACAACCCTCTGGGGCTCCTCCGGTGTTGTCCTCTTACTAAGCTGTCTCCAATCCAGACTCTCAGGAGGGCAGATGCTGTCTGTGAGCACGTAAGACACTCCTGGGGACCTCTGGCCTTGTGAGAATCATCAGGCAACTGTGTGGAGGAATAAGCCACCTCAGCCTTCCACAACCAGATGTTTTGCACTACAACTCCCATCAGCCCCAGCCAGCAGAGCATAACCCAAACATCTGGAGGGCACCAGGTCACACAAGGCTGAGCTAACTTCTCCCTAACATGATAAACAGGAATGAGAAAAAGCAACCTGGTTTCCTTCCCCACTTCCTAATCCCTCCATTCTCTCCCCCTGCTGTCTGGTTCTGTACCACAAGCACCTTCAGAAAGGCAATTTTGCTTTCCTCTTGTTGTTGTCAATGCCCATGTACATTGAGGGCATTGGAATATTATCTTCTTGCAATCACTGTTCAAGGAAGGGGTTGAAGAGAACCCATTATTTAGTCACCTTGGGACATTATGCATATCAGCACATGCAGAGGGATGAGAAGAATCTCACTCACGGGCTCTTGCTGTCCACATTCAGCTGTGTTTTCTGCATGCAAACAGTACATATGCAGGCAGCACCAGGAATCCTCTATGTGCATACAGGTCTTACATGTGCATTCTTGCCCAAGTTATGCTGAATGCATGTAGGGGGCATGCTAGAAGCTAGTGACTGCAGATAGGAACGTTCTCACTCTCTCCCACATACACATTGAATGTACACTCGTGTAACGTGTAAGCAAGGCACATTCCAGGATAAATTACTGGGTGCACAGACACATGACATTCATAACTTTCTGGCGTGTCTTGACAGAAATTCTGCTCCTAGGGGAAGGGCCACAGCTCATTGGTAGAGCATCTGCCAAGTTCAATCCCCATCATTTCCAGATAGAGCTGAGAGAGAACCCTGCCTCAAACTCTGGAGAGCCACCGCCAAGGCTGACCCAAGACACTTTGGCCCCTGCGATGGGCCTCCAAAATGGCGTCCACCTCCCTGCCAGGGAAGAAGGGGTGAGGGAAAATCTACATCAGGAACAATGGGGAAAGAAAGGTCTGCTCCTGTGGATTCTGCCACCAGATGTGGTCACCTCACCTTGCCTCATGCATGGGCCAGCCCTGGCCACTGCCAACCAGTGTAGGCAATACTGAGCAAGGTAGGCCAATGGTCTGACTCAGTATAAGGCAGCTTCCTATGTTCTTAGAACTTCCCATCAAAGGAACACACACAGAGAGACACTGCAAGACTGCCTTAAGCTTTGAAACAAGAGCTTACCTGTAATACAAAGAGGTTGGCATCCGCTAGGATCACAAAGTTGGCACTGCCTCTCCAGCTGTCTTTGTTGTTTCAATGCCAGCCCTCCTCTCTTGTGGTCTCGGCAGCTGCTGTCTGTCTGGACGGCCTGTGGACTGACTGCCGCCGCGGCAGAGGTGGCAGGGAACAGCCCGTCCCGTGTCCACCCTGCCTGCTTGCCTTGCTTCTCATCCGTATGCACCATGGAAGGTCCCCTTTCCGTGCTGCTGATTGCAAAAGCACCGGACATCTCAGAACAGATTTTGCATTCTGATCCCCCTGGTTCTGCTTTTGTTTGTTTGTTTTTCTAAGGTTTTAAAAACACGTTGCAAATTTTGAAAGTTTCTTGCCTGCACATTAGGAGCTTTTTGTGTGAGAAAGCTGAGGAGGGGGCAACTTTCGAATACTTTATATTGTGAAGATCATCACACTCCAAATAATGGTTTGTTGCAGCCAGACCACCAATCTGAAGGCACCCACTCTCCCAATATCCAAGTCCAAAGCTCTCACCACTGTTGTACACTGCCATTTTTTCTACTTTGCACATTTTTATATACTGCAGCTAAGAAAAAAGAGGGGGGAACCACAGTCAAGCCCAGAGGGTGAGAATGTTTTTGTTTTGTTTTGTTTTGAAAGCACTTCTTAAAATCCAGCTACAATACAAAGGCCTAAACATGCATAGCTTAGCAGCAATTGTGGATTTGCAAACAGGTACACACAGGACAGGGAACAGGGGGCTAGTCCTGGCTTTCCATGCATGCACATGCATGACACACGCACCCAGAAACACATGTTAGTGGTTCTAATGACATGCAAGAAGTATTTGATGCATGCCTCTACCCTAATCTCCCAACTCAGCTCTCAAAACTGGGGGTGTGGAGGGGAGAACCATAGTGTGTGAAGCTTCCTTTTGAAATATTTGTGGGAATGCCATAGCCCTGGCTCCCAGTAGCACTCACAAGTGTTATGGTATCTTATGTCCTTATGCTCTAAAGGAGCACATGCCTAGTTCCGGATATTCAGAAATGAGCTGCCGCATGCTGCCCACTGGATTCCCAGCTTCTTGTTCTGGAGGGGTAGTTGCTTTAAGTCTGTTACAAAAACGAAAAAACCACCAAGTAGTACAGGTGGATCTGATGGTTTATCACCCTTTAAAGGTGCCACAAGACTCTTGCTGGCTTTTCCATGAGGCTCGGTGACCAGGCCAGCTGGGAATGGGGGAAGACTTTCTCTTTTCCTAAACTAAGCAGTGACAGACTTTGGTAATATGGCACCCAGAGGGAGGACAAAATTTATCGGCGCGCCCCTCAAATATTTCTTATTTTTACAATAATTCAATTTGGTACTTTGAGTAGGTACCTGTATAAATATAGGTATTATTAATATTTATCATCATTTTGCTCTCCTCCCCCCAGCTCAGCTCCCTGTGCGAGGGAACCACCCACACCAGCCTTGTCAAGCCAGAGAGGCAGAGACAGAACTGTAGCAGTGCCTTACCTTGTAGAATGGAAGAGTGTCTGCTTAATTCTCTTGGTAAGTTGAGACCCTTGGCTGTAGAATCAAGAGTGAAAATGTGAGAAGGGAAGCGGTTGAAGGCCAAGGAAGAGAGGAGCATTTACAGGGTTTTCAGCTTAGTCAAACAATAACTTCTCTTCCATCCATCCCTCTCCATCTAGAAGGAGATGCAGGGCAGAATGACTCCAGCTGGACCTGCAACACACCCAGAGTCTGAATGGGAGATGCGGGGGTCCTTGCTTCTCTGTCTCACTCTCTCTTTCTCTCTCTCTCCTCCATGAGCTCATACAATCTCATTTTATGGGAGAGACATCTGTTTCGACTCAAAGGGGAGTGGAAGGGGGGAGCCTTCCACTGCCAACAACAAAACAAACCTCCCATCCCTGAGTCACCCCCTCATTTCAATAAAGAAAGAAAAAATACATTTGCTTCCTTTCCATCCCCCAGCCCTTCCTAAGCTTCTGCATTCGGAAAAGGGTGCAAAAGCAACACTTATGTTTAAAAGGCAGCTGGGGGAGAGGGGAAATGCCAGCCTGAGTTGCAGAGGGGGTCTCTTTCATACTTGCATTGTTCTACATAAGGCAGAATGCTTGGGTGTCACACAGACATCATTTCTGGACCACCCCCTCTTTGAATGTTGCCCATCTCAATAGGGTCGTCACAGTTTTCAAAGGTTTAGAGGGGGGAACATAACTGCCCCTACAGCCTCGGGGAGGGAAGGGGTAAGAGAGTTGCCTACAGGACTCACCAGCATAAACAGCCAGTTTCCTTGGGAAGGAATCTGAATCCCCTCTTAGAACCAACACCCGTTGCAGATCATCACATACTGCAAGTATATACTGTAGTATATAGCAGCAGACAGATAAGTAGATGGATCGTGGAAACAAGTGGATGAGAGGGCCTATAACCTAATGGGAAGAGCACACGCTGTGAATTAGCGATGTGGTGAAATCTGCCCTCCAATTTTCTCAGACGCTTTCTTCTCCCGTGAAAGATACTTAATTACATTACTTAATATGTGCAATTGTGATGATTATTAGTAATAGCAACATTTGGTTCTGAATGCGGCATTTGTATTGCATTTCAAATATTGATTCCTTATTGAGGGGATTTGTCAACCCCTTAAGACATTTCTACTGGAATATAAAGCAGTACTGTACATAAATTAACTAAATAAATGAAAGAAGATTCCAGTTTTTATGCCTTCCTCTTTAGCATTTTGGCAGGGGTGGAGATTTGAGCTTACCTTATTGCTGCAAGGTGGCCCAGGGTGCTGTGTGTGCACCTATAACTCTCAGTGTGCTGTAGCAAAACCCACCAGAGACTGACCATACACGTTTTGTACCGTATTTTTTGCTCTATAAGACGCACCAAACCACAAGACGCACCAAACCACAAGACGCACCTAGTTTTTGGAGGAGGAAAACAAGAAAAAAAATATTCTGAATCTCAGAAGCCAGAACAGCAAAAGGGATCGCTGCGCAGTGAAAGCAGCAATCCCTCTTGCTGTTCTGGCTTCTGGGATAGCTGCGCAGCCTGCATTCACTCCATAAGACGCACACACGTTTCCCTTTACTTTTTAGGGGGGGAAAAGTGAGTCTTATAGAGCAAAAAATACGGTAATTTTCCTCTCTGGAGTTTGTGACATGATTGTAACAAAATGTCAATGCCCATCTTATTTTACTTATTTATTTTACTTATCTTTTATTTACCTTGTTTTACTTGTTTCTCTTATCTTAGCATACACATTTGGATAATATGTGCTTCTCATTTTGTTTCTTTAGTGCTGGTGATTGGCCATAACAATAAAGGTTTGGTTGTGTGTCTGTTTTTTGGATGTCTTCTTTAAAGCCCAGGAACTCAGAGCATAGACTACTGGGGAGAAAAATTGTATAATCAAAGAAAGGACATGGGCAAACAACTCTTGGCCACCTGAAAAGTAAGCCAAGTGTAACAACAACAACAACAACAACAAAAAGGCCACATCCCAATCAATGAGGATTTTCAAACACATTTTTTCTCTCCTCAGTAATTGTAGAATCGTAAAAACAAGAACAAACCCCACAGGATCAATTTATGGTACAGTGCTACATTGAAGGAATGGGAGTGCAGCTTCCCAATGGACTGTGGTGGTCTCTGTTAGTGAGTGGGTGGGTCCTTTCAATTGCTATGTCTTGAGCACCAAAACATCTTGCACCAGGCCTGTTTTTACTCTCCCTTTACCTATCCCCGACCTGTTAAGAATAAGAAGAGCTCTGCTGGATCAAGCCAATGGCTCGTCTAATCCAGCATCCTGTTATCATAGCCACTAACTAGAAGCTTATGAGAAGCCCATAAGCAGGACCTGAGCACAACAGCACTCTCCCTTTGAGCTGTTTCCAGCAGCTGGTATTTGAATGCATTACTGCGTCCAACAGTGGAGGTAGGTTGCAAAGCCAATAGCCCTTTCCTCTTGCTGGTCTAGCACATAACCGGGGCCAGTGGTGGCATAGTGGTTAGCATCGGACTACGACCTGGGAGACCAGAGTTCAAAACTACTTGGCCATGAAGGTCACAAGGGTGGCCTTAGGCCAGTCACTGCCTCTCAGCCTACCCTGCCTCACAGAGGTTGTGGGTATTAAATGACACCATGTACTCCACACTGAGCTCCTTGGAGAAAAAGGTGGGATATAAATGCAATAAATGAACCCTGAGGCACCCCACAAGTGAGAGCCCAGGGGTCTGAACACTCATACCCTAACACCACTTTCTGGACATGGCCCAGGAGGAAGGAGCAGAACCACTGTATAACAGTGCCCCCAGCTCCTCTAGACGGTTCAGAAGGACGTCATGGTCGATGGTATCAAAGGCCACTGAGAGATCCAGCAGAACTAGGAAACAGCTTTCACCTTTGTGAAAGCCCATCACCCAGCCCTTCCCAGCTCGCTTTGATGAGCCAGGATGGGCAAGGATCAAGGAGACAGGTGGTCGATTTCACTCATCCAAGCAGCCTGTCCACATCCTCAGAGGTAACAGATTGGAACTGATCCCATGCAACTTGACTAGACCGGACTCCAGCACTTTCCCGCCCTGGCCTTGCTCCCACGGTATAGTCTACCTCTTTCAATTCTGAGCAACTTTATCTGCAAAAAACTTCGCAAAATCATTGCAGGAGATCTTGGGGTCCTTACCAGGCCCCGATGGCAGTGGTGGTTCCATTAGATTGCGAACCACCTGAAAGAGTCTCCTACTGCTGTTTTCTGCAGATGCAATAGAGGCGGTGAAGAAGGTCCTCTTTGCCGTCGCTATCGCCACTTGGTAGGCTTGACGCTGAACTCTCATCAGTGTCTGGTCCGATTCAGAATGAGTTTTCCGCCACCGGCACTCTAGTCGTCTCAGCAATTGTTTCGTGGTCCTCAGCTGTGCCACAGGGCTGTCCGGGGTCCATGCAATCAGAGAGCACGCTTTGGAGCCAGACAGTTGATAGCCCTGGTTAACTCGGCATTCCAGCGGGCCACCAGGGAATCAGCTGAAAGGCCAACAACATGGGATAAAACATCCCCTGGCCTACCACTCTCTGGAAACCATTTGGATCCATTAAGTGGCGGGGGCGGACCATCTGAATCTGTCCCACCTCCCTGCAGAGGGGAAGGGTCGCAGAAAAGTCCAGTTGCACCAGGAAGTGATCCGACAGTGGCACTTCTTTTGTTTCGCTTTTACTTAGTGTCAGATCACCCACATCCATAGAGGTGAACACCAGGTCTAGGGCATGTCCACGACATGAGTTGGGCCAAACTTATTCAGGGGCAACTCCATGGAGGCCATGCTTTCCATGAAATCCCAAGCAGCCCCTTGTAAGGTTGAGTTGGCATGGGTGTTAAAATCCCCAAGGACAACCAAACTAGGTGTCTCCAGGAGAATATCCGCCACAACCTGAAGCAGCTCGGTGTGCTAGTCCCGGGGGGGAAGGTTACCGGGAGGCGAGGTCAGGGTCCTGGGTCAAGGGTTGGTAGACTGTTCTCCACGGGCGAAGCGGGGACCAAAGCGAGGAGCTGGAAAAGGACAGGAACTCTGGAGGAACAGGACTGGATGCTGGCCGAAACAGCTCTTCAACGACGTTGCTCCCGCAACCTGGGACCGGGCTGACTGGCCTTTATCTTCTCTGAGGCCAGGGGCGGTCCCGGCCCCCAGGAGACCCGTCTCTCCTGGCCTTAAGGCGAGCACTCCTCCTGGGAGAAATCAGTTCCCTTCGCCTCTCTGCCTTGAGCCTCTGCAGTTCAGGAGGCTGAAGGGTTACTGGACCCAGGGGAAGACTCACCTTCCCCTGACAGGGCTGGGAGAGGTGCACCTGTAAGCACTGTGTCTTCATTCACCTCCGGAGCCAGAGAGGATTCACCTGGTGCCTGCTCCTGAGGATCCGGCACAGGTGCAGGTGTTTCAGATCCAAGGCCCTGCCCCAGCTCAGCCGGCCCTGGAGGCGGGGACTCCTGTGCAGGCTGGGGTTCCTCCGGTTCGGCCTCTGAATCGGATTCCCAGGCCATCACACCCGGGAAGGGAATCCTTGGTGCAGGGCGGAGGTTAGGACACCAAAAGGAATCCTGTACTGCCACTATTGGCCAACTTCCAGAAAATACACTCAGAAAACTGGGTCTTCTCAATAGGATACCTGGTGCAAGCTAATGACTTCCTAAAAATCACTGCAACACCCCCTCCCTGCCCACATGACCTGGGTTGCTGTGTGTAAGAGAAACCTGGTAGACAAGCAGCGGCAAGAACAGGACCACCTGCTACATCCAACCAAGTCTCGGTCACACATGCCACGTCAAGTCCTCCATCCATGATCAAGTCGTGGATGACAGCCGTCTTGTGAATCATTGGCCTGGCATTGCATGACCATAAGGTCATGTGGGTCTCCCTTGCTGATTCCAGTATCCTTCCGGTCAAGACCAGACCTGAAAGCAGGGATAGTCCTCAAACAACGACTAAACCTGCCTCTTCGGAAATGACATGGTCCTCCTCCTACCCGTGATCACTGAGATCGGGTGTCCCAGTGCATCCCTCCCTGTGGAACCTGCCCCAGTCATTTTGTTGGCTGGGGCCCACTCTCAGGCAGCCCTGACCCTCTCCCCTTAAGAATAGAACACAAACCATACAACAAACCAATAGAACAGTAGAAACAAAAAACGCAATTAATAATAATTTATAATCATACTAAAATTAAACCAATCCCCAGCCCCAACCAAATGTCCATCCCACCCCCAACAAAACCAATATTCAAAAAAACATAGATTAAAAACTATTTAAAATGCCTAAAAACATTTAAATAACTACCTAATAACACTGGGGGGGCTGTCCCTCACCCTTGTCTCACCCCCCAAAGGGCTACCCCCAAGGGATGACCCCCTTAGGTGTTCCCCCACCGGGATGGCCCCGCCCCCTACGCGGGTAGGCTTTATAACAGTGCCCCAGCAGCTGGACCCAGCCCAGCTGGGGCAGCAGCTGTTCCCACTTTGCCTGCCTGTTCAGAGACCTGGTCCTTGCAGTATTCTCTGCAGTCCTCTTTGCTTCTGTAGCAGCAGCAGTCCCCCCCCCCCAACAGCCGCAGCAGGAGCAGGGTGGGGAAGATGGCAGTCCCCACTGAGGGACTGCAGAGCCAGGTAGATATTGTCCCAATGTACAGGAAAAGAAAACCTTTTTGACTGGCACCAAAAAAGTGTCAGCGCCAGGAGGGCTTTGCTGGGGAGAGCTCTCCATAATCAGAGCCAGTTTCAGATCCCCCCACCGATGTTTGGGGGAGGGTGATGTGTTACCACTACCCATACACTGCTATTGTTTCTTTCTGTGTAACCATAGATGTGATTCTTGAGATGGTTGTCTTATTAGTGTATTAACAAGTGCTATGTTTTTACCACTGTATTTTTATTCTGTTTGCATGATCACCTCCAGGCTATTGGTATTTTGCAGGAGGGATTCGGGTGCATACCAGAAATTTAGGTTTGCACAATTAAAGTGAATTGAAGTGCTCTGTTGCCCTGATGTCACATATCCACTTAAAACAAAACAAAACCCAACTAGTATTCGCACTAATGAATAATAAAAGTGCCTGCAGTCCCACCTCCAGCCAGTAGGGACAGTAGTGGGGCAGGAAGTCAATGCAGTCCCGAGACCTCCATTGCCATGTCTGAATATGGGTACAGTGAAGCCAAAAAGGAGGTTGGGAGTGGAGAGCAGACAAACCCGGAAGGAAGCTACTCAAGCAGTCTAGCCAAAGCCTTGCTGGACCTCACTGGTGAATGGCAATAACTGTTCTTTCTTGGAGTGCATTGTCACAATGACATAAGATCATCCCTGTTGGATCAGGCCAAAGAGGGTCCATCTAGTTCAGTATCCTGTTCTCAAAATGGCCAACCAGATGCCTGAGAAACCTGTAAGCAGGACCCGAGCACAAGAGCCCTCTCCTCCTTGTGGTTTCCAGCAACTGGTATTAGAAGCATTACTGCCTCTGTGACATATACAGGATTATACAGACCCAAGAGTCTGTAGTCCCATTTTGATCCTAGCAAGTATCACAGTGGCGAATCAGAATTGCCATCTTATTGTTAAAAAAGATGGTTCGATTTAATAACTCAATGCCCTCCAGATGTTTCGGACTCCAATTCCCATCAGCCCATATCAGCGAAGCTGGGCTGTTGCAGTCCAAGGCATCTAGAGGCCACGAGGTCAGCAAAGGCTGCATTAAATCACAACAAGCTGATCTTGGGCTTGCTGTGTGTGATTCTGATGCAAAAGCTACCCTTGTGGACCCAGTGACGCATGCCTGAGTAACCATCTCTTAAAAGATTTCCCAGTAATTCTTGAGTCTTCACACAAATGCTTCACCACACCAGACCCACCCACCCCTTTCCTCTCAATGGTCATGCAAAACTGGAGGTGTACCTTTAACAAAAAATGTGGAATCAAGGTAACAAGGGTTGCTCTGACCCAGGCCAGAAAATGATGTCTGTGTCTTTGTGGGAAGTTTTTAAAAGTGCTTCCTTTGAAGCCACTTCTCAGAATGAGGATCATGCAAAGCAACTCGGACCCTTGGAAATAACCTGCACACCACACCCCCACTCAAATGCAACTGACTGAAAGGTTGCTTCTACACAATTCCAAAGATTTCCTGCATCAAAGTTGGGTTGGCAGGTAAAGAGGGAGCTCTGTGTTTCCATGCCCCCCCGCCCCGCTGCACATGCCACTCACATTTTCCACTGGGCTCAGGTGGGTCTCTCCAAGCAAACAGGAACCCTGGTCTGGAGGGGGGGGGGACGTGCCCTCTGGCCCAGCAAGACGGGACTAGACTCCATTCCGATGGAATGCCAAAGGGCGAGATTTTACCCAGGCTTAGTTAACCCTCGCTACCACTTCTCCCATCAGGTCCTCATCTAGGGGATTCCTAGTAAAGGAGCCATAGAGGGTTTGTGCCGCCTTCTCGCTTCTGTCGGCCAAATTTCTACATTACAGGAACGCAGGAAGCTTCCTTATGCGGCCAAGCCGGGCCGTTACTCCATCTAGCTCAAGATTGTTGACACTATTGTTAGTGGCTCTCCAGGAATAATAATAATAAAAACAGTATTATAATTTTTATTTTTATTATTATTATATTTTGGGCAGCCCTACCTGTCCTTGATGTCGGGGTCCGAAGCTGAGACTTTCTGCCTGCAAGGCAGACGCCCGGCTACTGAGCTATGGCCCTTCCCCGCAAAATAGAGTAAGCTTCTAGTCCGCATGGCTCTGAGCAACGGGCTGATTTAAACAGGAAGCTCCTTTACACTACGTCACACCGAGGTCAGTGTCATCTGCACTGCTCTCCGGGAGTTTCAAGTGGGGCTCGTTCCCGGCCCTAGCCGGAGATTGAACCTGGCACCTTCGGCATGCAAAGCCGTTTGCTCTCCATGCACTGAGCAGTGGCCCTCTCCCGATCTCCCTTCCACCTCAGTCTCTTTAACTTCTCTTTGTTTCCTTCTCGATTTCCCCCCCTCTTCCCGCTCCCGTCCTTCCCTCCCGGCAGCGCACTCAGGCCGCCGCCAGAGCGAGAAAAGGGGGTGTGTGCGCCTTCCCCGCCGCGCGGAACTACATCCCCCATCAGCCCCCGGGCCTCCCTCTTCCTGAGTGTCAGTTTCACGCTGCAGCCAGGGAATTTAAAACAAAAGAGACTTCTCTCGCTCTCCCTCCGCCCCTCTCCTGCTGTTGCTGGTGCCGCGATCGACTCGTCCTGCTCCTCGCCGGGACTCAGGCGCTCCCTTCACCGTGCCTTTTGCTGGCTCCTTCGCACGCGCGCGCGCGCGGGGGTGACTTGGGGGCTTTTCCATCCCGCCGGATTCCCCCCCCCCCGCTCCTGCTTTTTTTTTTTTGCCGTCGCCCCCCCACCCCGACTAGCTCTCTCTTTCTTTCTCTCCATCTCCACACCCACTTCGGCGGCCAGGCGGGTTCTGCGCGACAGCACAGCAAGAGCATTTAAAAACGAAAAAGGGGAAAGAGAGGGGGATCTTTGTGCGCCCAAGAGCCACACTGGGCAGAAGGGATCAGGTTACAGCAAAGGAACCGAGAGAGAGAGAGAATCGGCAAGAAAGAAAAAGAGAGGGGTCGGGGTGAAGGGGAGGGGGGAGGGAGAAAGGGGGCTTGGCCAGCAGGGAAAAGAGGGGAGGTGGGCGGGGGTCTCTCCCTCTTTCTCTCGCCTCCCCCTACCTCTTTGTGCCTCTCCCCCCTCCTCTCTAGCAGGCTCTTTGTTTCCCCCTCCTCCTCCTCCTCTCCCACCCACCCGCCCCCTCCCCATCCAAGCGGCAGCAGCAGCAGCAAAGGCAGCAGCAGCAGCGAGCCCCATCCTCATCATCACCATCCCGCCGCCGCCGCCGCGCCCCCCCACCCCCCTCTCTCCCCAGCCTTTGTTAGCCATGCCTAGCCTGGTAGTGTCAGGGATAATGGAAAGGAACGGGGGCTTCGGGGATCTGGGCTGCTTCCCAGGGAGCAGCAAGGACAGGGCGCTGCTGGAGGATGACCGGGCGCTGCAGCTGGCCCTGGACCAGCTCTGCCTACTGGGCTTGGGGGAGCCTTCGGCCGCCGCCGCGCCCTCCGCCTCGGCCCTGGGGGTCGGTGGCGGGGCGGTGGAGGACGGCAGCAGCAACCAGCCGGCGCAGCCCCCGGCGCCGCCCCCGCCGCAGCAGCAGCCCCAGCCGCCTCAAGCGCCCCTGCCACAGCCGCCGCCGCCTCCTCCTCCTCCGCCAGCTTCAGCTTCAGCAGCGCAGCAGCAGCAGCCCCCGTCGCAGGCGGCTCCCAAAGGCTCCTCGGCGGCGGCGGTGGCCGTGATCCCACCGCCGCCGCCGCCGCCACCCGCGCCCCCGACCGGCGCCGCCGCCGCCGAGGCCGGCAAGCTCTGCGTCCTGTACAAAGAAGCCGAGCTGCGCCTCAAGAGCAGCTCCAACACCACCGAGTGCGTCCCGGTGCCCAGCTCCGAGCACGTGGCCGAGATCGTGGGCAGGCAAGGTGAGCGCTCCGCGCGCGAGAGAGGCTCGCCGGACGGGACTGCAGTGGGGAGGGGGCCGCGCTCCTCCGCGTTGCCCATTGTCTGCGCAACCCCAGCCCGCCCGCCAGCAGCGCGCCCACACCGCCTCCCGGCTGGCTGGCTAGCTGGCTGGGCAGGCGTTGCGCCGGACGGGGGTCCTTCTTTCTTCTTGCGCACCCCCTCCGCTTTCTCTCTCTGTTCTCGAGTCTTTGTCAAGTGCCACTCCCCCCTCCGCTCTTCTTCCTCCCAGTTCTCACTTTCTCTCTCTCTCTCTCTCTCTGCACCGGTTCCCCCCTCTTTATCTTTCTTCCTCGTTCCTTCTTTCCTTCCATCTTTCTTTCTTCTTTCTTCCTCTCGCCCCTCTTTTGTCCCGAGTCCCACCGTTCTCTCCCTCCACTGATGTTCGCCTCCTCGCCCTCCCTCCCTCCTTCCTTTCTTTGTGCCTCCAGTAAGTCTTTTCCTCCTGCTGTTGCTACCGTCGCTGCACTTGTTTTTCTGGCCTCTTCGCTCCCCCCCCCCCGCCACGTCTTTCCCAGTTTTGTCTGAGAACCTTCATCCCAGAACCCCACTTCTGTCCTGTCTCCCACACCCCACCTCACGTCTTTCCTGCGCTGGTGATGTTGCCCTTCTCGCCCCTCTTTCGTTTTCTGCTCCTTTCTTTTATCCGGCCTTTCCAGCTCTCTCCCTGCTGCACCCCCTTCTTCCCCGTCGCTCCTGTTTCTTTCAGACTTTCCTTTATCCCTCTTCTTTTCCTCCACCCGCCATCTCTCTCTCTCTTCTCTCCCCCCCCTTCTCAAAAAAGTTCAACTTGCCCTTTCGTCTAGCCTCGCAAAAAAACCACTACTCTTGTTCCCACTGAGACACTTAATGTTGACCTGGCTTAGAAGAGGGGGACATCAGTAGATGCAAAGTTAAATAGTGTTTCACACACCACACCCCCACGCCCACTTCGTAGCTGCCTTTGCTTTGTATAAATCATTTCCAGGGCCACTTGCTAGATTTTCTCATCTCACACTTAAGATGAATAATGGCCACTGCAGGGGGTGGAAATGGGGGTGGGGTCCTTCTCCATCAGGCATGGGGGGAAAGGCAATGGATGTCTTTTGAGAAAGGGTCACAAATCCATACATTTTACTAGCCACACAGTGCACTGTAGAAATAAAAAGCACTGGGGATTCTATCGCCCTAAGCTAGATAATAAATAAAATGCATTAAATTTATAGGAGGGGAAAATGGCAGAAAGTTCCTGTCTCTCTCTGTGCTTTCTGTCTTGTCTTGTCTCTCGTTCTGTTTTTCAAAAATGGAAATGCAAAATCTGAAGTGCCCCCAAGACACTGTGAACACACGCCTGTTACTTTTAATTGCATCCAGATCTATATTGTATCTCTCTGGTCTTACAAATATTACAGTCTCCGTCTTGAAGATTTGGTGCACTTGCCATTTTCAATGGGCTGGTGCTAGGGACTCGGTGGGGAAGGCTGAGAAAATCCCCCCTTTTGTTGAGTGCATTTCTGGAAGCAAAAGGGGGTGTGGTTCTCTTCTGGACTGTAATAGTGGCTGGTGCGCAGGGCTGTGTGTGTGTGTGCAGAAAGGAGGCGAATGCTTGGAGCCTATAAAGGATTGAAAAACAGATTAATGAAAGTTGAACTTGTTACAGAAATATGTGGCCTGTGTTTGTGTGTGTGCTTGTGTAGAGACGACAGTTTATGTTTTAGAAGCCCTCCTTTTGTCTTCATTTATGCACACTTTTCTATCCTGTGGCTTTTTTTAAGTGGTGCTCTCGCTACATGACAGACAACAGCTGAGAGCCCTAAAAAAACAAAATTACACCCCATGTGTGTGTTATGTCCTATCCATACCCCCAGAGGAAGATGGCCAATAAATTGTCTACCGCCCCCCTCATCTTCGTCAACACAAAGGTGCCAGAGTCTGCTAAAGTTGCCTTGTTTCAAAAGGAGGGGGGGGTCTCCCCACATTGAGTTGTTGTTGTTAATACTCGTGTGTGTGTGTGTGTGCGTGTGTTGTCAGCCCTGGAGATGTGGTTGTGACTCCCAGTTGTATATACCACAATGAGTGGGGAAGTTTTATAGGGCCTCTTGGGAGGGAAGAAAGGAAATGGGGTTTCAGTTGCGAATTGTGTGGCAGAGGGGGGAAGGATTATGGGGCAGAGGAGTGAAAGGATGATTCACCGCAAAAACCAGAGCCATGTTTTCAGAACAGTGGAGCTAGCAATGGCAGGTCTTCCTCCTACAAACAAAACAAACTGTTAGAGACTTTGGGGCTCAGCAGATGGGCCCCTACAGCATAGAGATGAGCCTTCACCCCCATATCCATGGGAGCAACACCTTTCTGAGACTGTGTATCAGCACTGCCCTGGTTGTAAAACCACTATCTCCAACCTTCCCCAGGGAATAAACAAAACCAAACCTTTCCTCCATTCCCAAAGTCAGTCAGAGTTCATTCAAAACCTCTGCAAAGAAAAATGGGGGGGGGGAGAGCAAGGTCGCATGGAGCAACACATGAAAGGGTGGGTGGGTGTGCACCCACCGAAGGTGCCCACCTCTTCCTCATCTTGTTCATTGTCCACATTGACACACTACCACAAGTCCTGTTTTGCCCAGGTGCTCAACACTGGTGGCGCAGGCGAAGAACTGGTGTGAGGTGCATTGCAGCGAAAGATGGGCCTCTCTTTGTTTAATTATGCTGGGTTCTTAGAGGGGGTGTGTGGAAAGGTGTGTGTGTGTTGTTTTTAAAATAAAATTGCCTTTTAAGCCAAATCCAAAATGGAAGGGTTGCATAGCTGCAAAATAAGATGCTGCTGTTGTGTTCTCTGGGGTAACCCTGCTGACCCACACTCGGCAGGCGAAGGGGGTGTGTGCATGGCATACGGCAGTGCGCTTAGAGAAGGGCTGGCGGAAACTAATGGTTTTTCCTCAAGAGGAGAAGTGGGCTTCCTCCCACAGTTTTAGAACCGTAATAAACAGGTATGAGACAGCTCCTCAGTTCACGTGCACCAGCACTGCTCAAAATCTTTTTGTTTCTTTTATTTCCCATGGAGTGGGACTGCTTTTGCACTGCCCCAAACCTGAAACTCAAAAGCAGATAAACTAACAAGGCCTGGGATGGAAGTCGCGGTGTCTGCATCGCTCAGGAAAGGCTAGGTTCCTGAAGGCTGGCTCTGAAAAGGGCTCCACCACATCCCCCTTCACCTCAACAAAGAAAGGGTTCTCAGCCCCATTGTTCTTCATGGGGCCTGCTATTGGGTATCTTTGGAAAATCTAACCAATCCATTTTGCCAAAGGCAGACACCATGGCTTCCAGCCTTTTCTATGCACACTGCTCTATACCGTGCCAATAACACACACACCCTCCGCCTATCGAGTGTGGGTCAACAGGGTTACCCCAGAGAGCACAATAGCAGCATCTTGTTTTGCTACCACGAAACCCTTCCATTTTAGATTTTGCCACAGAACAGAGGATTACTAGAATATCTACTGGCTTGAAGTCTTCGAGTGAGTGAGTAAGTGAGAAAACTAAATTTAGGCATGGCTAGATGAAGCAGAAGATGGGGGCTATTAAAAAAAACCTACAGGGGTATAAAAATGCAAATATTCAGCTTGCTCAAAATAAATGTTTGGCCTTCATTAATCTACTCCCAGGTTAAATACAATCATGGTTTTCCTTTGCTTAAGTAGCTTTCTTCATCAATCAAAGCATAGATTGTTAAAATATCCAGTGTTGGGATGGCTTACCATCTATGTTAAAGGGGGCCATTCAGTGACATTGCTAAACAGCATTTTTAATTAGCAGCATAAATACCCACTGATTTGCTTCCCTGTTGTCCTTGAAAGTACATTGACAATGGGGTTGATTTCCATTCCCACATCCTGGGCTTCAGGAATAAAGAGTCCAGGAGTCCTCCATCCCTAAATGTAAAAATGAAAATCAGGTGTAGCTATTTTGATGAGCAAAAACTGTGACACCCCCCATCTAGGTTTTTGGGAGAGGTACCCAAGCATGGATCTGTTTTGTGCAAAAGGCACCATGAGAGGCAAAGTTCTGCTTGGAGCATATGCACGCTCCATGGAAACTGTGTTTTTAAAAGAGCTGCTTGTATGCTCTCGACTTAATCATGGAGCAAAACAACGCGGCCCTTCAAGTTACGGGATTTATAAAGGATGCAAGATAAGTTCATATTCTGAGTGCAGGCATCTGCCAAGGGCACTTTATTTAATTATTAATTCTTTAATTATCCATCCTGATCTCCACCCTGTTCCAGCTCAGCAGCTCCTGGGCAGGGAAATACAGTAGTACATAAGGAAAAACAAGGTGTTAAAGATATACAAATGCACAAAAAGCAAATGTTTGTGGAAACAGGTTCAATTTACCAAATACCTAGTTAACAGCCATTGAGGAGTTTCAAGCCTTTGGGGGGAAATACATTTTATAGACATTTTATAGAAAAACAGTTCCATTGCTGTGAGGCAACCCTCCACGTAGCCTTTCTGCATGGACTTGGTGTATAGACAGTGGGCGCTCTGGGTTGGTCTTAAAACTGGTGATGGAACATGAGACTGAATGTGTTATCTTATGGGCTGAGCTAAACGTTAGGAGAATCATGCAGTACAACCCTCTGTCCCTTCAGAATGAAGGTTGTGTGAATCTTGAGCTTGATAACATGTAAAACCCCTCCCTGTGGAAATCTAGTATGTAAAGGAGAAGGGTTCTGTGCTTGCCTTCTTGCTGGCATGCTATGGATTGTAGTCAACTAAGTCCTACTCAGTAGACCCACAAAAATTAATGACCCTAAGTTAGTCATGTCTAGTAACATAAACATGGCTACTCTGAGTAGAACTAGCGTTGAATACAACTCTTTGTCTTTGCATTGCATCCATTTAGTGAGCATTTTGAAGCAGTATAGCTCTTTATCTGATCACATAGATCATCTTGAATATTCAGGTGCATCAAGAACAGCCAAAGAAGGACCTCACTATTTTTTAAATAGGGACTGCTGGAGCCATCATGAGATGCATGACTTTGAGTGCAGGAGGCCCTTGTTCAGCCCAACGGATTAATGATGTGGTGATAGTGTCATGTAATACAGTATATAGATAGAACATTTCAGTCAAAAGTGGTGGAGTTATGTGGAAAGCTGTAACTTCATTGACTTTTAGCAGAAACCATACTATTAGTGAAATTATCCTCCTTGGCATTGTGGCTGAAGGTGGTAGCACTATACCCCCGCCCACTGCAAGTCAAAACCCTGTTTTCTCTGCACAGCATAATGGGTGGAGCATGCCAGGCTGTGAATGATGCTTCAGCCAGCCAAAGTCACCATGGTTTGGTCTTAGCTTTTCCCCACACTCACTTTTGCACATACCTGCACCAGTGATTTATATACCATGACCTAAGTTTAACAGGAGCCACCTCTTCTGCAGTTGTGTAGTATGGCAAATAAATTGCTAAGTTTAACTGTGGTTGTTCTCCTCTAGCACAAAACCAGAGAACTTCCCAGGAGAATCCTAGAGCTTACTCCTGTGCAACACAAAGTGGATTGAACGGCACAAATAGCAGGGTGTGGGACATTTAAAAAAATGTTTCTAGACCTCATGATTGCAACAAAATAATGCTTTCTTCTTTAACAATAATACTTAGGATTTATAAAGTGTTTCAGTTATGTTATCTTGGTTATCTTTACAGCAACCCTCACAACTAGAGTGGGACTCCCCTAGTGCTATTTGAGGGAGAGGGAGTTGCACCAATACTATGCTGGCATGAGCTGGTGGAAGTTGCAGTCCGAAAACACCTGGAGGGCACCAGGTTGGTGAAATCTAGTATAGAGAGTGGAAAAGGGAAAAAAGTCACCAGTTCTAGACAAACTTCCTGGCATGTCTGTGCTGGAGGAAGGTGCCTGGAGAAGTTTTAGAATGTTGTTCTTTAGAGGCTTGCAAAATTGGCGTAATTTTGTACTTGGCTTAATTAGACCTGGCTTTTTTTTTTTTGCTAGTGCCAAGACTCAGCTCTAGAATGCATGTGGTAAAAATGGATGAAAGTGCTGTTGAGAAGGTGCAGGGAGCATTTCCTTCACATGTGTAAAATGCATTTCCTTTGACAGTGAATAGTGACGTTGTCCTTGCTCATTAGGGATTGGTGAGGGGTGTATTCCAAATCGGCAAGTGGTGTTTCCAGCAAATTTGAATCCTGAGACCTATTTTTCTAGAAAATTAAGTGGTGCTCATGAGAAAAAGATAGGCAAATCTTATTTCAGGTTTCTATACGTGTAAGGTAGAAGTGAGGAATCTCCGGCCTGGAGGACAAATGTCTAAGCCTCTATTTCTGGGACTTTTTCCACAGGAGCCAAACTCTCACTGGCTTTGTTTTGTACCCTAAGTGTTTTAATGCCTTGCTGGAATGTGTCCTTGAACTCTAATAATGTCTCCTCCTTGCTTCAGTGAAAGATAGCAAGGGGTGTGTGAGCGTGTGAAGAAAATACCCTAATGTACAAAAGTAACATTTGCATTTGTTTCTCACCCCTGGTATATCAGATCCCATGTGTCACAGCAAGGAAAAGATAACAGTACAGTACTATTGCCTGCTTCACACATTATTATTATTATTATTATTATTATTAGGTATACGTGCCAAATTTTATCACATGTATTTCAACAAATGTAACTTTTTTGACAATAGTCAAATAGACAATAGTCCCAGAAAACTGATTTTTACCAGAGCCTCTGAGTCACACCTGAGAGCCAGTTGCACATTCTCCACATCTTGAGGAGAATTCTGGATGGTTGTTCATATTGTAACATAGCAATTCCCAACTTGCCATTGAAAGTATATTCACCAGAAAGCTGCCAGTACTAGGTCCTGAATAAGACGGTTCACACATAACAAATCAAGTGAGGAACTGCATGTGTAACTGGGTCGTCACAGGCAGAACCTCTATTTCACCTCACACTATCTTTAAACAATACTTGTCAGTTTATACATTTCAGCTGCCAAACTTTCAAGTGTTCACTAATGAAGTGTATGTAATATACGTGTATGTGTGAAGCAAAACCATGTGTTTGACACTTAGGTTTGAAAACCTGGGTTTGTCATATGGATAATTCACATTTGTTAAATGTATGTGTTTTGGGGTGGTGGTTGTTGTTTAAAACAGGCCCCCAACACTTATGGGCCTGGAGATACACTGGGAAATCTAAGAAACTCATGGACACCACAAAATATTCCTTTAATGGAAGAAAAACTGCTGATACTCAGAACACCTACAGCAAAGCGAAACATCTACACACACTGCAAAATAAGTAGAATTAGCAAAAAAAGCAGGCAAAACCCCACCCAGCAATCAATTCCTCTTCACAGGTAACTCTGGGAGTTGTAGCTCTGTGAGGGGAATTTGTGGCCTCCTAAAAACTCTCAGCACCCTTAACAGGCTACAGCTCCCAGGATTCTCCTGGTTTCTAATGATATCATAGCACTTTAAATGTATGGTGTGGATTCATCCTCAGTCTGCCTGAGAGAAGCCTGTTGCTTTGTATTTTATACCATTCATTTGTTTTAGTATTTTAAAATTGTGAACTGACTTGGCAGCAAGGCGGCATATCAAAAGAAAGAAAGAAAAGAGCATAGGGTTGTCAAGTGTGAATCAATTCTGAGAAGAGGTCCTGACAGAGAATTCTGAGGGTGGACTAGCTTCAGCAGGGTGGGGCTGTTATTTCCTTCACCTTGCAACTTTAATTTGGTTTTCTCAGACCTCTATACGTGTTTCTGGCCCTTTCTGAGTCTTTTCCTCAGCTCCCATTTATTCAGCCCTCTCCCAATTCTCTATAGAAGTTGTGTCCTGAGAGGGTTTGAGAACATAAGAGTCCTGGGACCCTCTTATATTTTCATTTTTACCTCATGTTTACCTCATGTGGAAGCACCACAACATCAGAGGCTGGATCACAATTCCCTTCCAGAAGGTTCTGAAGGGCCAAACCAGTCCCTCAAAATTGCCCACAGAACATGGTAGCTGGGTTTTAATGGCATTCTTGCATGCCCATATAAGAGAGCCTGAGTGAAACCAGCTTTCCCAGAGGGCTTGGCCCTTTTCATACATTTTTTGTTCACTAATGAGCACATGGGGTGTGTGTGTGTTTGTATGTATCAAATTCATAGCCTGCCCTTCCAAAGGGAGCCCAGGGCATCTCACAGAAATAAAATTACATAAGAACAATTAAAAGCAGCACACACGACAAGCAAAAGTAAAAACTTCATAAAATTATCAGCCAAAAGTCTGGACATATAAGAAAGTCTTTAGACGTTTCTTGAATTCAAGTAAAGAGGGAGACCTCCTGATTTCCCTTGGGAGGGAATTGAGAGGGTGCCACCACTGAGAATGTCCTGTCTCTGGTTACACCCTGCAAGCTCCCCGTGTTCTGAGGTAATCTTTTCAGGAACCTATGCATGTGCACCCAAACACATACAGTGGTACCTCGGGTTACATACGCTTCAGGTAACATACGTTTCAGGTTACAGACTCCGCTAACCCAGAAATATTACCTCGGGTTAAGAACTTTGCTTCGGGATGAGAACAGAAATCATGCAGCGGCAGCGGGAGGCCCCATTAGCTAAAGTGGTGCTTCAGGTTAAGAACAGTTTCTGGAACAAATTAAGTACTTAACCTGAGGTACCACTGTATAGGCTCCTCTCTGGAAAATGGAGAGTCACAAATCACATGTTTAGGAGGCTGTACAGTAGAACCTCGAGTTGCAGATGTAATCCATCCTGAAGGCACGTCCACAACTCGAAGCGTTTACATCCAGAAGCACTGTGTCTGCGTATGCGCATGGCGCGATTTAGCGCTTCTGCGCATACGTGAGCGGCAAAACCCAGAAGTAACTATTCTGGTACTTCTGGGTTGCCGCAGGACGCAACTTGAAAAAACTTAACCTGAAGTGGACGCAACATGAGGTATGACTGTATATGTTTGGGTGCAAGAGCATAGGCCCCATGCAAGTGATACATTTCCACCTTATGAAAACAGCTCTTGTCTTCCTCCAGATGGGTTATGAAAGAGGTGTCAGACATAAAGCTTTATTGGGATGTTTTAGGGTCCACCCCAACTGCTACTCAAATGACTGAAATATATTTGGGGCTCAGAAACTGACAGAAAGAGCCTCTCATCACGCTGCCTTTCTTGCCATGCACTCTAAAGCAGCATTTTCATACCATGACCCATCTTTAATTCTAACCTGCAACTTGGGATCCATTTTTCTTTTTTCTTTTCACTATACTAATTTCATTTTAAGGTTGTATTTTCCTGCTTCTCTTTCTCCTCACCATTTTTCAGGCTCTCCCCATGTCTTTCTGCTTTACCTGAAACTGTTCTTAACCTGAAGCACCACTTTAGCTAATAGGGACTCCCGCTGCTGCCACGCCGCCGCTGCATAATTTCTGTTCTCATCCTGAAGCAAAGTTCTTAACCCGAGGTACTATTTCTGGGTTAGCGAAGTCTGTAACCTGAAGCGTATGTAACCTGAAGCGTATGTAACCCGAGTTACCACTGTATTGTGCCTAGAAGATGCAAACCTCCAGCCTAAAAAAAACCAAACAGCCCCTGGAGAGCACAGTTCTATAAACTGACAGGTTGGGCTAGCCCCCATCTTTTTGGAGGGGGCCCAACAGGATGCCATTAATGGTCGTGGGACCTTCTTGTCAGCAAACGTGCCCCAAGAGCCACCATGCACATGACCCAGCAGCATTGAGGAAGAAAAGCAGCAGCCACTACTTGGTCAGTGCTTGCCTGTTCTCCTTCCAGGTGGCGGTCCCCCATATTAGGTTTCTTCCTTCTTTCATGGTGGCCAAAATTGAGCCTGGTAGGCCCAGCCCTCACTATGTCCCTTCGAGGGCTAGAGCAAGGGGGTGAGGGTAGCTGCAGTGGCTCTTCAGCACTGCGACCACTCATTCACTTGAGGTGGGCCTGGAAGTCTTGGGCTCTACCACAGGTCACCAGCTCCTGATGCTGGCTGAGGCAGTCAACTTCAAAATTTTGTGCCTCTTTCAACCCCTTGGCTGCAACCTTTTATTTAATTTATTCATCTATTGAAAACACAAATAAAAAATATCCAAAGCAGTTCACAAAAGCAATAAACAATCATCCTAAAACATTAAAAGACATGTAAGCCTAAGTGGAGGAATTCAAAACAATATGCACTACTGTAGATGGTGGTATGTGCTAAATGAGTATTAATAGTCAAGCAATATCTGAGTGGACAGTATTTATTTATTTATTTATTTATTTATTTATTTTGACACAGGCTAAGACCACGGCCAGCTCTACTATAAGGCAGAGTGAGGCATCTGCCTCAGGTGGCAGAAGCTGCTGAGTATCAGCAGCTCACAATTGCTTTTCTTGAATTCCCCTTTGTTGCCACACGGCCTGTTCTAGGCCCCTTAATCTGACCAGCTAACCTGTCACCAGTGCTGAAGTCAGATTTCAGTGTTAGTCCAGTGGCTTTTCTATACATTGAATTGGGAAGGGGACCATCTTGTTATTTGCCTCAGGCAGCAAAATTTCATAGGTCAACCGTACCAAAAACAGTATGGTCATACTCCGAACCTATCCATGCAGCTCAATGCAAAGCATGTTTCCTTGGAAGTAGTATTAAGTGGGATTTACTCCCAAGTAAATGTAACCATAAGTTGTCTTCCCTGTGTGCTTAGCTTTTTTCTGTATGTTTTGTTTCCTTGTCCTTTTCCTTTGCATTTTGTGTTCTTTTAAAAAACTCGAAACACCTTTATACCGAAATAAGTGCAAAGAAAATGGTGGCAGTGTCATGGTGTGACGGTGACCCACCTGAAGCCAGGATGTGACCCACGTGAGGGTTCCTCTGACCCACCAGATGAAGATTGATGCTATAAATTATTAAGAACAAGTGACATGCAATAATTGTTCAGTGTTGTTTGTGTGTGTGCACGCCATTTTTGAAATCAAACTAGGGCAGAGCCCAGAGGAGGACCCAGGCACTACAGAGCAGGGGCCAATGATTTTTAGTAGATCATTGGAAGAAGATGTTGCAAATGCGTTGCAAATGCGTTCTTTTGCAAGATAGAAATGAAAACAAAAGCTATATATTCAGTTCACCACTTTTAAAAAAGTATTTTGGGGTGGGGAAAAGGAGCCTCACCTATTTCTTTTCTGTCAGCTGGGCTACAGCAGCTAGTCACCTGGCAACCCTAAACAGTGGGATTATTAATTTGGTGTCAAATCCTGGTGGAATTGACTTATTTGTGCAGACTGGGGGGAGGGGGTTAAAGGCCTGACCTCCAGGTATCTGCTCAGTGAGTGAATAAACACATTTGAAATCAACAGTCCTGGGTTAAAGCATGAAAGCTACAAAGCAGTGTTTTGAAAGCTCTGGTATCATACTGGTATACACACCAGAGATCTGCTGCAACTCAGTGGCAGACCTGGTTTTTGTTTTTCTCGCCGCTTAACATACAAATTAGTCAATGTTTTACAAACAATGGATCTTGTGGTAGTCACTGAGATTATTCCACTAGGAGAGGGTTCTTTTTAAATTACGGCTTCATTTCCAGAAGAGATTAAGGCCATTGCTCTGGATAGTGTGTGTGTATTCTGTGTCATAGTAACTGCAGGTCTGTACCAAGAGAAACTGTATTCTGCATCCTGGCAATGCAAATTTGAGTGACAAACTTGCTTCATTTTACGCAATTTATTTCACCATTTTACTCTTGGGCATTCTGCTGCCTCTTGTCATGGGAAGGAGCTATGGAGGACTCTGAAGTCTCCCAACCTCTGAAAACTTTAACCAGCAATTTGCCAACCCTCTGAGTTTCACTATGAAGCAAATACTCATAACCCTAACAGCCAGAAACTTTCTTTAAAAGAGAGAGAGAGCGCTCAGATTCTTAGGAATGTTAATTTGCACCTAATACTGTATGCTGCGCTTTTGCAGAATCACAGTGCACAAGCAGCCCCAATACCTCCATCAGGTAATCAGGTCCAGAACTCCCACTGAGACCAGTGAAATAACGGATGCCCCACTGAGGCAGGCCCAACTCATTCAATGTTTTCCATTGCAATACAGTAGATCTAGAGCCAAAATAGATTGCCAACTTGAGTGCCTCTTAGTAATGTGAACAAAACCACGCAGGGGCAGACCAGAGTGGGGAGTGTGCACTGAGGAGGAAGAAAAGTCCGTGAATGAGCATGTAAAATTTCTAGCAAATTCAAGCAAACCTTGGTTCTGCAGATCAGACTGGCTGAGAATCTAGGGCAGTAGGAAATTGTCTCCTGAAGCTCAGCTTAATTCAATTTCCTCCCCCCCCCCCAACAACCCAACGCCTTTGCCTCAGGACCCCTCCCCCTATACTTTGCACCTGCCCAAGCTTCCTTTCCTGTTGTCACCCCCTCCCCTTCCTGGTCGGGCATGGAAAACATGTGTCCAAGATGACCATCCCGACAGCGACACACCCACTTTCTACTGTACTGCGATACATTCAAGATCCGCGCCTGGCTGCTGCTGCTGCTGGCAGTGCCGTTTTTTCATGCAAAAACAGTTTACACTGGCAATGCAGTGAGGCACAGATATTCCAATGGTTGGCTGGCGATCTGTAGCACATGCTTTAATGATAATAATAATAATCTTCATCATCTCCAGGTTTTGTTTAGCTTAACCCCTCCCCCCCAATGTGTTAACTGTACAGCAGATATATATATATAACCTTTATTTATTTTTACAAAGTCTGTAGGAGCATAATAGGATTTCCCCCCCTTGCCTAGATATGTTTATTTCATAAAGGAATCGTTCTAATTATTATTCAGCCTGTGCTGCAAGCCAGGGTTAAGATTTTCAAGATGCCCGCCTCTGTCTGGCCAAGTAAAGGGATTTTGATTATACTTTGTAGAATGGATGCACACCTGAGACATATTCTGAACACTGAGAAAAATTAAGTGTGAACATGACAAACAGGTGTTTGAAAAAATCATGGTAATATCGGGGTGCTGCAACCTCCCTAGGATCACCTTAGGCTCCCTATCTATCTGGCTTTGTTTCAGTGTCAAGCAGCCCACAGTATAAATCAAGACATACATTCCCTCACTCACCAAATAAAAAATGGAAGTCTAAACAGCATTGGCTAAATTATAAGTATTTGCAAGTAACTGCTTTGAACCTATGAACAATTAGATCCTTAAAAGAGTAATCTTTAGCCTTTCCAGGCTGGAGACAAGCCTGTAACATGCCATGTAGGATCACACTGCTGATTTTCACCTTCCTGTTTATTTCTATGAACAGAAGAAGCTGCCTAATGCAGAACCAGGTCACTAGCCCAGTGCTGCCTCCTTTAACTGGCAGTGGCTGTCCCAAGGTCGCAGGAAAAGGCATTTCCTTTCTTAGCCACCTAAGGTTTGTTTAAATAGAGATGTCAAGGAGTTGAGCTGGGATCTTCTGCATGCAATGCTGGTGCTTTACCCTTGAACTGGGCCCCTGTCAAGCTGGTATCATCCCCTCTGTTTGTCTCCTGCTTGATTTCATCCTTCTCTCTATCTTTGTATCTCAAACTCACTCTCTCTCTCCCCACCCCCTTGCAACTCCAAATTTACAAGGAGCAAGAGGCTGGGATCTGACACAGGGCCTTTCCCATTATAGCATCCATCCTTCGGAATTCACTGCCTGGGAAAATCCACCAAGCTATTTCCTTTGTTCTTCCACCAACCTTCATACACACAAAACCTTTCCCAGACTATTGTTATTGATGCTGAGTTTGTTTATCCTGATTTTGACTGGTGTTTGTGTTTACATTAGGTTGCATAGTGTACTTCCATAGACAACATTGTGCAGGAAAAAGGGAAGTACCTGCATAACTGCAACACCTTTGCTCTCCAACTACAGGAGGACCTCCCCCCTTTGTCATTTCACATTTCCACCTGCTGAACATGATTAAACTGATCTTAAGTCTTTATTTTTAAAGACTTCAAAATGTGCATCAGAATGTATAACCTAATAATTGTTCCGGCTGTAGGTACGAACTGACTGTGACAGATTGCTTGTGTCCATGTGCATGCATTTATTAGTGCATTTAAGTGCACTTGTTCGGATGCAATTGTGGAGAGTCTTGACTTCTAAGAGACCAAACATCCTTAGAAGGCAAGATAGAGACAAGCGTGGAGTTCATGATATTATTTTAAAAGATATTTTATGCAGCAAAGTAACTTGTGGATTTACAAAGATTGGCTTACTGCACTATTGTGTCAAGTAAAAGGGTCTCCACCTTCATTTCTACCTGACATGCTAGGTTTCTATGTGCAGGGAGCATTCAGTTACATGAGCTGCAGCCTGAAATGGTACAACCTACTTCATTTAGGGCCAAACTTGACATGATGGCAGCTATTATGTGTGTCCTGACCTAGCACTACCCCAACCACATAGGAGCAGGAATGGGGGTGGGGTCCTGTTCTTAAAATGGGGGCAGGGCAAACATGTGAGCCCCCATTTTATGGTGTGCTTCTCTACAGCCTCTCTCCCAGCTCCAAGTAGAGAAAGTTCAGCATCCCTTACCTCCTTTTGCTTTTAAACTTGCACAGACACACTCACTTGATACATAACAGGGATTGTTTAGTGTTTAAATATATCATGCTCTACCCATTGCATCTACCGTATATTGGCCCCAGGAACAAGGCCTAATCATACAGGTCTTCATGGTCATTTGAGATGTCCAGAGAAACAAACAATTCAGATGTGCACACAATTTCTCTCACTTTCATGCTCCTAGTGGTGCAGTAATAAAACTGCTAGCTAAGCAGGCTCTGGTATGGTTTCAAACTAGATGAGGGACCCTGTGCTGAGATTTCTACATTGCAAGGGGTTGGACTAGATGACCCTCGAGGTCCCTTCCAACTCTATGATTCTATGAATGTTTTTTTTTTCCTTTGCTTTTTGGCACGCTGGAACTCAAAAAGCTTTGCTATATGGCTTGGTTTCCTTAATTAACAAGGCCCTTAATTAACGAGTTCTTGTTTAGAAGTGGTGGAAGATCCCACAGCTCCACTTGAGGTTGAGAGAACATCTACTCCACCAACGTATATTGGTTTTATACCAATTTGGTTGTCATGTGTCCCTCCCCACAAAAACACAAAGTACACTATCCTGGGAATTGTAGTTTGGCGAGAGAGTCTCAAACCCCTATATCAGAACTACAAATGCCCAGAGCATGGAAATGACTATAAAATCCGTTCAAGACTGTACTGCAGATATGTTCTGAGTATGGATATAATGGGTGGGAAAACCTACCCCAACAATTCAGTCCAAATTCATAGCAGAGGAAAACAAGCTCTGAAACGGTTACGTTACAAAAATCGAGTTGAATTAGTAACTTGGGCCACATTGCAGGTGTGCAATTACTTGGAAAGGGATTCCGTTTTTAAGGCTTCTTTGGAGTATGGGGGACTTTTAAGACAGCAAACTTGTTCTTGCAAGCATTCCGCCATCAAGTCATGTTTGCAGCTCCGCACCCTATTCATTCGACTTTGAGGCAATTTCCTGGGACATGGCAGAAACAACATACATGACAGGGTGGCAAGCATTCACAAGTCCAGCCCTGCCAGGCAAAACCTAGCAAGAAAAGTTAACAATTTCCCTAGATCACTTCCACGTGCAAAGAGGTTGGCATCGATATTGTCTTCAGCTCACCTACTACTCAGTAGTGTGCCTGCTTGGGCTGGGAGAATGGGGCAGAATATGCAGGGATGTGTACTTCTTGCTTCCTTCATGTAGGGGGGGGGGTCTCACCTCCCTCCAACTCTGTTTCAAGAGGAAGGGTTCCCTCCATCTGCCTGACTCTGCGGCACCCTTTGTCCTGTTTCTGGGCCAGTCACAGCCTCCCCCACCCATGGTTGCCTGCCTGCCTCCTTTTGTCTGTTCCTTGATTCCCCCTCCCCCTTTCCTCCTCTACGCTCTCCTTGTCAGGGTCCCTTTTGCCTTTTGGTCTGCAGCGTCCCCCCTCCTCTTTTTTATTTTTTACCCTGCCTGCATCCCTTTCTCCCCCCTCCCCAGAGAGCCTTGTGCAGCAACATTTGTCCCCAATTACATCTCTGCCTTGGTTTCCTTCCCATCTGCGCCCAGCATGGGCTTCCCCATCCTTTGTCTCTCCGTCTCTATCACCCCTTTGTTTCACCTTTCCTATTACACGAGGGCTCTTTCATTGCTCTTCCTCCCTCTAGCTCCGCTCAGCCACTACTACCACCACTACTACCCATTAAATCAGGGAGGGCCTCCGTGTCTATCTTAGCTGAACACATCTGGGAAGAAGAATCGGTCGCCACTGTTTTGTCTCCTAAACAGGCCCTGGACGGCGGCAGATTTTCACAATGCAGATTCCCGGCCCCAATGAAATTGATCCTTTCGGTGCAGTGAGAGAGAGAGAGAGATCAGTCCATTAGGGGCAGCATTCCCCCCTCCCCCCAACTGCACTGCATTTGTATCCTCCCAAGGCGCAAAGCAGCAGTGAGTGGGGCTCTCTGGCTTTCTGCCAGTGCTTGCCATCTAGACTGGGATTTCTGAAAACATACCTTACCTCAAGTCTTTCTTGGGATAAATTATTTATCCCAGTTCCATGAATACAGAGGAGGGAAGAAATAAGTTTTTGTCTCTAGGATATTTCATCTTGGAACATCCTACTTTTCGTTTGTTTGTTTAATGATGTTATGCCATAAGGGCAGGGATGGGGAACTTTTGGCCCTCTGGGAGTTGCTGGACTACAGCTTCCATCAGCCACTGCCAGGAGGGCCACTGGTCAGGGATTGTGGGAGTTGTAGTTTAACAATGTTCTTGTTCTCCAGCTCCCATAAACCCCCAGCCAACATGGCCAATGATCAGGTATGATGAGGGCTGAAGTCCAGTGACATCTGGAGAGCCACAGATTCCCCATCCTTGTTCAGTGGAATTTTCTTTTTTCTGCCACCTTCACTAGCATTCATCAGACCTTTTATAAAATGCAGTTGTGCTTGAAATGGCCTCATACGTGGGGCAAAGAATTGCATCCAGGTGATCTCTCCAAACTTGTGATTCCCAGTTGCTGGTATTCAGAGGTGCACTGGTTCCAATACTGGAGGTAGTACATAGCTGACATGCCTGGTAGCCACTGATCCTCCATGGGTTAGTCAAAAGTAAGGACTTAGGGCACTTACCCCCAGTAGTTTATTGTGGAATCAGTGCTTTTTACAGCATCATTTACTGAGGGGGGGGGGGGATAATAAGATTTTGCATAGAAAAAGAAACTAGAGATTTAGTAAGAAAGTAATATGGGGCAGCATTTTGATGATGACATCATATGGATGCATTTTGCTTGTGGGGAACAAATCATGGAATGTTAGCGCTGGAAAGGAGAAATGTAACCTAGGACTCGGCTAGATTGGTAAAGAAAAAGCAATTTACATGTGTTGTATATGTGATACAACATTGTGCCACCAGATGGTGATGTGGTCTCCCATTTTTCTCTACCTGTTTTCCCTGTTTAAATTTACAACACATTTAACTGAAACACTTCTTTGATGTGTCTAGATGCAGCCCTAGAGTGGTGGAAATGCTACCTTACTCACAGCGTTCCAAGAGACTGTCTTGCTGGATCAGACCAAAGCGTCAGTTAGTCTGGTTCCCCACAGTGACCTACCCCAGCCACTGGTATTTGGAGGCAAACTACCTTTGAACATGGAGACTTGATTTTGTTATCATGGCAAATGGTGATTGAAAAATCTCTCTTCCATAACTTTGTCCGATCCCCATAAGGATTCTGTATAACATCCAACATGAGAGGCAGCCTGCCATTGAAAACTAGTTGCTGGGGAGGGGGCTCCTGCCTTCATGCCCTCCTTCCCATAGACTGGAATAGATGGATCTTTGGTCTGATCCAGCACAGGCTCTTCTTACATTCCTAAAGCCACACAGAATAGTGGTTATCAGCACACATTTCTCCAACAAACCCCCTTAGTTGTTGTCTGAAGAAATAATCTTCTCTGAGGCCTATTAAAAACACTTTAAAACTAGTTTCAATCATAAAAATAAGGTGGGTCCTGAAAATATACACTTCATGTCAAAAGCCAGGGTAAAGAGATGTGTCTTCAGTATTCTCTGGAATATTGAAGGTGCCAGACTCACCTCTGTGTGGAGGGAGTTCCACAATTTAGGGGCTACCACAGAGTATGTTCTTTCCCATTTTTCCACATGGCGCATCATTTCATTAGCCCGTTAGTTGTCTTTTTGCTAAACTAAAAAGCCCAAAACATTGTTTGTAACCTTTCCTTCTAGGGTAGTTGCTCCAGCGCACTGATCATTTTGGTTACTCTTTTCTGTCCCTTCTCGGATTCTTCAATGTCATCTTTAAGGACTTTGTGGTGGCCAGAACTGTACATTGCACACATCCTCAGTGTCTTTCAGAACTGGGCCTACCACTAACTCGTATATCCTTTGTTTCTTTTCTGTCTTTAAAGGTTGCAAAATCAAAGCTCTGAGGGCAAAGACTAACACCTACATCAAGACTCCAGTACGTGGGGAAGAGCCTGTCTTTATGGTGACTGGGCGGAGGGAAGACGTCGCCATGGCAAGGAGGGAAATTATTTCTGCAGCCGAGCACTTCTCCATGATCCGCGCTTCTCGTAACAAGGCTGGCACCACCTTCGGCAGTGCTCCAACCTTGCCGGGGCAAGTCACCATCCGAGTCCGGGTCCCATACCGCGTGGTAGGCTTAGTGGTGGGGCCTAAAGGAGCTACCATCAAGCGGATCCAGCAGCAGACCAACACCTACATCATCACACCCAGCCGGGACCGGGACCCTGTCTTCGAAATCACGGGAGCCCCAGGCAATGTGGAGCGGGCCCGAGAGGAGATTGAAACTCATATAGCCGTCCGGACAGGCAAGATCCTAGAATACAACAACGAGAATGACTTCCTGTCTAGCAGTCCTGACTCGGGCATGGAGAACCGATACTCAGAGGCCTGGCGGGTTCACACTCCAGCCCCTGGATGCAAGCCTCTCTCCACCTTCCGTCAGAACAGCCTCGGGTGCATTGGCGACTGCTCTGTGGACCCTGCCTATGAGACACCCCGGCTGAATGACCAAAATGATTTCAATTACAGTTACCTCTTCCCCAACTATGGTGTCAACAAACAAGATCTGTATTATGGCGTGCCAGAGTCTGGTGCTCCTTTGTGGGCTGGGCAGGAGAACACCAACCCTGTCTCGGTCCTCTTCTCCAAGCAGCAGCGATCTAGCAATACGGGCACCATCCATCCCAACTCGCACCGCTCCCCATCCTCATCTATACAAGAGCCTACCCTCTCTGGGCTTCCTAGAAGGTCTCAGGGGGAGCCTTTGCAAGGGTTTTCCAAACTGGGTGCTTCTGCTGCCACCCGGACGTCCATCTCCAGCAGCCGGGAGTGCATGGTGTGCTTTGAGAGTGAGGTGACGGCAGCTCTGGTCCCCTGCGGCCACAACCTCTTCTGCATGGAGTGTGCCGTGCGGATCTGTGAGCGGACTGACCCAGAATGCCCCGTGTGCCATGCAGCAGCCACTCAGGCCATTAGAATATTTTCTTAAGAGAGAGAGAGAGAGAGAGAGAGAGAGATTGAGAGAGGGGGGAAAAGACAACATAGGGGGAACTGAAGTGGGTGACAGGACGGGAGGGAGGGGACAGCAGAGAGCGAGAGAAAAATACAGATATGAAATAATTTGAAGAATGAACGAATTAGGGGGGAAAACAAAATGAAATTAATTTAAAGGAGAAGAAAGAAATTATTTTAGGAGCAATGTAGGGTTATTTTTAAAGAAAATAATAAAGATGATGATAAAATTAAAATGGAGAAGCCAGGAATATTTGGGAAGGTAATCACTACACTATAAAGCCTGTAGTGTCATTTTTAAATCGAGAAACTCTTTAACACACACGCAAGTGATTCTCAAGCAACGTGGGAGGTACGATGTGGTGGCATTTTGGGGCAGGGCCTGTGGTTTCTGCCAGCAACAGAGAGAAGTCATTACTGGACAGGTCAGGGGTCGTCTTCTCATCCCGCAAACCCAGCCTTGGCCTTGGTCTGAACGTGGTCTGAAGTTGCTGGGCCCTTCAACCTGCCTGGTGGATGAAAAGCTCAGAAAGAAGTAAATCAGGAAGGGAAACAAGAAAGAATAATGAGAGAAACCATCAGCCTCTGGGAACCTGATCAAACGAGGGCACAACTGTATTACCTCAAAACACTTAAAAAGAAAAAGAAGCAGCTAAAGATCTTTATATTCTTTTTCCTCTATTTTTTTCCTAAGAAAAAAAATTAAAATGAAAAATAATATTAGAGCCAGTGAAATGGGGAAATGGGGGTGTTAGAAGAGCCCCGAGATAAAATCCTCCTGGCCACCGTTTTATTTTTCCATTTTGAATCTTCTGAGCCACCACAAAACTCTTTTGAACTTTGATTTTTCTTTTTCCTATTCGAGCAGGGATTCATCTAATAAGAATCAGGAGTCACTAACAGGGTATTTTCCAAAAACAAACCCCCCACACCACAAATCAACGCTTCCATATTCCCACTCAAGGGGGATTTGGTGAGGGTTGACATCCAGGTTTCTGCATTTCGCTCCCCGCACTTGCCAAGCGATGCAATTTCAAACATTCATGCAAAAAGACAAACCTTGTTTTTTCCTTCCTTTGTTTCTCTTCATTTCAACAACGACAATTTCGCACCAAAACCTAAGAAAGATGATCATGCAATACTGGCAGCGAAGCCCACTTAAAACAAACCCACAACCCAACAGAAAGCAAAAAATATATATATACGAATTAACATGTTTATATATAATTTTGTCGTCTTTTTAAAATGGACCAAAACTTTTGTTACACAAAATCAAATAAAGAGATAAAATAAGAGTATATCCTTATGGACCAAAACCTCTTTTTGCTGTCCTCATCTGGATCTTCCTGAGGTTGCCCTAGTTTTATATATTATATTTTTTTCACAATGAAGCAAACAGACACATGCTCAAAAAAAAAGAAAAGAAAGAAAAATAATATTGAATTGCCTTGTTAAACATCCTTAATCATTTCAAGACATTTGACTCCTGCTTTTGTTACATAGGATACTTTATCAAACTGTTGGGAATTGGAGAGACAAGCGCTCAAACTCGCTTCCCTGCCAATTTCAACGCCCCCAGCAACGTAGTCAGGTTTTTTCAAGTTGCTACATGGATGCCAAATTGCCAAGATTCAGAGGGGTGGATTAAAAATAACAGAGATATATGCATTAAGTGTGTGTATGTGTGTATGTACACACACATACACACACGGTATATGCTCTCCTTCCCATTCCCGTTTTTACATATGCTTACACTTCTTGGACCCTTATTTAGAAGGAAACGTTGGAAACAAGAAACTTTGCAGCTTCTTATAGATGGTTCTAGAAGATGAGAGCTTCTCAATTTTTATCCTTGTATGATACGTTGCAGGAAACATGACTTTCGTCATCATATAACATGCTTCCTGATGGAAGCCATCCCCTCTTTTTCTTCCCCCCAAATACTGTCCTATTGATTTGTCCTACATGGCCCTCAAGTCATCCACTGACAGGGCTGGGTGTGCTCTTGTGCTAAACAGAATCCCTTCAGATTCCACCCCAGATTTTGCAAAAATGATTTGACATAGCTGTTAGCCTTGGGGATCACAGGGCTATCTATGCGCAACACCAAAGCTTCATCCCTTGGCCAGAGGAGGTTGGGCTGTGGCTACCTATACTCCCTCCCATGTCCCATTGGGAAGCCTCCTTGGATCCTGATTTCTCATGATGCCAAATTCCACCCCTTATACTTTATCCCTACTTTCAGAGAGTACACACAGCCCTGCAGCTCTACCATATTTTTATTTCGGCAAAAACCCAAACTGCATTCTGCTGAATGTAACAAGTGACTATGATCCATGTCTGAAGGGAGGGAGCTGGGGGTGAAGGTGTTGCTTTAAATGATGACAAAACGTGTATTGTGCTGGAATTGGAAGAAGAAGGGGTTAAGATGAAGGGCGATCACCTCCTAGGTTCTTAACTTAACATTCAAAAGACAATGCTCTGCTAAAGGGGACACTGTCAGTTTTACTTGGGACTTCCCACCTACCTTTGAAGCTGAAGTGGCTTCATTCTGCATTGCAGTTTTGTGCAGGCATCTGGGTGTTTTTCAAAAAATAAAAACCACCCCTAATCAAAATTATTTGCATTTTTTTTTTACATTCAGGTGAGCTTGGCAACATGAATTGCCTGCTCTCCTTTCAAATTCCAATACATAACTGCCTCTAAATGGTGCTGGATTGATGGCAGTTCCACAACTTGAACTGGATTGGATCAACCACCGTGGAAAATTAGAACTTAAGCATGCCAAATCTGTTCATGACAAACCCAGGTGAATCTTTCTCTATGAAAGCATATGTGGATGGTTGCAAGTGGACGAAATGGAGCTGATTTAGGTGGCCTTCAGCCTCTCAGTTTCCAAATCTGGCAAAAGTGTCCTTGTCAGCCTTGGCCAACCCAGTACCTCCAGATGGCAAAGGCTGGCCTTGCCATCAAGATTCATCTGGAGTTGCCTTCAAAGCAGCTTGATCTCCACACCACGTGGGAAGTGAAGTGTGCGGCTTGCCCTCTTCCGTCCTTGGCACATCCCTTGGCATGCCAGCAAAACAACTTTCTATGCATTCCTTTTGAAAGCCTGCGAAGGCTTTTGAAATACTTGGTAACTGGCCTCACCAGCTTTCCAACCCCCTTCTTAAAAACAAGTCCCTTCATGGACACCACAAATTCTGACAGTTTCCCCTTTTCTTTAAAAAATAATAATGAAAAGTTCTGGTGCCTGTTTTGTCAAATAGGACTGTATGACTCCTGGTATGAGAAATGGGGAAAGGAAATGGGGGCTGGGGGGGAGGAGGGTGGGGAGAGAAAAATACATTTTTCTTTTTTTGGAGAAAGAAAGAAAGAAAGAATGCAAAAGGAAACGAACGGATACTGACGTGATTCCATTTGTTCCTGGTGTGGGAGGGGGCTGCCTGGCCTTCTCCCACTCATGTAGATAAAAGGGGATAGGGGGAGGAGGAGGAGGAGGATGAGCAAGAGGGTGTCCCAGACTTTGTGGCAAAGGAATAAAGGGTGGGGTCAGAAAGATGCCCCCCCCCCCCGTCTGATGGTGCTCCCTCTGACAACGTTGCGCCCCATTCGGGGCTGGATATATTCTTTGGATTTAGTTGTTCTTGGCGGAGTGAAGTCTGTTTCGTAGTTAATGTGAGAAAGTTTTCGGTCAATGTTTTTTTTTAATTCTTTTAATGCCAGGCAATGGAGAAAGGATAACTGAGGAAGAGGAGAGGTCTCCCTACGTGGGGAAATACTTATTGGGAGGTTGGGGCAGATTTTAGCTCTGGCCCTATGGGGTGAGTAGTAAAAGGGTGGAAGAATGGCGACCGGGAGCAGGGGAGGTGCATGTGGATCTGTTCCTACCCTCTTCCCCCCCCCCATTGTCTTTCTTATTAAAACAAACATTTGAAACACTCTTCCCCACCCCCACCAACACACATGCACGCATGGTGAAAATCAATGGATATTCCCCCTTTAAAAAATAAGATGAAAATAAGAGTATAAAACCCAAACCAACATCCACACTTGCTAATTAGAAATGGAAGGGGTATGCATCCTGTCTTAGAACAAATGTTCTTCATGAACCAGGCAGGTCTTGCCTCTTTTCAGTTAATTTTTTTAAAAGAGAAAAAAAAGACCCTTTTTCTTAGTTCCAATAACCTTTTATCTATCTATCTAATCTATATATACATATACATATATATTAAAAGAAAGCCTGATGTAGCAACTCTAGTTTAATAGCAGTATTTTAACTCCCATCTTTTAAAAAAATATATATAAATATAAATATATATATATATATTTCCGCCCACTTGCCCTCCCTGTTATTTTTTAATGTAGCCAGAAAAAGAGAGAGAGAGAGAGAGCGTGCGAAGAGAACCCCAAATTGCAGAACCTCAGTTGCAAACCCAATGGCTACCTCTGGTCTGAGAGGGGGGCTGCATACTGTTGTTGGGGGAGGGGAGGACCCTGTATGGGGCCTCACACATTGAAATTCCCCGGACCCCTTACAGGAATTGGGTGGGAATACATTTGTGTGATTCCTTTTTCTTTTTTTAAATATATGTATATATATAAATCAAAAAAGAAAAATGCCCATGACCTTAATTTTTTCCTCTGACATGTATCTTCCTTGATAGGTATGTAGGGATGGCTTGTTGGTCTGATTCACCAGCAATAGACAAAAACTTACCATAGCTTTTTTAAAAAAATATTTTTTTTAAAGTCAACTCTTCCAGTATGATCAGATGAGCTCTTGGATCATTTGGGAGCTTTTAAATTCCAGTCTGTGCCAATCCCCAAATCTGCACTGATATTGTCAAGAAAACACCACCCTTCCCCCCCCCCCAAAGTAAAGATGTCTGCAGGGGCCAGAACTAAGTGCTGAAGGGTGTGCTTTCTACACAGAAGGTCCCCAATTCAATCCCTGGAATCTTTGCCTGAGCCCCTGGAGTGTTGCTGCCAATCAGTACAGTACTAGGCTAGATGGACCAATGGTCAGTAGAAGGCATCCCAGTATAAGATGGGGCTGCACTGAGGAAGAATTAAGCTCCACCACTCATAATGACCACTACCTTGTAGCATGGGGGGGGAGGCACCTGTGTCTTGAAAATTCACACCAGCCACAGGTTAGGCTGCTCATTAGATGGGGATCTCTGCCTTCCCACTTTTTTTCTTGCCAAATGCATAAATGCAACAGAGTCAGCTCTGTTTTCACCTTTCTTTCTTTTTTAGCTTAGAGAACAAAAACTGGGCATTTGGGAATTAAGACATTTGTGCCTGCAGTGTACCAGAACTGGAGTCAGGCCTGGATAGCAGCACCCCAGTTTCTACGATTCTGGGAGGGCGCGGCTGTGATATAAAGCCAGTATAAGAGGATGGTATTGACATACCTTGAGAGTAAAGAGGTGGATCAAGAGATGGATAGTGCGGGCATACCATTTAAAAATGCCCTTTGTTGGAAAAGGCATCCACAGCACCTATCCCAGCCCAAATTTGATTTTGCTCAGCTTAGCTAGCTACAATCCCAAACTAGTGACATGCCATTTGGACCCCATCAGGGTGGTAATTGGGTGATGTGATTTATCTGCAAAGGCACCTCTCCTACTTGTCTTTGTAAAAGTTTTCAGATGAGAATAGAAGATTGTCACCATTTTAATATTCAGGGTCCCAATGGAAGATTCTGAGATTTTGAGAAGAAACTTCCTTGATTTCTTGGCAAAATTAAAATTTCCAAGCGTTTCCATGTCCTGCCATTAGTCAGGTAGGCGGCGGTGGGGGGAAGGTATTTGAACTTCTGGAACCAATCGTAATCTTGAGAAAATTCAAAAAGTGGATTTTGGAACATCAGATTTTTCAGAACTTCTTTGAAACGCACCAGTTTACTGGCAACAAAAGGCAGCATTTTGAAGGTATCCGCTTTGCTCCAAAATCTTAAGTTGCAAAGATATTACAACTAAAACAAATAAAAAAGCACAGTCACCGGATTAAGGAAATCTTGGTTGATTAATCATATGTGTTTCAATCTGCATAGATTTGAAACTTTTAAAAAACTACTTTTAGAGAACAAAAAATGGTTTCTGTGTTTTTACTTATACGCACATACATGTCATGGCAGTAGAAGAGGCAGTCCCTGTTCTCTTTCACACAAGAGGGAATAGCTCTTAGGAACATAGGCAGTGGCCTTATAATGAGCTAGATCTTATACTAGCTAACTATCTTCACAGCTTGACAACAGCTTTCTTGGGGTTTCAAAGAGGGAGTCTTTCCAGCCCATTTCAGCATTGCTGGGGATTGAACCTGGGACCCCTTGCATGCCAAAGCAAGCGCTTCACCACTGTGATATTATCCTTCCCCTCAAAATGAATTAATGTTCTAGCTAGCCCCAATGGTTCTGAATAAAGGGCTGGTTTAAATACAAAGCTGCCTTATACTGTGTCAAACCATTGGTTTATCTAGCTAAGTATTGGCAGCGACACTCCAGGGTTTCAGGTGGGGCGTCTTTTCTAGCTGGACTTGGAGATGCCAGGAATTGAACGCAGGACCCTTCGCATGCAGAGCAGATGCTCTCCCACTGGACCACAACAGCCCTTCCTCTTCTTAGATGGTGCTTGCCAGTTTTCAGAGGTTACTAGTATTAAAGGTAACGCTAAAGTAATTTAACTAGATAATCAGGGCACCTTTTTAGTTGATTTTTTAAACCCAATTAATCAACCTAAAGGATGCTGCCCTAAAATTGCTGACATGTTTGAAACTTTGTCAGCACCAGAATTTGCTGTATTTGACATGGAATTTTGATCTTTTCCTTTTGGATTTCAACCTTTAGCGAAAATATAAAAATAAATAAATTCCGAGAAGTTCAAATTTGAATGCCATCTCAGCAGTGTGAGACATAGTAGCAGATCGTTCCTTTCAGCTCTCCCCAAATGGGGTTAATCGCCAACATCTGTGGTCAGATTCGAAGCCATTGTTTGAGGTATCTGTGTGTTTGTATAAAAGGGTGGTAGGAAATGTAATTGGGGTTGGGGTGGGGATTTCCAAGTATCATACTCTGATAACAGCTTCATGGATATAAATTATACAGAGAATAGTATTACTATAATGCATTTAAAATGATGAAATGAATTTGGATTTATATTTAAATGAGGAGACATTATCGAAGTGGCTCTCCTAGCCAGACTAGTTGCAGAAGTATTTTTAGCTGGTGGGAAGTTGATTTCTCCCCGCCCCCTTCCCCACTCCCTCACTCACACACACACATGCCCTCTCTCACACACTCACTCACTCTCTCATACACTTTTTAAAAATCTCCAACAATGCAAAGGCTATGACTGTTAAATCTCAAAACCCTCCTGAATCAAGTCAACAGCAACGAACATTTCAATCTTTTAATCCTTTCATTTGTTTTTGCCTTGATGATAATGATGCATTTACATGCCTGGTTGTTTGAGGTTTTTGGTTGTTGTTGTTTTTTTTTTAATGGAGAGGGGGGAAGACAAAAAAAAAATTAGAACATTTCTTTATAATTTAATATTTCTATTTTAATAAATGCATTTATTACATGTAAATGTAGTAAGGAACTGGGCTAAATAAAATACTTTTTATTAGGTAATTTATTATAAGGAACAAAGGATATTTTATTTTATGATAAAGTGATCCTTAAAAAGATTAGAATGTTTAGAATATATGTAGGTTGAAAATACATTTGTATCCAGAGTATTGCTTAAAAAGTGTTTTTAATATATGTTTCTTTCTTTCCCCCTTCCTCTTTTTCGTGCGTGTGTGTGTGTATGTATCAGTGGGTAGTTACAGTAAGAATAGCCCTTCCCAGAAAAAAATAGTTATCACAAAGTTGTATTTAAAAATGATTAAAAGTGATGAACATTACAAATCGGACAAAAGAAATGCCACTTTTAAAACTGTAAATGTTTGCCTTTGGTTTAAAATCATCCTCAGCTCACCAACAATTATGCAATTTTCATTATTATTGGATGTTTAAAAAATAAGCACACACTTAAGAATTTAACTGCATAGAACAAATTTGGGTGAAGCTGGGTTGGCATACTTGCCTCTTAGTGGATCTGCTTAGTTGAGCCTATGCCATCCTAGTGTCCTTCAAATGTTCCTGGACTACAAATTCCATAGGAATTACAGTCCCTGGAGGACTCCAGGTTGGCAAGGGCTGGTGTGGACTCATAGAGTCCATGTTTGCAGAGTTAGAATCAAGGGCTTTGTGGGCAAATTGTCAGACCAACACTAAGCAGGTCCTTGTCTCTGAGCTCTCTTCAGGACCATTTGGGTACCTGAAATCCTCCCTCAAGACATCCTCTTTGATGAGCAGGCAGGTGTGGGATTCGAGATGGTCTAGCTTGCATGAATACTCAGGACATCCTTTTGGGTCCGGTCCTGGCTTAGCAGAGCAGGACCATATGTTTTTAAGCTAGTTTAGGATCCTGTCACCACTCTCCTCGGCTGCTGCCTCTTCCTATGCAGTCTTTATCAGGACAGTTTTGGACCAGGGACCACAACCCTTTCCCTTTAAACATGGAGATAGATGCAGGGTGAGTACGACCACAGAAGCTGGGAAATGGTAAACAGAATATGACTCTGGGCAAATAGACATAAAAATGGCAGCCAGCCACTGTCTCTGTTGCTGGTCAGCTGGCGATCTGTTGTGCCATGTCAAGCAGCAAGGAGAATTTCCCCATAATTTCCTATTAGAAATCCAAGGGATCCGGGAAATGAAACAATTCTACCAGTCCCTTAGCTGTCTAATAACACCCACACTATGGTAAATTACTACTTTGTAAATGGTTGTCTATATCTATCCTCCATCTTTACTGGTGGGCTAACGTATTTTGGGTCATCCAAAGAGGACCTTCTCTGCCCCTGTGGAGAGTGTTAGAAAGACAATAAGCAATTTGCTTCTCTAGAGTTATTCATTTCCTATCACAAAATTCTTAAGCTTGTGCATTGATTTTTTATTTTTAAATATACATTTTTACAATCTTAAAAGCATAGGGGTAATGATCCAGGTAACAGTTTATTCCCACATGTTGCTGGACAGTTGCCTTGTTTTGCTAGAGATTCAAAGTACTTTGTTGGTGATTGAGCACCCAGTACTGTGCAGGATAGAACCCTCCAAGTGTATCTCTACACAACAGACTTAAGTGGAATTAGCCTTCATTCACTCTTCCCGGGAGACTGTACATTATTTGTGTCAGGGAGCCAGGAGTTGTATTTACAGGATTGTAAGAAACCCTCACCACGCTGCAATCCCCATAATTCTCTGGGGCAGGAGCCATGACAGACTAACTAGTATGAAACTGACATTTGTTTTAGATGCATGCCTCCTGGTGGCAGCCAACATAATGCCCTCCAGATGTTGTTGGACCACAACTCCCATCATCCTGACCATTGGCCATGCTGAATAGGCCTAATGGGAGCTGGAGTCCAACAACTGAATGGCACCATCTTGGCAACCCCTTAGAGCTCGCAAACTTTTCTTTGTTTTTATAAAAAGCCATGAGTATCCAGAATCTACTTTTCTTAGAGGACAGGGACATTTATGAGTCTTCTGCCTTTCAACAAAATATCCTTAAGGTAAGAAAGCTACACACACCCCAGCTCTGTTGGCCTTTGCTCACAGAATCATTTTGTAATTTTTAACCAAAAAGAGAGAGAGGGAGAAAGGGAGGGAAGAGGAATCATTAAGTATATTAAAAAAAAAATCTTTCTAAAAGTATAAAACTTTCTAATGTATTTCTTATAATCCTATAGAAAATAATAAAAATAAATAGTAGATGATATCAATATAAAATATAAGAAAACTGACGATCCCAGACTGAGCAGAATGTAAAATAAACTCTTAACCAAGGTCAGGTTTGTTTTCGTTTTATTAATTTTCCTGCTAATGCTATGTCCCCCCACCCACCCAGAACTACATTCCTTAGCTGAAATTTGAACCACAGTTTAGTAACTTTGTGTCAATCTAAGCTGCAATGTTATTTTTTTATAGGGGGGAAATTGTGGGATCTAATAATATGTATTTTTTAAAAAAAGAATTAAGTTTTGGTGGTTTTTTATGTTGATCTTTTAAAGAATATCCATCCAATACATTAGAAAGGAAACAAAGATTAGACTTATCCTTTTTAATTCTGACTTCCAGCACTGTGCTAGGAAGGGTTTGAGTTTTGAACAGAAATTGGAACATTGAGGTTTTGTTTTTCTTTAAAGGAAAAGCTGGTGTTTTCCTTCAGAGAAAAAAAAAAAGAAAATTTCTCAAAAATATCAAAAGAGTTTTGGAAGGCCTTTGCAACACCCTGGTTGAAATAGCTATTATATTCTACATCTAAATTAGGTGATGAACATGGTTGATATCAGAGCACTGGGGCTCAGTGATCAATGTGGATGAAATCTTTAGCTGATATTCCTTACCTGTTTGGCCCTGTCCATTTCCACTCTTGATGAATATATAGTAGCAGCAGCAGCATCAACAACAAATTCCTTCCCTGGAATTTTAAGGGCAACCCTGGATTAAAATGGGCTTGCCCACTGTTTATCTGCGTAGAAGGTAGAACCATGTGCGAAAACAGCTTTGTTAAGTAAACTTCAGGAGGCGGGACTCCAGTGCCTCTTTCCAGAAGCTGTGGGGTTTAATTTGGGTAATTGGCTCAATTAAGGGCTTATCCACACTTACCGTTCCTCCATGCTTCGGCCCATGCTTTAAAACTATGTCCAAGTGCCCTTTTGTTTTGCTCCAGAGCTTTCACCGTGAAAACCCACTCTTTAAAGCTCAGTCAGAGCAAGTGCCAATCCATGGAAAACCCGAATTGTCATTTGCTCCGATTCAGCTTTAAAGAGTGGATTTTTGCGGGGAGAGCTCCAGAGCAAACGGGGGAGGGGGGAGTATGCTCAAACATGGAGCTTTAATACACAGGCCTATGCCTGGAAATAGTGGGGCAAAAGGTTAGTGTGGATAAGCCCTAAAACACCTACATCTTCCAATCAGCTAAGGTTTATTTGAACAGATGACAGTCCTGTTAAGCTGACAGCCATTCTGCCCCTGCCTCTCCTTCCCCAATTGCCTCTCTGTATAGCATTTGTATAAAAGTAAATCTGGGGTGTTTGTGTATAAGAGTTTGACCTCCCCACTCCCAAGCCCTGATCCCTCCAGTTTTGTGCTCCCCAACAAAACCCAGTGCTTTTGACAAGCCACACCCATAGTTGTAGGAAAAATTATGCCCAGCAGACAGAGAATGGGCAAATGTGGAATTTGGATATTTTTTAGGAGTGAGATGAGTATACCACTTAAAACAGACTGAGCAATACTCAGTGAAGGTCCCAAATGTGTACATTGAATTCTTCGTGTCTGTGAAGATATCAAAGGGCTTAAGAGCCCCCAGTTCACCTATGCCCCTGCCAAGTGGTCAGCGGCCAGCCTCTTCCTTCCCTTCTAGACATTCTGAGCCTTCTTACCTGAAGAACATATTGCGCCGAGTATCGTCTCCCGGGGTAGCTGGGATCAGCAGCTTTGGCTGCTCCAAAATATTTCAATATTATATGACATTATTATAATAAATAATAACATAGTTTTAAAGTATATAGGTACTATTATTAGAGTGGTTTTGAACTAAGTCTCTGAGAAGTTTAGGAGTGGCTTCTTTTAGGTCGAGTCATTTTCTTGCTCTGCAATAAGGGAAGTCAGATATTGAGGGATGCACCTGCAGAGTCTCAAGGTGGGTGGTGCCTTTGGTTTGGCAAGCCTCAAGAGCTGCTGTGCTCCATGATGTTGATACTTCTGGAGCAAGACTGGACTCATTTTTCACAGAGCATACAAGTGTTGTGTCGCTATTTGGGCCAGGGATTAACCAACACAGGTTGGGCAGCTCTGGAGTGTCTTGCCCATTCTCAAATCTTTCCTCCTTGTGCAGGTTCAGACCTCATTCTTATCAGATTGCCTTCTTTTGCTTTCCCCCCTTAGAAACCCAAGATCTGTGCACCAGGTCCCAGGTACAAAAGATGCATAGATACCCTTTGCCCACCCCTGGTCTCAATTAGCATGTTTGTTACGCCGTCTTCTCTCATTTCCAAGTAGGCCAGTATGAACCTTGAGCAATTCCTCCATATCAAATTGACTTATAAACTGGTACAGATAATGGCATCATGTTCTACAAACCTCTTTCTGAATAGGCTAGTCCTGCTTAAGTTGGTTGGGGTTCTTGCAGTGCTTTCTCTTACCTGAGGGTACGCCTGATCTCTTTTAACAATTACTTGCGAGGTAACAGTTTGACAAACCCCTGCTGTATCCCCTGGAACCTTTAATTTGTGAATCCAATCTTAGAAACCATTTCCTGTTATCAGAATCCAGTTTGGAACAGGATTAGGTTACTGAATCTCCTTTGATTTGTTTGGGCAGCTGGCATTTGTACTAGCAGACCAAGAAAAGAGACAGGCCAGCTCCTTGTTTTTATTTCATTCTTTTGTTTACTTGCTCTTTTATTTTACCTCAATTTGTTCTTTTGGTTTGATACTTGAATGGTGATACAGATAATGCCCTGGACTGAAACTCAGATGCACTTTATAGATCACACCACTCTTCGCCAACCTGGTGCCCTCCAGAGGTTTTGGACTGCAACTCCTCAGTTGCCATCACAAACCTCTGGAGGGCACTAAGTTGGCAAGGACTGCATTACATCTATACAGCAAATTTAAACCGGTTGCAAACCAGCTTAATTGCTGGAAATTTTCAAAGAACCTCAAGAATTGCAATTTTTGCAAAGGTGCTGAGAACTCTCTTAAAGGCCTTTCCCCCAGGATTTCATGTGGGACAAAGCCATGATGATAACCCGGTTTAAATTTGTAGAGTAGATAGTTTCTAATATTTGTATACTAGTCAGCAGATGCCATCCTTGCTTCAGTCAAACAAACGGCCAACGTATTTCTTTGTTGGTTTCCGTGACTTGGAGGAGTTGATCTAGCGGATGCTAACATTTCACAGTTCTTGGGAACGATTTGTGCTCTGATTTTTACTATTCCTTTTTCTTTATTCTTTTTAGTCATAACTAAAAGCCAGGGTCCACTTTTGTTAGTACTTGCATACACTGTTAAGACATCTCATTAGCATTGGTGAAACTTATGGCGTGTAAGATCCGATTTTTTTCCCAGTTTTTTCCAGCATTTGGAACTAGAATTTCACCTTGTGAGCCACGTGAGAGAATTCAGATTTGTTGTCTGTTCAGTGTAAACTGAATCTGATTTAGGGTATAATATAGGTGCCACTGACATCAGGGGAGCGGGGGAATCAGTTATTGATGAACTGGATATGGCAGCCATTATTTCACTCGTGTCATTAAGGAATTGGTCCAGAGTAATTTCAATTTAGGAGGAACTGCTTTTGCCTTTTAAATTAGTGTGGAATTCATGTACTGGGTTTGATGAAACCTATAATATTTCCCCTTGTTACCAAGTGAGAGAATTCCAATGGAAAAACAGTAGAGAAAACTGGAGTTCCACCATAATCACCAAGGAGTTGTATTCTACTAAGCTCAAGAGTAACCCTTTGAAATTAAAGGACCTAAGTTAATCATATCTATTAATTTCAGTGGGTTTATTCTGAGTCGGGCTAGCATTGGATACAATCCAAGAGTCCAATCTAGTAATGTTGACACAAATGGGAAAATATCCATTGGGGCATATTCTGGAACTGTTGCAATGGGAACAGATTTATCCTTGCAAGTAAAAAAATCAATCTTTCTAAAGTTCTTCCACAATCTTCCACATTTCTAAACAATTCCAGAACACAACCAACTAAGAAGGATTTGCTGAGAGCCTCACTGGGTGAGAAGGTATTCTCTTCAGGAGGGCATCCGAGTTTAGATTGGGGGAGTTAATCTTTTGGCCCCATACCAAGTCTGTGATGGAAACAACCCCCTTCCCAAAGCTGCATTGAGTTGTGCATTTCATCAGTGGCTAATAGCAGCTTTGGGAGGGAGGGTTCGAATTTGTCTCAAGGAATCTTCGCAGGGAGCAAAGGGTTAAATCCCCCCTGCACCACAGGCCTGGTCCAAATCGGAGCTGCTTTTACCTCCAGCCATGGGATTTTTGCATCCCAAACTGTTTTGGCCTTTCATTTGACAAGTCTGCAGCTGTCTGGGCTTAAAGAGAAATGTGAGGTTGTTTGCCTTCTGTCAAAATGGATCTGCACTTCTTTGGGGGGAAACATTCATTTTAACTGTTTCGGTGCTTATATAATGACCTTTTCTGCATGGAGTTGCAAATGAATTTTTCCTTCCCCATCTGAACTCTGCTATTCCTTTCCACCCCATCCTGAACCTTGGTTCCATTTCAGCACCACTTCAAGGGTCAAACAGCTCTCTGCTGCTGAGCAGCTTTTGCCAACCTGGTGCCCTCCCACTGTTTTGGACTATGACTCCCAGAACAGCAGGAGGGCAAAAGGTTGGCAAAGATGGCTACAGACTTTAAAATAACCATTTTTAATGCAGTTCCCAGATTCCCTAGGGAGAAGGTGCTTGTCGTGCCCTTTTCCTAGGGAATAATGGGGCTATTCTACAAGTAGGAACTCTCTCAGCACCTTCACAATACTGCAGAATAAAACTGGGGGTGGGAGAACGGTTATGGCAGTTAAATTGGCATAAGTTTGCAGTGAAGGTGCCTCCTCCAGATGTGCAATGGAGAATGCAAACTCTTTAGCTTAGCTGAATCCAGCAATTTATTCCATCATATATTCGGGCACGTATTGGAGGGCTGTTGTGGACTTCGATTTTCTTTTTCAACGTGGTGCAGGATATATATTCTCCACCTGTAAACAGTTCTGTCTTACCTTGGACCATTCTTGTCTCAGTTTCTGGTGTTGCTTTTTTTGTCATAGGAAATCAGTCCTTGGAAGCAGGTCATGCATTCCATCCAGGGTTTGGGTTTTATTTTATCAGTTGTTACCTGGTTTCCCCCAACCTCTTTCTTTCTTCCTCTCTCTCGCTCTGTAAAAACCCGAGAGAGGAAGACAGAGAAGCTAAGAAATGTTAACCCATCCATAAAGAGAAGAAGATGATTACTAGTTAGACTCAGTGTCTTGAGTTCGGAGGCATATAGTAAAGAGAAGATTTTTTAAAAGTTAAAAAAAGAAAAGAAAAGAATGATGTTGCACAACTTGTAGGAAAACAAAGAAGGGAAAGGGTTATTGTATTAAATGTGCTAAATTACATTAAGAACTTAATTTTATTAAAGTATTATTACTTAAGAAATGCAGGGTCTTGGTCTTCATTGCTTCAGTTTTTCCATTCTCTTTTTGCTCCCCCTGCCCCGCTTTGCAATGCAGTGATGGTGTAACAGCTGTTACCCCTGCACAGATATCGCTGGGCTACAACTCCCATCAGCCAACATGGCTTGTGTGACACAGAGGCTGTTGGGTGCTGTAGTCAAAGCACCAGGTTGGCAGAGGTTGTCCTAACCAGTTATTTTGATACTCAGGTGAAGTCCCCAGTGCTAAGCACACATTGTAAACTTGCACTTGGTGGCTTGGGAATTGTGTGCAGACATTTGGGAAATGGAGGATGCTGTCTTATACTGAGTTAGGTCACTGGTCCATCTAAGCCAGGCATAAGCAAACTTGGCCCTCCAGGTGTTTTGTGACTACAACTCCCATCATCCCTGACCACTGGTCCTGTCAGCTAGGGATGATGGGAGTTGTAGTCACAAAACATCTGGAGGGCCGAGTTTGCCTATGCCTGATCTAAGCCAATGTTCTTCAACTTTGGGTAGGTGGGGGCATCACCACCTGATGATGATGGAGGACAACTGCCATCAGCCCCAGTCAGTTTAGCCAATGTTCAGGGGTGGTGGACATTGTATGGGGGACCCAAGCAGTGGTGGCTGATGCCCACAAGAGCAGATGGAGCCAGAGCCAATGACATGCAAAGCCAAGCAACCAATTATAGCTTTGTCCTCCGAGTTCCACAAAGAGAACACTTGAGACTAAGACCACATCCACGCCATACATTTAAAGCACTATGATACCACTTTAAACAGTCATGGCTTCCCCCAGAGGACCCTGGGAAGTGTAGTTTGTTAAGGGTGCTGAGAGTTGCTAGGAGACCCCTATTCCCCTTCCAGCAGTTTCCAGAGTTCCCTGTGCAGAAGGATCAATTGTAAAACCACTCTGAAAATTGTAGCTCTGGGAGGGGAGTGAGTGTGTGTGTGTCCTCAAAACTCTCAGGACCCTCCCAGAATTCTTTGGGAAAGGTCATGACTATTAAAAGTGGTATCCTAGTGCTTTAAATGCCTGGTGTAAATGTGGCCTAAGGAGGAGGAAGCCAACAGCCTGGGCCGCCCACTGCTGTTCTGTCAAAGGGCAGAGGTTCTCCTAGGATCTGGAATAATAAACACACAAATGGGGTGAAGGCTGGGTATTTTATTAAATAGCCCAAAGAAAGCTACATGGTATTGTCATAACCTTATGTCTCAGTTCTCTGCTTGCTGGGATCTCCTGTTAGCAGTGGATATGGTTCCTGCAGCGGTGGCCAGCCCACAGCACTTTCCAAACCTAGCCTGCATCAAGTTCTGAAGCTCTGAAGATCTGACCAAGAGAGATGGCCTTGGACTTCTACACTGGTTGGGATTATTACACAAGCCACACCTGGTGTTTGGGTTGTACATCAGGCTCCCACCAAAATGAAAGAACATTGCCTAGGCCAGCCTTTCTCAGCCTTAGGTATCCAGATGTTGTCGGACTACAACTCCCATCATTCCTAGCTAGCAGGACCAGTGGTCAGGGGTGATGGGAGTTGTAGTCCAACAACATCTGGGGACTCAAGGCTGGTTTAGGCTAACAGATACTCCTTTCTATCTTAACATCTAAAATTCTTACATTTTGCCAACCAGGTGCCAGCGGTGAGAGGCCTCACAACATATAACTGACTGTGAGAAACTATTTTTGAAATAAACAAGATCAACAACCACTTAAAGGCCCGGGTCCACAGGATTTCTGGGCATGTAAGGAGCACTGTTCCATGCCACCAAATAGCAATGGTCTTCCACGATATGGAAATAAACCTGCACTTGTAAATAGGAAAGTGGAGGCTGGCTGAGGGCAGATTGCAGCTGGTGAGCCAGTGCCCCATTTACCCCAATGGACCAGCCTCTGCTGGACCAAAGATTAAAGAACAAGGTTTCAGAAAAGCTGCTTCCTCCAGCCCTGCCACAAGATGCCAATAATTGACCCTTCTGCTCACAATGCATGTGTTCTACCACTGTGCAACATCCTTTGCCCATCCCTTCCCAACAGCTCCGATTGTTGAGATCCCGAGCTCTCACTCTTGAGGTAGACTGCTCCTGCTTAAGAAGCTCTTTCCTCACTTTCCAATCTCAAGTGTTTTTGAGCTTCTTCCACAGCTGCCAATGGAACCCTTGGGGAGCAGGCACCACTTTGTCCTTCACCTCAGGCCACAAAATGTCTTGAGCTAGCTTGGCTGGAGGGGGCCAGGCAAAGCTAGAGGGCGAAGGCCAGGCAACCAGACCTGCTCTGCTCTTTTGGGAAAACAACTTCCAGTTACTCCAAGCAGGAACTTCTACATTGCCCAAGGTTAAAGGTGGGGGAAAGGGGCTGGGCCCAGCCCAGCTGCCCCTTCTCCTCCACAGGAATAGGTGATGACATATTTTGAAGATTTTTAGAATATGAGTTCATCCCTCCCTGTCCTCCCCCATCCTTCCTGTGGAGAGTTTGTTGGGTGTGTTGAAATCGCCGCTTGGCTCGAGGCACAGCTAGGGCAGATGGTGGGCATGGCACGGGTGCCTGGCTGCTTCCAGACAGCATCATGCCAGGGGGACCAGGGCTGTCCGATTGAAGCTGCTTGGCAGAAGGACCCTAGGGCTGCTTCTCTGCACAGTGGGGGCCTGGCTTGTGTGGCTACGGTGGGGAGAAGCACTTTCCGTTCTGCTGAGGCTCGGACCCTGGTGGGGCCTGGAGTGTTACTATCATCACCATCGTTATTAATTAATTACCTCCCTTCACCCTAAAATACCAGGGTGGTTTACAACAATTAAAACACAATACTGGTATTAAAACCTGTCCAAAACAACTGCCTTGTGGGCAGAGTAGTGAGCTGCTGCTAGTGGCTTGACAGTCACTGTTATTACTACTTATCCACCCCAAGGTCTCAGGGCAGCTAACAACATTAAGACTCAACATTAAAAACAATTTAAAACAACTTGCAATCACAGAAATAAGATGGGTCCTAAAATGTTGTGTCTCAGACCAGGGTGAAGCAGTGCACCTCTGCTGAATTTGCTGAAACCTGTCTAGTGAAGAAGGCAGACACACCTCTGTGGGGAGTTTTACAACTTAGGGGTTGTCACAGAGGATGCCCTCTCCCAAGCTGCCAACCTCCTGAGCTTCTGTGGGTCATGGAACGACCAAGAGGGCCCCCTCTGAGGACCTAAGCACCCAAGTGGGTCTATAGTGAAGGAGGCGGTCTTTTGGGTATTTGGAGCCTGAGTCATGTAGGGCTTTAAGGTGAGCACTTTGAATTGGGTAGGATGAGCACTGAGTACACCTCAAAGCTATTTAAACTACATTGGGTTTGTACAGTTTACGCAAGCCTCAAGAATCTCCAGATATTGCTAGATGCAAGGAATACATATAGTGGACTTCTAGGGGAAGCATCAGGGACGCGGGTGGCGCTGTGGGTTAAACCACAGAGCCTAGGACTTGCCGATCGGAAGGTCGCGGTTTGAATCCCCGCGACGGGGTGAGCTCCTGTTGCTCGGTCCCTGCTCCTGCCAACCTAGCAGTTTGAGAGCACGTCAAAGTGCAAGTAGATAAATAGGTACCACTCCGGCGGGAAGGTAAAAGGTGTTTCCGTGCACTGCTCTGGTTCACCAGAAGCGGCTTAGTCATGCTGGCCACATGATCCGGAAGCTGTACGCCGGCTCCCTCGGCCAGTAAAGCAAGATGAGCGCCGCAACCCCAGAGTCGGCCACAACTGGACCTAATGGTCAGGGGTCCCTTTACCTTTACCTTTAGGGGAAGCATCACAAGGTCAAAGCTTCATAGCCAACCTCCCATCTATCAAGTCTTCATCACCTCCCCACTTCCACACGGCCACAACTTATGGAAATGCCAAATTCACTCTCAGACACACACACCTAATCTCTCTCTCTCTCTCTCTCTCTCTTCCTGGTCCTTCTCTGACCTCACCTTGTAAATATAAATGGGTGATGATAGTAACAGAACCCAGTCGGGCTGACGAAACACTGACTCAAAGCAGGGAGAGTTCCAGGAATGTGAAAAGGGTAAGGGCTTGCTAAACAAAAACTCAAAGTCATCATCTGAGCCGGAGGGGATGGCTTACCCAGAAAGGCAGCATAATAATAATAAAAACAAATACAGTAAATAAAGGGAGGAAGAACAAAGGACAGTGAGCATGGTGCAAAAAGAGAGAGGTAAATTGATCTCTTTTACGAGGCCAGCAACAGTGGCTAGTGTTAGAAGGGCTTAATTTACAGAAACCCATAAATGCATTTGTGATGGCCTGGGATTCCGATTCGGAGGATGAAACAGAGGAATCCCGGCCTGCACAGGAGTCCCCGCCTCCAGGGCCGGCTGAACTGGGGCAAGGCCTTGATGCTGAAGAGCCTGCACCTGTGGCAGTGCATCAGGAGCTGGCCCCAGGTGAAGCCCTTCGGGCCCCAGAGGGGCTTGATGACTCAGTGGCCACAGGTGAGCCTCCTCCAGGGCCCAGTAACCCTTCGGCCTCTCCTGATCTGCAGAGGCTTAGGGCAGAGAGGCGAAGGGAACTGGTTGCCCCCAGGAGGAGTGCTCGCCTTAAGGCCAGAGGAGGCGGGGCTCCTGGGGACCGGGACGCCTTAGAAGAGGATAAAAGCCCAGTCAGCCCGGCCCCAGGTTGCGGGAGCAACGTCGTTGTTGGCTTCGGACCTTCCTGTGTTCCTGATCCCTGCTCGGCTTCCTGTTCCTGACTATCCGGTACTCCTGTTCCCTGCTCGGCCTCCTGTTCCCGACCATCCGGTGTTCCTGTTCCCTGCACAGCCTCCTGTTCCAGCATTCCTGTTCCCCGCCCGGCTCTCTGCCTCGGACCTTGCCCCTCTTCGTGTGGACTCTGCTACACCCAAGGTACCTTACCCCGGGACCAGCACAGTTTGCTCCCGCCAAACCCGCACTCCCCCTTCGTAGGGGTGCGTTCGGGAAGAGCCAGAGGCCATGGCTGACCAGGCGGCTGCACTG